CAAACCAAACGAACGAGATGGCACTTACCATTTGCAATTCAATTTCCTGCAATTGTTTTCGGCTGATGAAAGACTGGAAACTAGAAAGCTTAGCAAATAGTAAGGAAAATTGTAGACTAGCTCCAGAGGTAGTCAGCGGAAATTTCCTAACCATTTGCTAAATTTTCCAGTTTCCAGTCTCATCAGCCGAGAACAATTGCAAATGGTAAGCATCATCTCGTTCGGCTGGTTTGCTGATTTTGGAAAAACCGGTTTATTCTGACATGGTAAGCACCCGGGCGGGCTCCTCCTGTAGATCTGCCACTTTCTTGGTGATTTCACGTTGTTGTTTTGCGGAAGACGACTACATGAGAAATGTGCAAAGTTAAAAACGCACGGGCTGAACTGTTTTTTCGCTCCAACCTCGTTCCCATGGCCTTTCCTTACCAGGGGGTGGGGCGCCTCCTTTACCTAGCTCATTAGATATTTTGCTTTGCCACATCCTCGTATCCGTTGCCGATGCATTCAGCTCTCTTATTGTGTTCTTATTGTTTTTTGTTTTTTTTTTTCAGCACGACTCGAGTCAAGATATGCAGTGAAGTACCTTGTTTGGTTCGACTGGAAGCTGTAAAAAAAAGATTTTTTAAAGATTTGACGATACATTTAGTCTTCGAACAATTATTACTCAAGTCAAAACGCTTGGGCCGTTATTGGCAGCTGTGGTGTTTCCCTGTGGATGAAAAGTTTTGTTCCTGCGCATGTAGCCTATCAGTGAAATGACCTAAGACGTGCAAGAACAAAACTTTTCACTGGAATCAAAATGGCTGCGGCATGATCAAGGTGTATTGCAGTAACCTCGATTATATTTAAAATAAAAGATACATTCTACCTCAGTCGTGTCTCTTGATGTTTCTTTTTCTTTAAAAAAATAAACGATTGCTGAATTCACATCTATACAGCTTTAGGTTATGTCTGCGTTAAAAGTGCGAAAAAAGTGGGGTGTAAGTGTCGACTGAATGAAGGAAAAATGCAAAGTTAGTGTAGGAAAAGTGCGAGAAAACCGCGCCCAAAATATGGGGATAATGCGAGAAAAACGTATCCAAAGTGAGCGATGAGGTCGTGCATGTAGCTGTGCTTTAAAAACTACTCAAAATACCTTTCGGGAACCTTTCTCGCAATTTTGAGCCACAAAGTTAAAACAGCATTTACAACCAGTCTAGATTGATTTCAGTTTCAGTTTGTTAGTTAAACCCTGTAAGACCTTAAAAAAAACAACTCTGAGATCCTTGTGCTGATTACCCAAAGTGACAACATCCTGTCACTTTTCCGCGACAATACTCTTGAGCTTTTTGGTTATCTGTTCGTCTGTCGAAAGTAAACCATCAAAAAGGTATGCATTTACACCTCGTAAAGAGCAGACACAAGCGGTAAACCACTCGCGTTTCGATCGTAAAAGAGGTCTAACTCGTAAAGAGCGGCTTCGTTGCTTATGTCGCAGTGCTAATTAACCCTTTAGCTCTCAAGATCTGATTGTTAATTCGCCCCTCTAGCGGCTACACATTTCCTTGTAAATAAGTAATGAGAATTTGGTACCTGATACGTTTGAGTATTCTCATCACCTATTTGCTTGATAATGTAACGATATTATGGGGAGACGTTTCATGTTGATCACTTCTGAGAGTTTAAGGGTTAATGAGAGTTTGCTCGCAGGGAAATAGTCCACTTCATTTCGTTGCCATCCCCTTCCTCCCCTTATCAGCTGATTGCGGCGGAGGGGGGGTTGACTGGTGCACAAAGTGGGGAGGAGAGTGGGGGGAATTTGAGTAAGCACGTCGGTGTATAGGTACCATATCTCCTTGGTTCTCACATTAAATTTCCCACTCCTTTATGAACACTGGCCTCACAGACAGAAAAAGAATTACCAATTTAGAAGGGAACGAGTAGACGTCAGCATATTCACTCCACCAAGCCTTTCAGTGTTAGTGACTGCGAGCATAGGAGTCTTTGTTGACTGTAATTCCATCAAAATTCACTCCACAACATTGTAGCGCGACTCGACCTAGTCAATTGACTGCTGATACCAAAGAGGCGTGCCTGCAGGTCCTCACTAAAAGCCCCTGCAGGACGCGCGGTTTCCCCCCCTGCGGGAAGGTTTGAGACAAGTCAGGGAGAGGTTTCCCGGAGGTCTGGCACAGATTATCAGCCAGACCCCTCAAGGACTTTTCACCTGCTTGCGCTTCTCAAGGTTTCAGTCAGTGAAACGCTTAGGTTAAGGCTAGGAAGAGATGGGACTTATCAGGGCGCCGGGGGTGGAACGATAGGTGTGCACGAACGATTTTGATTTACGAGTTGCGATACATCAAGAAAACGAACGAGTGAGTTTTCTTCGATGTATCGCAATAAGTGAATCGAATCAACCCCTTTCCATGGTATGCCCGCCTCCAAGCGAAACATGGCCCTCAGGTTTTTGCATCCCCTCCCAAGCCTACTGTTCAACCACCCTCAAACCAAAGGGTGTTCCCCTCCTACCTGAGTTCTGACTAGGCATGAACTTACGTGTTAATCTTGTAACATTGTGGGCATGTTTTATCCAAATCCAAATCCAATCAGATATGTATTTTTTTAAAAATTCATATCCATTTATTTGCATGCATAGCTTTATTAATGTACACAACTCTTTTTATATAGAACATCCATTTGGCATGTGTTACAGGATATAAATGAAAGTCTGATTTCCGAACCACCCTAAAATCTTTAATTACATCATGCATCTTCAGATCAACAACACCACGTATTCTGACCACATACTCTGACAAAATAAATACATAAAACTGTAGATTTGCGATTCAAGAACGAATATTTAAGTTAAAACCTAAAGCGTGCTCTGATTTCAAGGCTTATTCTAAAATGTAAACCGAGTTAGTCATTGATCATGATAGCAGTATTACTGAAGATATAAAACTCTTGATAAATCTCACGAATATTATAATGTACAATAAATTATAAAAAGACTGTCAGCCAAACTCCGATGCTATGCACACACTTCCCCAAAAGGTTTTCTTCATAGAAAAACCTGAAATGAAAAATCAACTTTGAGGTTTAATATTATTATAATATTTTATTACCATTATTATCTTTAAAAATCAAAGCTCATTACGCTCTAAAGTCGACTCCCAAAAACTTGTAACGCCCACTACCTTAGTTTAAAATCGATTTCCGTCACATTTATTTTAGTTTTCCCCTCACGCTAGCTTAGGGCAGCTTTCGTTCCCTCAATACTATTTTCTAAGCAATCTTGCTCTCGATAAATCGAAAAAGATAAAAAAATGAGCGATTTTGAAGTAGTGACATTTTTTTTCGTCGTTTCCTAAGCGCAGGACAATTAAAATAAATGTAGGGCCCCGTGATAGACAGAACCTACGTTCTTTGGGTTCCGCGCTCCGACGCCCTACCACTGAGTAACAGAAAACTCCAGGGTAAGCAAAGCTATAATTTGTTTTGGCTCAGAAATAACACAAAGGAATATTTCTCTTGTCTTTCACTGGCGTCTTTTCCCATAACAAGACAAAAAACATGTCTCTTTACTTTCATTATCGAGTTCAAAATTAACCGTTTTTCTAATTCTATCTAATTATCTGTCTTTTCATTATTTCTGCACTTCACTACGTGGGTCAGTCCCATTTGAATTTTGCCGGGACTTCTACCAGTTGTTTAGCTGTTTGAATCGCTGCTTTTTCTTTTACACTTTTTTCCTGCGTTCCGTTTTCAGTTTGTCTAGACTGCAAGAAGTCACCCTTTTTAGGCGAAGTCGGTCGCACAAGGAAAAAAAAACTCAGCGAAAAAAATTTTTTGGCGTACTACGCGGAACTCTGGAGGCGCACGAAAAGAAGCGCCTCGCTCCCAGAGTTCCACGCAGCGCGCTAACGTCTTCTTTTTTATTTTTTATTTTTTCCAACTGATTGTTCTTTTGACTCGTGCGACGGACTACACCGAAAAGGGGCGACTCCACGTAGTGTACACTATGTCAAGAAATTTTATTGTGATGTAAACTATGTGAAATAAGTCAAATACCTCTTTAAATACCCGGTCATTTGTTCTTAAATCCCAAGAACCTTTCCCAAGTTCTCTTGAAGGTTCAAGTTATTGGAAGCCTACTGTATTTTTGTTACAAATTTTTTTTGGAAGCACAAACCTGTGTCACGAAATACTTCATGAGGACCACTGCATCATAATTCGATTCCCAGGGATTTGTAATATGCACTGAAAACAAACCAAAAAAATTGCTATCAGCACCACAAACACTAAGCTGGAGAGACGACAACCAAATGGTAAGGTAAGCAGGACTCTCAATATTACAGTTGTAGGCCTGGCTGGGTTCCCTGTACCACGATCTTTGGCAACTAACTCTCCTCCCACAAAGCCTCTCCAATCAGGAGTAAAAACAAAAAATTGTTGTAACACAAAATTGTCAATAAATGATTGGGACAGGAGGGAGGTAACTCTTAGAGAATTTGCATCCCATCTAAGGAGAGTAACACCCTTCACAGAAGATTCAAGTCAGTTTTGTTCAAAGATCTTATCTTGACCCTTTACAACTTGACATCAGTATGCATGTTCTCTATACATTTGCTGAGGTGCTGACAAGGAAAATTTGTTTTCACAATTAGGAACTCCTTTAGTTTGGGGATTATTACTGTGTGATTCAGGAGGGATATTGTGAGGAGAAATAAGATGCTAGCCACTCTAATGGGGTTAAAGGGTTATTTTCTATTAAGAAGTTGTTGGATGGAATAGAGAATTCTGTGTCAGAAGGCATTTAACAAAACGTATGGCTTTATTGCTAGGTTCCCTCTTGCTAGGCCTCAAATTCACTTGAGTGTAAGTCTTGAACTACATAGAAAGTTTAGATTGCCTTTTTTCCCAACAAATCAAGAGTGTTTGTCATTAAAAATTAGAGTGACCTGTAAGAGCCCTGTAAAACAACACTTCTTTTCCCATGAAGAAGAAAAAAAAAAGTGCGCTTACGCTCTGTCTGCCTCCCTTATGGCATCACTCAGTGCTCTTCTTTCCTCTCGCAGGGATTCTCTGTACCAAAAAAAAGATTGAAACAATTAAAAGCAAGAAAATTTATGTATACTTCTATAACTCAGGATAACACATTATGAGTGCTGAGATCATACCCTGGTCAAGGTAATTTCTGTATGTTCTTAGCAAGAAATGTCGTCATATCTCACACAGTGTGTTAGAAATAACATGTCTTGCTAAGAATATGAAAAAATTACCTTCAGGCATGAATGGGTACCAGAAATCTGTTTAGGAGAACCTACTGTAGTGCAGGAGTAAACTCACAGTAAATTAAAATCATACATATGAGCACTAGCAATAGTCCTGAGAAGTGGGCTCTGGGCATCCTGATGAAGCAACAAGCTCAGGTTATTAGTTAGCATTATATCAGTACAGCACTGACAACAGAAAATGAACTTGCAACTTGTACATGCAATCATCTCTTACCTGAGAATATCCAGTGAGTCTACACTTTCATTATCTGAATCTTCAGACTGTAAGTAAAGCAAAGCAAAGGAATGATCAGCCACAGTCAAAGTTACAAGTATTAATCTCTCCCTAAAGTGAAGTCTAATCTATTGCAAACTCATGAAGGGATGGAACATGCACTCACCGGTTTTTTCATAGCAATAACTTCTTTGTAGAAAGTGGCAAATTTGGGAACCCATATTTTCATGAGTTTGCAATTGACTTTCATGGAACTTTACAGATTACTAATTTCAGGGAATATATTAGGGTTCACAAAGCAACCAGGTGGACAATCAGACATGGTTTGATGCTACTCTGGTTGAAAGATTTAATGAATGTAACCAAGAAGTTACATTCATTGGCCCAATGTTTTGACACTCCAGTCCAGTGCTTTCACCAGGGGCTATCTAATCGTTGCAGCAAGAGATCCAATGAAAAAAAAATTGTATCTTCTCGGTTACATTTATTAAATCTTTAAACCAGAGTAGTATCAAACCATGTCTTATTTCAGGAAAGTTAATCGAGCAGATGACAGATGTTTGTTTGTTTTGTTTTTTAGGTTTTGTTTGCAGTTGGAAGGAAAATACAGAAAAGCGTCACATTGTCAAAGTGGTTAGTTCCATATTGAATGGAAAACTTACAAACTTCCTGGGGCTCTTCCCCTCAATCACTCTTTCCACACGCTGTTGAATGCGATCAGATGCCCCTAGAGCTGCCTTCAAGTTAGGTGAGTTCCTACTCTTGAATCGTAGCACTGGGTCGCTGAAGTTTTTCCAAGAGTTGGTTGAGATGTCAAGATCATCCAATGCATAACTGAGGCTACGAGAAGGACTAGACGGACGGTAGGAGCGAGACAAAGACATAGGTGCTGTCACTGAGCGTGTATGAGCCCTGTGTCGAGAAACTGAAGTAGAAGGGAAATCTTCTGAGTACTTCCATGCTGGGGAATAGAATAACACATGTGTTACTAATAAAATTGGAATTTTAGAATGATACTGTCAGAGAAGCATGGTTAAGTCAGCTTACAAACAAGTGCCATCAGGGGATTGGGGGTATTAAAACAACCCACTCCTCCCCTCCTGCCCCCCCCCAAGAATACTGAGCCAGTCCATTGCAAAGTTAACCCCACCCCACACCCCTCCCACCCCCAAAAAAAAAAGAAAAAAAGAAATTTTTTTTTCAGGTTTCCTTGACAGGTAGTTGGAGACACAATGGCCTAATAATTAGCCTGTTGGACTCTGGGGCAAGAAATTCAAAGGAAAGTGTGCTCTGTTGCTTAATTATCTTCACCTTACAATTTCAGTGCAAAGTTTGACCCCAGAAACAATAATCACAAATCAGACATGGTTTGATGCTAATCTGGTTTAAAGATTTAATGAATGTAACCGAAAAGTTTGGTCTATAGATTGTAACTTCGAATCAATATCAGTATCTGGGCAACTGCCCACCTACCCCTCCCCTAACTCAACAACAGTCAATTGACAACAATTTAAAGTTAATGTTGGGTTAGGGGAGGGGTAGGTGGCCAGTTGCCCAGATACTGATATTGATCCATAACTTCTTGGTAACATTCATTATATCTTTAAACTAGAGTAGCACCAAACCATGTCTGATTGTCCACCTGGTTACCTTGTGAACTTTCACCCTTTCACTCCCGAGATCTCATAAGTAACTCCCCTGCCAAACAGTTCTGGTGATGTTAGTTCAGAGAATTTGGTGTTGGATCAATGAATAATCCCTTTACTATTATTTTTCTTTATTTTCATCACTTGCATACTTGATATTGTAAGGAGCAATTTTATCTTGGTCACTCATGGGAGTTATGGGGCTATATATCTTTATTACAAATCAGTTCCTGAATGTACCTGGTAATGGTTGTACACTTGACATCCCAAGACGGGATGGGGAGCTTGAGCGTGGCCTCCTGGTGGGTGACTTGGATCGACGAGGCTTAGGACGAGTAAAAGAACTAAAGTCACGATTTTCCAACAAACCTTCGTCTTTATGACGAACAAGAAATGGTTTATTGTGATTCGCAAGAGTATCGTCAGGTCTAGGTAGTGGTGTACTGGTGAGTTTGCGGCGTGAAGGAGAGGGAGACCGTGGCACTTGCTTAGAGCCTGTGGGACTGACTGACCGCCGACTGGTACTAAATGTGCTGTTTGTCAGAAGATCATCAACACCAGAGTCCTAGAATAACAGGTTCTTTTTTTAGTTTGTTTCTTTTTATTTTTTCCTTTCCCTATCTCTTGGGAATGCAATTTTTAAGTGGGACTTTAAATCAAGAATGGCTGTTGTAAAATACACTGCAGACAGTTCACATCCCAACCTCATCAGTCACAACAGCTACATGTAAAATGAAAAGAATCCCAAAATCATAGAGAGCCAGTAAAAATTACCAAAGAAAGATTTCCAATTTTGAGGCCACAGACATTTCACTGAAATAAATTTTTTTAACAGTTTTGAAAGATAAATAGCTTTCTATCTGCACATATTTTCCATTTTCCAAATCAACCTTTACAGCCTTAATCTTTTGATCGCTGAGAGTGACTTGCATCTAATTTTTCCTTTCAAAATCACCCCTGAATCAAACATTACAGTCATGAGAATAAAGGAAATGATAATCAACTGGAGAACCTCTTGACTGTTAAACAAATTCTCTTTGCCAGCACATTAGGAAACGTCCAGAGAACAGTATGGAGAATATACATACTGATGTTAGAGTGTAAAGTGTTAAAACCTTGACATTTCAACTAAGTTGCCTCAAACTTGGAAATTCTCCAAATTTTACTGCTCTCTTTCCATTTTTTCTTTTTGTTCAAAACTCGACTGACATGATCAAGTGACAGGTACTAAACAGCCAAATTATGACCCTCTTTTATTGCCTCAACTCCTCCATAAACAATGAAAAAAATATGGCTCACACAAAGTTTGATTTCAAACAGCCATTCAGGATGAAAGTAAAAGTGATTGAAACAGCACAAAGAAACAAGAGTTGATCCTCTGCATTTTCTAGCAGATCAAAGGCTCCACAAATTTGCACAAGTGATTCTAATGGAGGTGCTTAAGAGTGAAAGTGTGCCACGGTCTTCTCCCTGACCATCAGTAATTTAAGAAAATATTTACAGGTGTAAAGAGTTTTTAAAAAATGTATATCCATTAAGGGAAAAGGTGATTATTACAGGCACTTCACAATTAATGTGCAATAGACTTTGTACAAGTTTTAGGTGTAATTCTAAGCAAGTGACTCTAAACATGTAGAACCTGTGATTTCATTGCTGGTTCAAAGAGTTTTTATTTCTTTCGTACAACATGCAAGATGAGGAGTGTGCAGGAAATTAAAGCACTGAACAGTGGGTCAACAGGACCAGATTTGGAGACACTGAAAGGGGTCTTTGAATTGCACCCATGGGCAGGACATTACACATTCACAGTGCCTCTTACCACTCTTGAGTACCAGCAAGCATTCAGGAAAACTTAAAAGATTTCTTGCAGTTGCCTGTGATGGGCTAGCATTCCATTCACAAGAATGAAATTTGAAGGGATGCATGGATATAAAAAGCCCTTTGTAACCTTAAACAAATTACATTTTCACTCTTAATTCTGTTATACTCCCTTGTGAAAAATAAGGAGAGTTTGATTGTTTTTTGAGGGTTACCAAGATCTTTAATAATTTCCTTACAATCCTTTCAATATCTCCTTGCCTCTTGATCATGTTTGCATGGAAATCTGAGTAAACTCCGACTGTATTAATCCATTGGGCTTTTAGGACTTGGTTCACAGTGATTTTATTTTTATTTTATAGCAAAAAGACCAGTGCAAGGAACTTTAGATCATACTTACAGATGATAGGTAATCTGTAGGATCTGGGACTTCCTTGATGGTGGTCTTGGTAGAAAATTCTAACCTCAGAGGCTGGCCCTGCAGAATAACACAATTTAATTGTTACAGGATGGCTGTGCTAGTTTCTTTACTATGTTTGATTCACAGGATTGACTCAAATTTACATCCAATGCAAATTCAAACTTGAATGTGTATCTAACAAGTACCATAACTATATTCCATTGTTTAACTTACTGTAATTCTTATGGGGTTAAAAAGAGATGTTTTGAAGAGGGTCACTTCACGACCTGATCCTGGATATGGCGGAACAGCAGGATACAAAAAGTCTCTTGCATTGTTGGCAAAGTGACCAATAACATAGCCCTCTGCAAACAAGTATCGTGACATTATTAAAAACAGTTACAACATAAAAATTATGTTAAGGATATCACATAGTTTGTTTGTATTATTGAATCCATCTTAAAGATAGGTATTTAACACTCTAAGGTATTTAACACTCTAACTCCCAAGATCTGATTGTTAATTCTCCCTTCTAGCTGCTGCACAATTTATTATAATTTAGTCACAAGAATTTGGTAATAGATCAAAATAACAACTTCTACTGATAAGTATGAGTATTCTCATGGACTGTGTAGTGGATAATGTATGTATATTGTACAGAGAAATTAAACATGTATGTTAATCATTTCTGAGAGTTAAAGGATTAATGATTACTTTAAAAGGATCATTTCACTTATTAATGACCCTCTCCTACTCTAAAAGGTAAGATGTTGATTGTCTTTCATCTGGCATTCTCCACTACAACATGGTTTGTCAAATAATTAACTTGACATTTATTTAATTATTTCAATCAGCTACTACTGTGTTTAGGCAATCAGTGTTTACTTAAAAAGACCTGTAATGCTTTTATCAATACATGACCCTGTCAAGATTGATTCCATGCATAGTTACACAAAATTTTGGATGGCTAACTTGACAAACCATTATTGTTCAATCAAGCACACCTCACTTGAAATAATTTGGTACTATCTTGAATTTTTTTGAAGAGCACAAAACTTACAGACTGTTCATCCAAATTTCAAAGTTGTTTTTCATTTCCTCTTGTTAGTTTTAAGGAGCTGCTGTTTTTAAGGACAGCTAAATACATTTTCTTTCAAATAGACACACATTCTAAATTTGAAACTTAGTGTTAATCATAAATTATTCAGACAACCTCACCAGAAGTTTTTCTTTTTGAAATAGACACAAATTCAGGTTTTTTTTTTTTGCAAGAATCTGTAATATTTTGAGAATATTTACAAAAATGAAAGCTTTCTAACACAGGTAATTGTCTAACACCTTTTTATAAATTATACATGTAGTCAGAAGAGTGTATAACCAATCTACAAAACAAACTTTGCCATCAATTTACAAATGACGTAGACAACCACAAACACAGTACAATGCCTGTGGACTAACTGTCTAAACCACAAAAGAATCACTTTTAATTGTATGTAGAATTTTTGTATTGTCACTACAACCATTGACGTCTTAATGAGACAAACTTTAATTTGAATTAAGGTCAATAAATGTAGAAAGAATATTTAAAGAAAACCAGAAAAAAGTTGATAAAGTTGCGTTGAAAAACTAAGTTTTTGTAATAAGTATTATGTGATTAGCATGTGACAATCTGAACTCAAATTTGTGCGGTTTTCGAACGAAACAAAAACTAATTAAAGTTTTTAACCGAAGTATTCTAACCATGGCTACTACAAAAAGATACGGGGGCACTGATTTGGTCAAATATACAGCTTCCAATGGAAGGGAAAGCGCTAAAAACTCAAATTCCGATATATCAAACAACAAACTTGATATCTTTCATGTCTGTTTCTGATTGGTTGGAGATTACAAGCGAAGATTTCAATACTAATTTCTTTGCAAATGTTGTGGCTACTCTAATAATGTAAACATAATTTTCCCACCTCTCTTGAAAAAAAGTTCAGGGTCGAATGCTTTCAGCTGATTATTAGTAACGTCACTGGTGGTAGTGAAGAATTAAGCGCTCACGAATAATCTTAGGTTACGTGAAAGTTAATCCCTTTGCAGCGTTGGTAAGCGAGGGATTTAGAGCAAATTTAAAAAATTAAAAGTATTCTCACCTGAAATGTAGTCATCGTGCTGCCTTAGCTCTACCAGAACATCTTCACCTTAAAAAATTCAAACAAACGCGATGTTAACTTTCGTATCCGGTTTCCATACCATCAAATATGGCGGAATTCTTCGATCGTGATCCAGTGAATGTAGCTTACCTTTTAAGTGAACTGTTACGTATGCTGGGTCCTGACAGCTTTTGAATACCTAAGAAAAGAAAGCAAGGCACAATAACAAGGCTAAAATCCACACGATCGTCCGAACGTGACGAGAACAAATACACAAAGCAGGTTACGAAACTAACACTCACCCGTTCGAATCGCAGACGTTCATGAAAGAACAATGGAAAGGTAGGAGCTACAGACTTGGTATTAACTTCCAAACCCATGCAATTTACTTTCAAATAAACATAGCCATAATCTCGCAGAAAAGTACCAGGGCATGTCACCTGAAAAGCGAATGGAAACAGAAAGATTTATGAAATGCGTTCCAACAAAACCTTCGAAGGATCGATCGCATGCAAGACCTTCCTTGCAGCATGCAGTCTGGCGTCGTTAGCAACGGCGAAGGAATCAGTTGAAATTCCTTCGACATTTCGCCAACAACACTTACCGTGTGAATATCTAACTCCACCACAACTTTCATAGCCTTACGAGGCATTGTACTTTTGCGCTTATTTGAAAATCCTAGCGAGAAAAGGTAGGCAAAACAGAAGAGGTCGACGTCAGATCAAACCGGGTCCAGAGAAACCTGTGATTTAAACCCGCACGGCTAGAGCGTCGCCGCGGGTAGACGCGAAATTTGGTAAACAGTTATTGACCAATCAGAATGCAGTATTCTTTAACTTGATTAAATGAGTACACTCACGAACAAATGAGAATTATAATTGTTTTATGACGTCATTGGAACACATAATCGTTAGTTCCTCGATATTTTCCTTGATGACAAGGCATAGGAAAAGTTCATGTCCACGGGTCTTACTCGACTAATATACAATCTTCAGCGGCATAAGCTTCAACCTGGTGAAAACATGATTCTCATTGGGATCAAAACTGATCAAAAATGAAAAAAAAAAAAGCTATTATCCTTGAAGGTGAGCAGAGAAGAAAACAAAAAAAAAAAAAAAAGAAAAAAAACTCAGGCTTCGACGTGATTCGAGCCGCGCCTCCCGAATACAACATGGATGCTTCTAACTTGATCCCAAAAATAGGATCAAAGCAGCTGGGAGCAAATGCAGTAACGGATTTGCACGAGACAGTGTAAATTTAGAAAGAACTTAACTTCTGATAATGCAAAGTATAGTGGTTTTGTTTACAAATGTTTTACGATCACCTGTGATATTTAGAGTTTCGATTGGTATACAAGTTTTTGAGACAAGAAATATAATTTATCATACTCCCCAGCAGAAAAGTAAAGTCATTTTGAAATACCTAGCGCAGTTTGGTCGATTGTGTTTTAAAAATATGTATCCAACTAAATTCTAACTCTGGGTGTATTCTCCAAATATGATTAAAATCTTACCAATAATATTTGTCTCAATAAGAAATGTCACGAGAAGAAAGGAAACTGTTCTTATTTTTTGTTCCACGCAATTTTGATATGCGAAATATAAGCGAAACAAACAGAAATAAAATTTTTGAACGTAGAACAGAACGACGGGAATGAAAAGAATTACACAATTAAAAAATAGCTTTCAATTAAAGCGGAAAGCTATTTAACAAAGCTCTACCGAATCGGAAGTATTTTGCATGATTTCCTCTTACAAGAAAGTGACTTCCTCCATGGCTTACGAGCGAGGAAAAAAGTCTCCCAATATGACTTCTCTCCTCCCCAGGAATTTCCCACTTAGCTCATGACGTCATACCATGAAAAACACTTCACGCAAAGATGGCGACGGGTCTGTGTTATAAGTTAAGATTTTAGCTTTTTATAGCATTTACGACGGCTTTGAGAGCCCGGAAAGATATTTTAAGAATGTAAGAGGCTTCATAGGTGCCAGGCAAAGACGTGATTGTGCTGGAGAATGTGACAATCTTGGGAATAATTCTTTGTTTTTCACGAGACGTTAGAATTATCAAGCGAAAGTTCCACTGAGAGCTTCCATCAACATTAGATTGTCGTCAAGAGGATGCGTAACATCTATGCTTGAAGGAACGCATGTCAAAGAAGATTAGTGGAAATAAAATCGACTGGTCAAGTTAATTGGAAAAAATGGACCGGCAAGAGCGACTAGAAAGGACAGCGTCTATGGCCAACAACAAGGGATTGCTGAATAACCCTGGTGAAAATAATTGTTTTCTGAACTCGGCAGTTCAGGTTAGAAAAACGTTTGTTTCCTGAGTAAATGATATATAGTTAAGCGATCTCTTTAGAAAAGATCTATTCTATTTTTTGTTTTGTGAGGGGGAGTAGCTAGTTGAAGCTTTTTCATTTAGAAGGAACGTGAGTACGCAAAATTATACGGACAATACAACGTTACACATAATGGTAGTTTGTGTTATTTTTATCACATTAAAAACAGTGTTGAAAACTTGTACGATGACCGATATGACCGCTAAATGTCCGCACAGTAGGATCTCTGTAGCGGTGATGTGATATAAAGGTTTTTCTCAATCTTAAAAGAGTTCTTAAGTTATCAAGATTTACAACGCACTGTTTCCGTTTCATAGACGAATTTTAGATCAGAGGCACGTATTGCTTTTGTTTTTAAAGACGTGGGTTAAAAAATCTGGAGGATTCGATTATTGAAACAAGTTAATATCTATTGGATGTGTGATTACGTAAGGCTCTGCCGACATGAAATGTTGCACAAGAAGTACGCTTTGATTTAAGAAGTTAATCACCTAGTCGACATGGGATGCCATTCAAGGAATCGCGTTTTCATTTCAAATAAAGCTTTCAATGATGCGTGAAAGTGTTTTGTCAAAATGCCAAAGCGTGCTTTGTGGATGATTGAAATTATTTTTGACCAAACACAATAGAATCTGAAAAGCCTTAATTCCAGACCTTACGCCAAGCGTATGCATGCCGTCATAACCCAATTAATAAGAAATTTTTAAAGTTATTTCGCACAGATTCCAGAGATATTCTGTTGCTGCAGGGTATTAAAGTGTGTGCTAGGAAATAGGGTGTAGATGCTGGCTAAAGATCTTTTATCGTTGTTTAGCTATCAATATCAAAAGTTGCTCTCTATTATTGATCTTCAGATAATTTATTCATTTGCATTTGTGTTTTAAGAATCTTATCCTAGAGGTCATGCTTAATTGAACGTTAATGGCAAAACAGCAAAAAAAAAAAGAAAAAAGAATTGGCTGTAACTTATTGAAAAGAGCTTTCTGAAATGAATGCAATTCATGACAGTTAAGCTTACTTTGTCAAAGTACTTTGAACTTCACACATCATATCCAAACCATAGTGTGGAGAGACATAAAATTGAAAAATTCATTACCTTGAAAACATTATAATGCAAACAGAGGCATCAAAGGATTTTGAGGTTCTTTGAATTGTTATTTTTACTACTGGAAGAAAGGCTGCCTTAGTGATTTTTAACCAATATCACTTTTTCTACTGAAAACAATATCTTTATTAAAAATTATCATTCTCCATAGCTGTGTGGTCACAAAAAATTGTTTACGGATGATCACTCAACTTTGAAAGATATAGGATAATTGAAACTTGCATTTCAATTCATAGGAATTATTTTTGTAATAATTTAAGCTTTTGTTGAGGGTAATTTCTTATTGTTTTATGCTTTAGTCTTTCCGTGTTCGATAAAATTTGCTCTGTGCAATATCTTTCATCTGATTATGACATATTATGACTGTTCAGCCAGCTAAGACTAGTGAATATTTTAAAAGCATTCAGGTCAGGTTTACAAATTGTGCAACACTTATTAACATAATTATGAAAATCCTGTGATATTTGCCAACATCTCTCCAAAAAACTAATGTGAATAATGAGATGAAGAAGTAATGAGTTGTTCAATTACTTTGTACTATTCAAAGGCTTGCAGCTAAGCATCGTTGCATTTCCATCATACAGTTTTCGTATTTGTTTACAAATTTGCTGTTTTGATTAGGCATGGAAGATGGAAGAATTTTCTCGCTGCTATTCAGAACTCTGTACCTAGATTTTGGTGGTCTGAGCTATCAGACGTGGGAAATGTTTTCCTGTTACCTAAAAATATCCTCCAGCTACCAATTGTTATACTGGGAACCCCGAAATCTGGTCACCATTCTGTTTCTTTTGGGGGGCTCTGTTTTGATTTGATGGAAAATTCTCAGAACTAAAATAACGAGAAATGTGTGGCAATCTGTGTAGAGAGTTGATACATGTAGTTTGATTGTTAGAATGAAGGAGTCAACAGATCTATAAATAATTTGACTTGTAACCTTAGCACACTAGCTACTAAGACAGACTGTCTCTGAGCTTTCCCTTAACCCTTACCACCCTAACATCAGTATTCATATTCTCCATACTGTCCTCTGTACATTTACTAAGGTGCTGACAAGGAGAATTTGTCTAACAATCAAGAGTTTCTTTAGTTTGTGATCATTTCCTTTATTCTCATGACATTAATGTGTGATTCAGTGGTGCCATTGTAGAGAGAAATTAGATGCTGGTCACTCTCAGGGGTTAAAGGGTTAAAAATAGTTTAATATTGCTTGTAAGGTAGTTTTGATTCATTGATTCTCAAAAAGTATTTTTCTGTAGGTTCTCTGGCACCTGGATGTGTTCAGAAGAAGTTTTAGAGAGATTAAAGGTCATTACTGTATGGGAGAGTCATGTATATTCTGTGCGCTGGACTTGATATTCAAACAATTCCAGTACAGCAGTAATGATGCCTTGCCACCAGATGGACTGCGAGTTGCTTTAGCTGCTGCATTTAAGGTTGGTGATGTACATGTAGAATAAGTTTTTTTTGTGGGAGAGAATGCTATGTAGCAAATTTAGTTAGGCTCCTCATAAAGAAGAAGCTGAGCATGGATCAAGCCATGTCAAATCACAAAAACAAGTGAGAATTCCTTTGATTGGAAAATGTGAGGAGGTTAGAGGGTTATTTTTGTGTTGATCCAGACTACCACATAATATGGATGGGTTCAATATTGGAACAATAATGGATCTTCCTAGTCATCACTTAAAAAATTAAAGGTCAATCCAAAGATGTGGTGAGTTAACTACTGTATCAGAGCAACTTACAACTTGTAGAGATCTTTGTTTGTGTCTGTTACTAATGTATCAGAGCTCCGGTAGTTTTGCAATGATTTGATTTAAATTAGAACAAAATTGATTGATGCCAAAAGTCTGAAGGGTGGGTTTGATAGATACCTAAAAGATAGAACTATTAGTAATGAGAAGTAATATTTTGTTTGACAGAACCAGCACAGATTTCAGCTGGGAGACATGGATGATGCTGCAGAGTGCTTTGTAAGTACCTTGTTGGTTCTAATAGTCTTGGCTTCCTTTTCAAAAACTTATTTTTGATTGATTGGGAAGGACATAGCTTATATGTTATCTTGTCAAGCCTTATAATTATCCATTGTGTATGATGTAGTCCCAGTAAATTCAAAAATTCAAATTTGTAGCTTCATGTCTTCTCTTTTTTAACCTAACAGGGAGTTAAATGGTAAGATGCCACATGCTTGCTAATCATTCTGTTTTTTTCTCTTGTTCTAGGAAAACATCCTCAGTCATATGCATACCCTTGTGACAAAGAATGAGTACGATGATGCTTGTAATGTTAAACATTGTATATCACACCAAAAATTTGCCATGCAAGTTATTGAGCAGGTAATAATCATGGATTTCGTATATATTTTGAATTGGCTGGGTAAGGTTAAAAAGCAGACAGTGTTGAACTCCATAGTCCAGCTTAACTGACTTCTTGACCACATATTGATTTAATGAATGAAGTAGGTGGTAAACTCAAACTGTGAAATCACTTTTTTTTTAATTTTTGAGGGATTTTGTTTAACATTCAACAAATACTATTCTATTGGTAGCTGATTATATGTTTATTTTGAGTATGTTTCACAAGTTGGTGATCCCAATGATTCTAAATTTACATTTATGGATCCAAATTATGTCTTTTTTTTCTTTGTAGACAATATGTGAGTGTGGTGAGCAGTCAGAACCTCTGCCATTCTTCCAGCTGGTACACTATGTATCTGCCTCTGCACTGTGGTATGTTGAGTTACCCTCTTTTTTTTACACTTAAACCCCCAAGATCTCATTGTTAATTCTCCCCTCCGACCAGCTTTTACACAATTCCTGGCAAATAAGTTAGGCGAATTTGGCATTAGATCAAGACAACAACTTCTATGTGATAAGTTTGGGTATTCTCATTTGCCCTTTGCTGGATAATGTATGGATATTGTAAAGAGAAGTTTCATGTCAGTCACTTCTGGGAGTTTAAGGGTGAAGTTTTTGTTCGGGTGCTACACTGACTTGAATCTAATTTGTTACATGACAGTATGATCCTTGTTTCATTACTGGATGAAAATGGATTTGTTTTGTTTGTGTTCAGTGCTAAAGCAAGGAGACTGAAAGGATGGGATAGCACACGCCCTATTGAAAATCCATTTGGATATCTGCTTCGTAGAGCAGGACAGGACACTAGAGAGTGCCAAGTAAGTCACAAATATGTAAGGTAAGTCTCTATTGTGTCATTGGTAATTTTAATCAAATTTTTTCTGTTATTTCAGAGTCCAGACTGTAATGAGAAAGTCCAAGTTCAGCGGTTGTTATTAAATTGTCCTGATATTGGTGAGTATAAGAAATAATTGAATGTATTTATGAAATTTACAGGTCAGTGTAGAAACCAGATTTAAAAAGACGCTAAGGCATAAATGATACAGGGTCACTGATATACATTCATGCAAATGAGCTGTTGTCTCAGAAAATTTTGCACTTGTGATTTTTTTTATCACAAGTAGTATTTATCCACTGAGTGAGTAACTAATTGCCTGTTACTAATGAGTCCTGGTAATCATTCTTTCATATGATTATCAGTTTTGATTCACATGCAAATTAAACTCATAAATGAGGCCTGGTGCTCAACCATTCGTATGAAAATTTTCATATGAAAGGTTGAGCGCCAGGTCTCATTTTGAAAAAAAGGTAATTCAGAAATGGCCAATTCATTTACTTACTGATAGACTGAAACTGAATAAGAAAATGACTGTTTCACAGACTTTCTAAATGAGTGAATGACTTAATGATTGATTGACTTGACTTACTGACTGATTAATGTACTGAATAATTGAATGAAGTATCGACTAACTGACTGATGGATTGATTGTAGAATTGATGAATTCATTATTTGACTGATCAACTGTTTTATTAATTGCAGTGAGCGTTGGTCTTATCTGGGACTCTGAGTGTCCTGATGCAGAACATATTGCTGATGTTTTACAATGCATTGGAACAACTCTGAAGCTTACTGATGTAAGAACACTTTCTTTTAAAAGTGTACTCCGTTTACCAGAAAGCTCTTTTCCCTTGAATTACCCGCTGCCTAAATTAACTTCAGTTTGCATTGACCAGGAAAACAAAATTGATGGTGCGCAGTTTTAACTTTTTTCTTCAATTTTCATATCTGTTTCCAGTTGTATCATCAAGTGTATGATGAAAAAGCCAAGGAGGCCTGTCTGCAGCTGGTTGGTATAGTGACATACTATGGCAAACACTACTCAACGTTCTTTTTTCATAGCAAGCTGCGAACATGGATTTATTTTGATGATGCCAGAGTGAAAGAGGTGGGTGTGCTGGCTTGAAAGAGAAGCCGTGAATTATTTATTTTTAACTTGACATTATGTATTATTGCTCTGTAATATTGGTGAAGGGGCTGGAAGAATTTAAAATTACTATTATTTGTAGTCTGAATGTTGTTCTGTTATTTATTATTCATGAGAATATTTTCAGAGGTGGCTAGAAGTCAGAACAAATGTATGTCCTCAAGCCGTGTTAAAATCCATGTCAAGCTAGTAGAACAGAGGAACATTTCTAAGGATTCAACATTCCAAAAACAACCACAATCTTTCTCAAAAGGAAAGCATGCTTGGAGAAGTGAGAGAAATTGGAATGGCAGTCTTTGTTGTGAGATTACAAATTGTAATTTTTTCAAAACTGAACAGTGACCATTTCATGAATTCAAAGTGGTTTTTAAATGACAGGGTTTGAATTTTTCAAGTTTGAATTTATTTGAGAGAGCAACAATGTGAACCTGGGACCAATGTCAGTATCTGAGCAACTGCATACTTACCCCTCCCCTAACCCAACATTAACCCTAACTCGTTATCAGTTGACTGTTGTTGTGTTAGAGGAGGGGTAGGTAATTGAGACTGAACGTTTTACTTCAGATTGGTTCTGATTGGTTGGTTATGATGGAGAAATGCCGCCTATGTCACTATCAGCCTCTTCTGCTGCTCTATGCCAATCCCATTGGTACACCAGTAAATGCTGACTCAGCACCAAAGGAGCGAATACTCATCAATGGTGCAGTTCACGAGAAGGGAACTGAAGGGAAGCAGTCAGTGAAAGGTCTTAATACAGAAAGAGGGACAGCTGATGGTGTAAGCGACTGCGAAAAGAGCCCTGTTATGTCCAAAAAATCCAAATCACGTAACAAACCAAAACCAGATAAGAAATCACTGTTCAGATCAAAGAAGAGCCTTTCCTCCGGAGACTTGTCCATTCCTAAAAAGGAGCTCACGCGGTCACCAAGCAACGCGTCAGACAGTACAACTAGTAGTCCTGGAAAGGAGAGGCAGAGGCCGAGCTTCAAACGAATAGGAACAGCAATCATGAGTGCAATGAACCCTGCTCTAGCTGTGTCTCACTTAAAGCAGAACAAGAAAAAAGGGTCTTCAAAGTCCCGACGTTCGTCAACTGGCTCCAGTGAGTCTAGCGGCGACCCTGATCTTATAGATTTGAGGTGAGTAGCATTTTGTTTTAGAAGATCAGGTCGTGCATTGTGTCTAGTAGTTGAGCTTCTCTGATGTTTTCTTATTTATCATTTGTCTGCATCTGTTAGTTTTGTTTTAAAGAGCTGAAAAACTACCTATGCTCGTTACAGAATTGGAAAATTTCAGATCTGTTACAATAACTGTCTTAATTTAGGTTTTCTTGCCTCCGTACTCTTTCCTAAGCCAAGTGAACTATGAAAGTTGTTAACTTACCTTGGTTCTTCATCTCCCTTCAGTCCCAAGAATGAAGAGGCAAAAATGGAGATCCTGAAACTTTATGAACAATCTAAAGCATTGCACTCTGCCCAGGTCAGAGCAATGAATAACGACAGTGGGATTAGTTCTACACCTTCCTCAGCAGGGGGGTCCGTCAGCTCTACGGATACTAACCATGGGGGTAGTGACGAAGATCTCATCGATTTTAACCAATCATGGCGACGCTCTCAGTATGATAACTGGCCTCCGCCTCCAGGTAAAAGTGCGCTCGCGCATTGCTGGTTATGTACCGTTCAGACTTCGTTGGATATATTTGAAAGTAACGCTTTTATTTTGAAAACTCTCGCAAAAGTTTTCGTACCCGGTGGAACAATCTTACTCTCAGACTCCTTGTTTCCTTGACTGCGCCTGTTCTGCTGGCCAATGGTAAGCGAGTCTTTGGATAAAGATTGATGGCAGAATCGCTTGCTTGCGTTCTTCAGCATGCGCGGTTTAATCATTAAAGTATAGACAGCGGTGACGTAAACTCTTTTAGAAGTTTAGTTGCCTCCTCAAGTCTTTCCTCTTTAGAAAAAGAGAGCGTTTTCGTGGGGTTGTTTTTTTAACCAACCAAAATTTTCCCTGTTAGGTCGAAGTTTTATTTTGAGAGGAGAGACTTGTTGAAAGAATCGGAACTGAACGTCTTTTCGGGAAAATCAAGTGAACCCAATAGAAAAGATGGCGATGTATCTACATTGAGGAATAATACTGTTACTTTGCTAACATTTTGTTTCATTAATTTATTTAGCTTATACCGCTGATCGTATTGAAAAACTTATTAAAGAGGGACAGCTGTACCTTCAGTTATCGCAGGAGTGGGAGGATCAAAAGGATCTCGTCAAAGCTTTTGATTATTGCACCCAGGCAGCTAGTGAGTATTTTTTTTAGTTCAGACTGTACATGTATTATTTTACGAGAAGGCAACTATCGGAGTATGAGAAAAATAGGGGCTGGGCGAAGTGCAAAAGGCACAGGAAGTTTTGTGCAAGAAACAGCTTTCCTGAGAAACTTTATGAAAAGCAAGTAGCCTTGAAAATCATGAACGAGATTTTTATTCTGAAAATTAAATAAATCAGTTCTTCATTTAAAATTTGAATGAAGACATCCCGGAATTGGAAGAGGTGCCCTCCATTGGTTCATTCCCATCAGTCGGCCAAAGTGGTGAGCTAACACAATGCTTACATGTATGGTTACAACCATGTGTATTAATGTGTTCAATATGATATGATTTTTTATTTTAGAGCTGAAAATTTAAATAAAACAGTTCTTCATTTCCACAAAAAAGGCTTATTTTGAATGCCAGTTTTAGTTATTGAATGTGATTTTTACTATCTCAATTTAGTCTTATAATTTTATTTCACATAGCTAATTTATAATTTTATCATGACTGATAATTAAGATAATTAGTTTATCATGACAGATAATTATGAAATTTATCTTAACATGACAGATAATTAGGATAATCAGTTTATCATGACTGATAATTAAGATAATTAGTTTATCATGACAGATAATTATGATAATTAACTTATCATGGCCGATAATTATGATAATCACTTTGCCATTTTGATGAGATGAAAAAGTTATTTGGCCTTGGCATAGTAAATTAATGACAATTATTTACTCATGACAGATGATTATAATTATAGCCTTGCTTTGCTGATAAGTTGCTAAATATTTGGCCTTGGCGTTGTTAATTAAAGATGATTGTGTTTCTTTACCTCAGCTATGTTTAGAATGGTCACCGAGGATAATAGTGTGGACCTAAACAGAAAGAACTACGCTCAAATGAAGCGCAATGTTTGCCAGGCACGGGCCAAAAATTTGAACCACGTATTGCAATCCAGTCAGACAACAGACAATGGAACTGCTTCTGTCAGGTATTCAAGGGTTGATCTTACTATTTTGCTGAAGAAGTGGTTTACACGCACACTCGCAGCTAGGATACGCAACGACACGTAATCGTGCGTGTGAAATGGAACTCTTTTTTTTTTTTGCATCCGTATTTTTGGTATTGTGTGCCTCATTATAAATATATATAGTTGTATGGTGGATGTCAATTCCTTGGCCTGAAGAACAGGCGTAACCTTTTCGCGTTTTTCAGTCAAATGGAGTCACAAGCCAGGGGAGGCGCGTGAAAACAATAACTCCCCCGGCGCATGACTATTTCTTCGCGGTTACTTTGCGTTTGCCTCTGTTCGCCTAAAGAAAAGAAAAAATGCCCTAAAAAAAAACTCACGCGTGTTCTGCAGGCAAAAAATTCCTAGAATTGAGCACAACCTTGAGAATTAAAACCAACAGATGTAACCCCTCTATAGAAATCTCCCTCAGTGATGCGTGTCTCCACAATATATGCCCAATTTAGAAACAGAAACAAACCGTTAAACTTTCCGCAATCAATGCCCCACATTCAAAATACTCTGTGCACCACTAACCGCTTGTAATGCTCTTCCTTTTTTCTTTTAGTCTTTCGAGGCAGAAAGAGGAAGAACTCTTACGCCAGCAAAGACAAAGAGAACAGTACATAATCAGGCAACAACAACAACAGCAGCAACAAAAACAACAAAAACAACAAAAACAACAACAACAACACCAACAGATGCCTCAGCAGCTCCAACCACCTCCAGTACAATACGTATGTAGCCAGCGGATCTGTTTACTCTATTTCTAGCGCTCCAAGTTCATATTAAACTCTCCGAAAATCAACTGAAGATTCGTTTCGCTTAAATTGTACGCAGTTTCTTTTTCTGTAGTGAAACGTACAGTTACGGTTCCTATCTTTATTTTTTTTTTTTTTTTTTTTTTTTTTGCCTTCGAAAGACCTATTGACAACTTTTACGGCAGCTCTTGTAGATGTCAGCAAACCAAGTACTGGAGTCCACTTATTGAACATTCTAGAAAGAGCGACGAGCACTTCCTTAATTTTATACGGGTTGGGGAGTTTTCCTTTTTCCCCCTTGCGGGAACAAGTACAGGCCCCACTTTTGTTCACCCGTCCCCCGTCGCGGGAACTCAGAGACTGAGCAATGATAGTCGAGAGAAGCTTTTGAAGACACGCATTTCAAAATTTTTTTATCTTTTAATTCCGTTTTTACAGATGTCTGTCCAACGAAGGGATCGACCCGCTAGAGAATACTCATCCGCTCAAGTTACAGCACGTAGTGTTCAAGAAGTACCCGTGTCCTCCGGTAATGGGAGTTACGTGGATTCGAGATTTAACCGTAAAGACAATTGGGAAGAACGAAACGCTACCAGTTTACCCCTGAAAACAAAACCCACAGTGTATTCAAGTGGACATTACGTCAGCAAACCTCAAGGGAACAAAACCGGCTCCAGTGGAATGGGGCCGGGAGTTTGCTCGCAGCAAATTAAACCAGACTATTTGTGCTACAATCCTGTCCATTACGAGCGAGAGAGAGAGAGTGAAATTGCTGCCAGAATTCAGAACGTTGATATTCGCGCTCCGAGTCCGGAACCAAGAACGGATCATACCAAGGTTATTCCCGTCGGCGTGAACAGGACGAGGACTTCCGAAAACCGCCGACCTCCGCCTCCGACCAGACGAGTGTCAAGTTCGATTTACATTTCACCGTCGAATCCGTCAAATTTAAGAGCTTCTACGGTTGACACTTATGACCCGAAGACTTACCGAAGTAGCGACAGTCCGAAAGCTCCCCCTAGTATATCGATTTCACGGCCAAGACACAAAGTGTCTTACGTGGGAAATTTAGCTCAGAACTCTCGCCCGACAACTCGCGATCGTTCTCCATCGCCCGCACGCTCTGCGGATGGGATGGACAGTGATTATCGAGCCCGTGGTTCTTATGGTCCGCGGCCTGCCCAGTATGTACCCGCCCCTCCATATAATCCACCACATCAACGTGAACATCTGAAAAGTTATTCCACATCATCCTTATCGAGACCGTGGTTCCAATCGGGTTCGACCGACGATTCATACACGAACACTTCTCGAGACCTTCGGCAAGTACCGGCGCGAATCATTACTGATCGGCCGGTTTGCGAGAAATGCCGATGCGTCCCAATTGACAGGCGACAACGCCTATGTGCTGGTTGTGAGCAGGAGCTGTACCAAATTCACTCCAACACAGCCAGACTCTACTGAGGCCTATTGTTACACGGGAGGGGAAAGAAGTGCAACATGCCACAGCATACCATGGCGGTTTGTTTTACCATGGTTTGTTTTGTTGTTAAGAAAAGAAAAAACGACCCCAGATGTAAAAATATTTATTCAGTAACTTCAAACACACAGCACTATTCAATATGTTGTATGTACAGTTCCTCCTCACCGTTTGTGTTGTAGTTAATTATGAAATGCAGCACAAGAAATAGGAGAAAGGTCCGTGTAAGCGAAATTAAAACTTAGAATTGATTAAGAGATATATTCCCGTAGGATGATTTAGAATGATGCACCCCCAACGCGAGGAGATTTGTCATTTAGCCTGGGATTTTGAAGGCTACATATGGCTTATGTATCATCACTGAATAGTTTCAGAGTTGTCTATTTTTGTTTAAATAAGTTATATTGATAGGTTTTTATTTTCTTCGGGAAGAAATCCTTTTCGTTTGTTTGGGTGGGTCGCAAGTGAGGGGACGGTATTAACCCTTTCAATCCCAAGATCTCGTTGATAATTCTCCTTACTGTCTGCCATACAATTCTTATGATGTTAGTTCTGAGAATTTGGTATTGGATCAACTAATCCCATAATTAATATTTTTTTATCCTCGTCAACTACCTACTTGATATTGTAAGGAGAAATTCTCTCTCGGTCACTTGTGGGAGTGAAAGGGTTGAGATCTGTTCTTAAAGATGTGTACAAAGAAAAATATTACGAATGAGGAAACCGTGGCGCAATCTTTGGTTGAAGAGCGGAGATTGATCCTGGATAGAGATTCCTTCTTCAAATGTGAGGGTAACTATGAACGAGCCAGGGGTGTAAATTTTACGGTATTTACATATAATCACTATAGTAGTGGAAGAGTTGTTAATAAATTTAACGAGGAATTTAAAAGACGAGATTGTAACTTTTTGAGTGGGTGCTTCAATGATAAAGTGTGTGGGTTTGTGCACTGTCTGGGTCACTGTACCGTGTTGCGAAAGGTGACGACGTGTCTAATGTTTTGAGGCGTGGGGGGAATGGCAACAGCACATGGTCTTACACTCTCAAGGGCGCCATTGTATAACATTGACGTGGGATGGGAAGACATCCTAGAGGTGATTAACTACTTAATTTTCCAGTTCCCAAAGTTATCTTGTAAACAGGTTATGAGAACAGACAAGCTTATCAGCTGGGGGCGTTATTTTGGAAGAAGACCATAACCCATATTGTCATTAGGGGAGAGTTTTGGGTCCTGGGATTGAAAGGACTAGTTGTGCGATTGGGGAACTCTTGAATGTTATTTTATGATCAGGGTGGGGAGTTGGCGAAAGGTAAGTTTTGTCCTTACCGTTCGTTCCTGTAAGCTGAGATGGAAAACCTACTAAAAACAACGAAGTCGAAAAATCTTTTATTGAAATTCATCTCGCTAACAAAGAACAGACGCGAAAAAGAAAGAAAAACGATGACAAAACTATTGTGTTGTCTTATGAGACGCGAGTTATGACCATTTGAAAATAGCTGAACCCACGCTCCTTCTCAAAAATCCTTTCAGCGGCTGCATAACTTCGAAAAAAGTGTCACTCACTTTCTGTATTTAATACCACCACAACGTGGAGGCAATTATCGGTCTTAGCTGTTGAGGAAGATAACAGAACAGCGAACTCTCTCGATGTTAAATGAAGACATGCCAGGACACCTGTCTTTTAAGGATGGATCATTCATGTTGCTAAGCGACCACAAGAGGTACAATCGCTGGCTTAGCATGGTACGTCGTCGACTGTTTCCATTTCGTTCTACCCTATTGGAGTGATACAGATATCAGAGTGTACAACAACTTTTCCTGGAATTCTATCACAGTGTATGCGAGCGTGTTTAATCCGTCCGTATCGATAAGCACCTCACTTCTACGAAGTTCCTCATGCCTGTTAAAAAAAGATAAATAACAATCTCGAAGTGAAGTTCAAATTTCAAATTCTTGTTTATGATTTCCAATCCTTTATTTCAAAATTAGTTTGGATAGAGCAGTTTCAATTTTCATTTAAGTGGTTAAAGGAATTTGGGATTAGGCCTAGTTGGGTCTATTATTATTCCAAAGAAAAATAACTTCGAAATACCATGATTGGCCTCTCGCATTTCCGCGCTTCAGGCATCATAGTCTCTCTTAACCCTTTAGCTCTCAGAGGTGATTGGCATGTAACTTCTCCCTATAATATCCATATATTATACAACAAATAGCTAATGAGAATACCCAAAATTATCAGGTGGAGGTTGTTCTCTTGATCTAACACCAAATTCTTGTAACTAAATTAAAAGGAAATGTGCCGCAGCTAGAGGGGAGAATTAACAATCAGACTTTGGGATTTAAAGGGTTAAGGTTCTCCATGGCTCCTTGTAAGAATTATTCCTGTGTTCTGATTGGCTGTTGTAGTTATTTCGATTTTGTTTTGCAACAAGCAGTCGAGATACCCCTAAGTTTTGAGATTTCGAGAGCGAAGTTTATAAGCGGTTACCAACACATTTTTTCATTCCACTACTACGCCATTTTACCACATGGGAGCATCAGAACGCGCGCAAATATGTCACTGTATTACACCGTAGAACAGGGGAAAATAGCGACGGAAAGCTGAGCTCATGTTAGTCAAAAAAAACACTCCAATGGTTTCGGTTGTGTTGTTCTCGTCTTTCGCTAAATTTCGATCTATGCTCAGTAAGACCGAAGGATGTATTTCGAACTAGAAGCCAAAATACTTGAAAACGAAATAATAGTACATCAATAAATCCCTTATTCAATGGTTTAACATAAAATACGAACGGACATTTTGCTCATGGCTCGATCGGAAAATACCACGTAACTCGCAAAATATCTGTACATATTACATGTTAAACCGTGATATGGTGTATTTATTCCTACCTTTCAGGATTTTCGTCTCCTTCTGTGTGTGAATGACTGAGCATGGTGTATCGACCAATCATATGAGCCGGTCGAGTGAGACTCAGGCGCCTTTCTGTGATTCTTAATAGGAAACATGAACATTGAAGCAAGTTTAAAAATTTTAAATCCAAGGTGGTACAGTGTGCTTGAGTTTGATATTTCTACCACTCTTGCAATACTAGACATAACGTAGAGTAAAAAATGGTGGTGACGTCACTAGCCGTAAACCTGATTAGCTTGTATAGCAACAACGTGTTCACACATGGTTTGACGCTACTCTGGTTTAAAGATTTGATGAATGTAACCGAAAAGTTACAATTCATAGACCCAAGGTTTCGATATCCCTGTCTAGTGCCTTCATCAGGAGTGATCTGATCGCTGTCACGACAGGTCCTTTTATACGCCCACAAATTAGCTGTCCTTTTTTCTGACGAGGTGTAAATAGGCGTCAGGTAGTAAGCCGCCATCATTACGATTAAAAGGAGCGTGGGCGGAGCTGATGAACTTTAATATAACAATGTGTTGTTTGAATAAAATTTTTTCCTTTTTACGAACCTGACATACAAATCATCATCTTCTCCTCCCCAACCCCAGAAGCGATTTGGAAATCCATTGATACGGCGGTAATGCTCGACCCAAAAACCTTCAACACCACCAAACAAAGTCTTGTACTTTAATCTGTGTTGGCAAAAGGAAACAGATTTCAACCTTGGACAAAACTTAATTCAGAAATCTCAAAACTTCCAAAACAGCTGATTCTCAAATCCGAAAACCCGAATGACGCACCCTGCTTTAGTTTCGTATCGGTCTAAAGCGTGGCCTTGGATCTTAGTTTTACCTTTCGACCATGTGATTGGTCAAGAAATATCACTCCATTCAATTACCAATGAGATAGTCATATTTCCCGCGCTTTCATATACACATTTCATTTACCTTGATTTATCATTGGCTCCTCGGGATGATTATTTTAAATCTGATTTGCTGTGGTATCACTCTTATTAGGGTACTGCAAAGGATCAGCTATAAGGCTATTAACAACAAAAACCTCAAAGCTGAACAAAAAACCCTTCTGTCATGAATACTAACATGTAGTCATGGCGGCTCACAGCAGTGGACATATGACGTGGAGATGAGGGACAGCTGTAGTCATTTCTGGCATCCTCTGGGATCAGATCCACATCGTGAAATATTACACAAGTGAAGTTATCCGCCTTCATTGCTTCATTGAACCCAACGTTCATTAGCATTCCACGATTAAAACGCTCGTTGTCGGCCTGGAAAATAAACGCATGTTAGTTCTCAGCTAAGTCAAAGTTTAAGTTTTGCATGAAAAAAAAGATAAAAACTAGAAACTTCTTTGTTTATTTTGCTTATTCCTAGCTTTACGAGGACTTGGAGTGGGGGGGGGTTTCGTCGTTTGACGAAACAAACAACTTTTGCGAGGGAGACTAAACATGAGTCACCTGTTACAATGTATCTGTCCGACTTACGTGTACAGTCGGGAGAGGCCTATCCCCCTGTTTTACCTGTTCTATAATGAAGATTCTGTACTCTAACATTTGCCATCGGAGATACTTGTGCATGTGTCTTACGAATATGTTAAGGTGTTCTTGTCTGTCCCTGAAGGGAACAACTATGGCTACCTGAAAAATGAGAGAAATGTAGAATTAAAGTAGTTTCATCTTACCCCAATGAACTGCGATGGTATTTCTCTATCGTTAGATCTTCAGAAACCACATTATTTCAATCGTTCATTCTTCGTTCATTCGTTCATTCGTTCATTCGTTCATTCGTTCATTCGTTCATTCGTTCATTCGTTCATTCGTTCATTCGTTCATTCGTTCATTCGTTCATTCGTTCATTCGTTCATTCGTTCATTCGTTCATTCGTTCATTCGTTCATTCGTTCATTCGTTCATTCGTTTATACTTGCATTCGTTCATTCGTCCATACGTCAATTTGTTCATTCGTTCATTCGTTCATTCGTTCATTCGTTCATTCGTTCATTCATTCGCTCATTCGTTCATTCGTTCATTCGTTCATTCGTTCATTCGTTCATTCGTTCATTCGTTCATTCGTTCATTCGTTCATTCGTTCATTCGTTCATTCGTTCATTCGTTCATTCGTTCATTCGTTCATTCGTTCATTCGTTCATTCGTTCATTCGTTCATTCGTTCATTCGTTCATTCGCTCCTTCGCTCATTCGTTCATTCGTTCATTCGCTCATTCGTTCATCCTTTCATTCTTTCATTCGTTTATTCGTTCACTCGTTCATACGTCAATTTGTTCCTTCGTTCACCCTTTCATTTGTTCATTCGTTCATTCGCTCATTCGTTCTTTCTTTCATTCTTTCATTCGTTCATTCGCTTATTCTTTCATTCTTTCATTCGCTCATTTGTTCATTTGTTCATTTGTTCATTGACTCACTCACTCATTTGTTCCTATTTTTCGCTTCGTATGTAATATAATCTTGTTATAACCTTTTTTCTTGGTATACAGTCAGGTTTCCATTGTCCACCGTTCTGCACAAATTCTAACTCACGTTCGACGTCCTCGAGCTTCAGTGCATTGTTGTAAACCGCCAGCAAACCAACTGAAAAAAGAATTATTTTCCAAAAATAACGATAAAAAATGTGGACTCAATAGATATTTGCAATTGTCCCCGTGGAAATGATATTCTATGGCGATTTCTCTTCTCCCCCCTCCCGCAGGGGATTTTCCCTTCCTCGTTTGCGTGAGTGCTCAAGGTGGATAATAAAGAAATAGACAATACAGTTTGCTTCATAAACCACATTATTCTATTTACGCGATCAAAAAGCTACACGAATAGTTGCTACTTTCCGCGCTTTTATATTTTCAAAATAGCAGCATTATTAGTGAAAAATTGTTTTCAAATGTGCTAAATACTCAATCATCGAAGCCGCGATACGATTTAAGACTTTTCATTAAAACCTAGCCGCTTCACTATGAAATGGCAGAAAAGTTATCAACCAAGTCAAAGTTTCCTTAACATGCAATTTCTAGGTGTTAAAACTAAGAGAAAGATAAAACCTGTGACATTTTGTTAAAACCGTCGCTCAAGAGGTTGAAAAAAGCAGAGAGGTTCTTTGTTGCGTCGCAGGTTACTGGCCTGGCTGCTAAGCTGTACTCAATATAGCAGTGCCTGTGGTCGAATCTTTAAAATTCTTTAAATCTTTAAATATCTTTAAAATCTTTAATCTTTTCTTTAATCTTTAAAAGTTAAAATTCAAGCGGTCATGTTACACTGTTGAATTTCTAAACATAGTCTGTTTGTAACATAATTCTATTCATACTTTCTAGTAGCGGTGATTACAATTATTCGATTTCAGGGGCATAGTTCTTCTCTGACGATGAGAGACTAAGTAAGAAGGTTCTTTGAACGTGATTAAATAAAAAAAAAGGATATATGCTTTGATCTACGGATGATACAATGGGTCATGGGTTCAAATCCCGTTGAAAACCGGATCGTTTTCAGTCTTCCTTCAATTATTTTTTTATTCCTATATTCTTTGAACTTACCTGAATTTAGGTGACTGGTGGGACACGGTGTACCACTCTCCAGGTTAAATTCTTTGTCCATTTTCTCCATCAATTTTGCCAAAGAAAATCCGTTTGGATTCACTCGTGGAAGAACGTTGTTTGAAATATCGCTTGCCATTAAAATACGGGCCTTGTTTATAGGAACCCCTAGTCCTTCAAGAAACGAAAGAAGGCTACTTCTCTTCGCAGAATTTTCCTTTTCGCCTGTTAATTCTTCAGACGCTCTCTCATCGTTCACCGAAAGTTCTGGCGTCGAAGAAGAATTCAATCCGTCATCTTTCATTATTCCAGCTCCAAAATTCAACGACGTTTCGTGTGTAAAATCCCTTGGAAAATAAGCTAAATCACCTTCTGACGGTTCCTCTTCAAAATAAATTTTCACCACTGGCACATGCGGTAAATGCCCGATCATAAGAACATAAAGAAGAAAATATAACACTGTTCCTGAAATCAAAACTAAATTGAAAACTTTGAAAGGGGACATTTTAGGAAAAAGAGTGGCGTTATGCTTTTGGAAGTCATCGATAAAACAAGACATCCCTTGGTAACGCCCCAGGAGTGGAAAGAATGTTTGAATAAAACAACACCATGAACGTCTTTTATGAGGATGAATCAATCATTATAAATTTACTTAGGCGAAGACCACTGTTTAAACAGAACTGGCCGAAGCTGGATAGTTAAAAGGATGAAACGGGGTTTACCTTGGTGTAGGCACCTGAGGGTTTTTTGTTGTTGTTGTTTTTTATCAATTTCTCAGACTTTTTCAACTCTTTTATGTTCTTTGTTCTACGTCATTCGTGAACTTAACAGGTTTCTACACTGAGGATGAACCTAATTTTATAATTTCTTACCACTTTAGTCGACATATGCGACCAATATTGACGTCATCACTTAAACATCATATCTTCTCCTGTTTTTCGGACGGCTCAATACAAGATGGGTACAGCTCTCTAAACGTGTTTCTCAGTATTTCATTAAATACCGTAAAGGCCTTTCTTTAGGTCATGAAATGATCAAAATTCGTCAAAATTGATCTGTTCCACCAATTAAAGTTACACGGTCTTACAATGGTCTGAAAAACGATAATATGAGAACATCAAAACCCATAATGCAATGCAAATTTAACGTGTAAAGGTTGTATAATTATATAAAGTTTTACTCCTCTCGGACGAGCGAGCCTCTTTAGCTCAGTGGTTAGAGCACTGGTCTTGTAAACCAGGGGTCGAGAGTTCAAATCTCTCAAGGGGCTGCAAGAAAGTACTTTTCCTTTTTTCAATTATTATCTTCCTTTCTTTCTTTTTCTACTCCAATTTTCTTTCCCCTGAATCTTTATCTAAATACTTGGCTCTATAATGTTGAAATGAATCCAAATTTTTTCCATATAAAAAAAACGCTGAAATCGCTGAGGTCAGCGAGTTGTCGCAGTAGGCATGCTCGCTGTAGAGTGGAAACATGGCGGATAGGGTGACTTGGGTTTGTTGCTTACTTGTCATCTGTTTTGTGAGTTCCTTGGCAGAGGAAGCTGAAAATTTATCAGGGAATGACTCAGTTGAAGGTAATAGGCGAACTGACTGGGAATGTTAAAGCATTGTACGAGTGGTTGTAAGTTTATTTGTAATCTTTGCAAACCGAAATCATATTGTATTTTTCAGATGAAAAAATGGTTGACGAAAACAGCGTTTCAGGAGGAGAAAATGACACCACCTTGGAAATATTCAATATAAATGAAACATCAAGCAAAACGGAGGTTATAGCCGCAAATGAAACGGAGTTAAATGAAAGTCTGCCTCAAACTGAAAATACCACGGAACATAAAATTGAAGTCGTCAACTCTACAACCACTCCAAAATGGTTTTGTAAGGGAAGGAACAATTCACAACATAATGACTCCCTACCACAGAGTGTGGCCATAGTTGATGCAGAGGAGTTGCTCAAGATTATTAATTCGACGTCAGATAATAATACTGACGCTTGTGCAGTTGTTTTGTTTTTCACCCAGTATTGTCCATTTAGTGCAAAACTTGCCCCGATGTATAACGCTCTGGGACGAGTTTACAACAATTTACCCATTCTAGCTGTGGATGCTTACAAACAACACAGGTGAGTTTAAGTTTGGATAACAAACTGCTGGTGGGTTTTCAGATTCCTTTACCTAGAACAAAGAACTCAACAAATTTGCCTTACTGCCAACATCAACCCCAATTAGGGGATTATTGGCTGATCCAATACCAAATTCTCTGAACTAACATAATGATAATTGTCTGGCAGACAATTAGGAGAGTTACAAAATATTGGGAGATGAAATCTTGGGAGTGAAAAGTTAGAGAAAAGGATCCATTTTGGTTTAAATACCCAAAGCCAGTAAAACGCAAGGTGACAAGAATAGACAAATCAACCTGAGGGTTATCATCATAAAGCACCAAATTCTCACAACCAATTTAGAAGGAAATGTGTAACAAGTAATAGGGAGAATTATATCTAAAATCTTTAGAGTTAAATGGTTTCTGGGAAAATTCCTTTTTTTTCCTTTAAGTGGGGCATTTTTGTAGTTGTTTTTCACTGCTTAGTGCATGTTGGTGATCAGCTGAATAACATTATTGTGCTCCTTTTAGTCTGAATACTCGTTTTGGAGTGGTTGCTGTTCCCACCATCTTGTTGTTTCACTCTGGAAAACCTGTGTTGAAATTCAATAATTCAATAACCCTGGATGATCTTAGAATGTTTGTCAAGAACAACACTGGTAAGTTTGATACAAGGTGTACTTCTTGTTTAACTGAATGGGATCTGTAAATGAAAATAAGTGATTGAAGCCTGGTTGACCTTATAAATGCAGACATATTTCCAGTTTGACCCTCTCCAAATGAAAAAATAATTTATTTAATGGGTGGTCAGATGTGATAGCTGTCTATTGAATAAAACCCCTTGCATGAATCCTGGCATAAGAAATCCATCACCACCCCTTGGACTTGGCTTCATCATGCAACTGATCGGAGGGTCTATCGCCCCAAGGATTAAGCTGCAACCATGGTAAATGTCATCAGGCTACATCCATGACTGGTAATAAAATTTGTGGAGTTAGTTTTCATCATTCCACAGCAAGAGGTTCTCTTAAAACTTGTAAAAAGTCCTCTCTCTTGTACACCAGGAAGCATTTTCAATTAAAAATGGTACAGTTTTTTGCAGTTACACTCAGGGCCATGAGTTCATCAGTTTAGTGTCTGTTCTAATGCACTTTCTTAGTAGATAAATAATTTGATTGAGTTCCATAACTTTTTTGTAAGGTATTGAGGGCAACTTCAGTGTGGAGATCTCAGAGGAAGATTACATTGGTCCAGTGATAAACAAACCAACTGAAGAAACAGACTACTATTTAATATTCTCTTCTCTGTTCCTTTTGATGTTTGGTGCATTTATGTTTGCCAAGTCAAGCTATCAGGAATTGCTTTGGGACAGAATACAAGCAATTCCTTGGCGGAGATTTGTTCAGTGGTTTAGAAGAGATAAACAAGACTAGGGAAACTTTCTGTTTGTCAGGCAGGCCAGGTGAACATGTCAGTTTTAAGATCGGACAATACCAGTCATGGTCAAACTAATCCAATCTTTTGAGAAAGGCTAGTCACTTTTCATGCCTGTGCACAAAATACTTGCTTGCCCAGTACTGGAAAGCCCAGTATTGGAAATGGTGGTGCAAATGGAATTTTCTATTGTTCTGGTATTGAAAATGCAAGAGAGCACAACTCCCATGCCTTTACACACAATGAATGGAATTCTTAATTCCATTTAGTCTAACACTTTAAATAACCAGATCATTCCGTTTTGACCAGATCTGATCAATGGGAAGTGCCATGGCAAACAAGCACTTGAATTCAAAATAACACACACTTATTTATTTCAATCCTTTGAGGATATCAGTCTCCTTTGCAATTTTTGTCCAGTGTGATGACACAACATTTGCTCTCCTCATTGGCCAAAGTTGTGTATTGTGACCAAACAAAGGCTGCAAAGGAGACCAAGGATTTTACTGGTAGAAAATTATGGTACATTTTAGACCTAATTGGACAGAAGTGAAAGTGAAATGGATGGGAAAATCAGGAAAGCAAAATATTTTTTACAGAAGAGGAATAAGATAATTTCTTGAGAGGAAATATAAACTAGATTTGAATTTTTGGATCTATTACTGTCTTACCAAACTAAAAATTTACTATTTTTCATTTGTAATAAATAAGTTTCTTTCTTGATTCTGATTTCTATATGATTGTCTGGATCATCTTGACCAGGACAAGTAAATGGAAACCAGGCCAAAGTGTAATGCCAAAACAAGTTCTGGTGACAGGATAGTTGTTAATAATGTGCATACTGTTGTCACAATTTTGTTAAATTATTAATAGTTTCCATAATTATTTATTGGCTAAGATAACAAGGTAATGAATATTTGGGGTTTGTTAGCAATATATTGATGAAAAATAACATGAGTGTATAGACTTTTTTTAATCTTCATTTGCCTGAGGTGTATTTATGGGTGGTGTAAGGTTCATGGAAATGCTCTAGTAAAATGAATGTCACATATTTAGTGGTTCTGAGTTCCTCTTAAGAGGAAGGTTTATCAAATTCGTAGAAAAATGTATTCTGAAAGAATCTTACAACAGACAAATAAACAAAACATTCTTTTATGTGCTCAAACATAGCTGAGAAAAAACTAATTGAGATTTTATTAACAGTTTTAATAGTTACCGTATTTAGAAGATAAGCAGGCACACAGTATCCATAAGAACTTAAAAGACAAATAATTAACTTGTCAGTTTTAAAAGATCCTTCCTTTTTTGACAAGTGACAGAAATGCAATCACAAGTTCTAGAAGTTCTTTAACATATTTGAAGTTGTTACAACCGACAACCTCGTCAAGTAGGTGGCCTATTTTGCTATAAAAAAGAAAGGAAATTTAATTTACAGTATTACAATCAATTATTCTTTATGTAACTGCTCACACTTTAAAATTAAAATATACCATGTACATTAAAACTGTTAGATATACGATCTAACTTTGCATTATTTTCAAAGCTTTTCTGTTCTTACATGCTAAATCCAACACATGAATTAATACACACTAGCCTTTACAAAATTAACTTTTTTTGCATTCACATAATTATTACCAAGTGTATCTAATTATATGGACACAGTGATAGGTTGTCTGAAGTTTAGGTTATTGATGCGTCGTTCTACATTTTGATTTATGATGGATGTCGTTCGTGTTGATTTTGGTCCCTGAGAGGGTCTGAAGATCCTTTTCTCTGTTCCATCATTACCTTTTGGTTTTTTGACCACATAAGGATCATTAGAGTGAGATGGGTAATTGTCAAAGCAACCAGCCTTCATACCACCAATCTATAAAGAAAAGGAACAACATTGTCAAATTTTGTTCAGGAAATATTTCTTTAAACTTTCCAAGGGGGAAGGCAAATAAGCCAAGTGGCCCATTTTTGATTGAGCCTATCCTAGTTTCCCTACTAAGAAATGATGAGGAATAGAAACTTAAAAAAGCAAGAATCAGAAAATTGTCAGACTTATAAAAGAAGAGAAAAGTGTTTTTTTATCTCGTCACAAGAATGGGACAAAGAAAAAATTCTGAGTCCCTCCTAGGATTTTTCACTCCAATGCTCTTTCATCAAGTTACAGAAAGTCTACAATGAACTAGGCCTTTACTGGGCCAAGTCTCACTTCCCAGAGTTTGTTGGATGTCACAAAACTCTTTCAAATTTCCAACTCATAGTCTAACAGGATTAAGGCAACCATGGACTAGCATTCCTTCCTGAAAGAATGCCAATCCTGTGAGGTAATGCCCCTTGCAACTGAAACTGAGAAGAGATCCATCTGGGACATGGATCAGCCTGAGAAACTCTTCATTTAAGTGGTTCAGTTTAATTACCTCTTTTGGTGGAGAACTGGGTTTAAAAGGCTTCAATCCTTCTGGGGGTTTCCTAGTCTCTTTTACAGGCGGAAGAGCTGAAATAACACAAAGCAAATTAAGGATTTGAGTTTGAAAAAAATTGACAAAACTGACATATTCCAAACAATAGTTTACACAATCTACACAAGTGTGCTTCTGGGGGTGATAAGTCCAGTAACCAATTTATTGCTCTAGTCATCTAGAAAGTGTAATGTGCTCTTTTGCACATGTTTTTAAGGACTTAAACAAAACTTGATTCAAGAGCCCTTTAATTGAAAGGCAATGAATATTCATCGCTTACGTCTGTCAGATTTGTAGGGATTTCCATCAAAATAGGCCTTAGGATGAAGATTTAGTTTATATGCTCCTCCCTTTCTTGCTTTCAGGCTTCCTTCCATCTCTTTCTGTTAAAAAAGTTATTCAATAAAATATCATTTAGAGCATGCAATTAAGTGCTTATTTACCCAAAGGTTCATACAGGGTGTACAAACTACATCAGCTTGTGCCTGTCAGGATTTTTGCTTTTAATGGAAGATGCGAAATTTTTATCCTGAGACAACCAAGGAACCCACCGTGATTACACTTGGGGACACCTTTAGATTTTCAAGACAGTTGAAAAACAGATCTCCAGCTTGTACACAGAATGAATACCTGTGAATTGTTAGTGGGGAAGGGGGGACTGTGGGTGGTGTGAGAAAATTCTGGAAGTAATCTGTAATGAGCCCATCAACATCTGATCTAATAGATGTTTTGAGGCACAGATTCCCTTTTTTCCTCAAAATCTAGGAAAGCTCTATCTGCTTTGGAAGATTGAAATTAAAGAGAATGAATTAATAATGGCCATGCAAAGTCTCCTCTCTTTTTTGAGCAAATTTCATGGTGAAAGTCAACAGAAATCAGTGGAAAAATATATGCACATTGTTGCCACCAAGAACATTAAGGTCTGTGCTAACTGTGATTTCTGAACAAGAGGGAATACAGGTAGTTTAACCTAACAATAAGGCCAGTTACCTTTCGCAGCTCTCTTGCACGTTCATAAGCATCAGACATGTACTTGGGTGGGGCACCAATTGTCACATTCAGATATCCAAACCCTGTCCCCTTCTTTGGTGGGTTTGTCAAGAAGTTCTTTCCAGCAGACTCTGTTGGTTTTTTCCCCTTGGACACAGGGCTAAAAGCTGTAATGGCTCCACTGAAAGTTCCATAATGGTTTCCTGCTCCTGAACTGCACACATTCAACAAAAAATGTACTTCAAATTAAATCTATGCATGAGATATGGTACAGGTATTACAAAAGCAGAGAAACTTAGTTTATTTCAGGTGTTGAATTGCATTGTTTGTATATGTTGAAAAACTCAGGACAAAATTTAAAAGATTATCCTTTTCCATCAGCATAACCCTTTAAATCCCAAGATTTGATTGACATGTCTCCCCTCCAGGTGCTATATATTTCCTTATAAATTAGAATTTGGTGTTATATCACAGAGAAACAGAAAGTATCTCATAATTCCTATACAGTATGCAGCTAAATGGATACAAAAAGAAGCAAACCGATCTTGACGACACTCTCCAACTGATCAAACCTTAAGTTCTTATTACCAATTTGTTGCATGATGTATTGAAATTCTCAGGAGATTTGAGATGTTCATCACTTCTAGGAGTTATCAGGAGTTATTATTAATGCAAGGTCTCTATATTAAAGGTTTCACTTTTCTAATGAACATTTTGCATAACTGCAGCAAAGCCTCACATAAACTTACGGTAATTTTTCTCCACTACTTGGAACAAAAGCCTTTCCTATGTTAAGCTTACTACTCTTTAGTTTGTCCTGTCTACGCCGCTTTACAGGATCAGTGAAGGCCTCCCCTTCCATGACTCTGTTGAATCTCTGATCAAAATATCCTGCCTGAAGGGCTGATCGTGTTTTGCTCCCACCAGGTAGCATTTGTTTTCCTTTATGAGCAGCCATGTTGAATTCTTGAAAAAAGAAATAATGGTGAAAGTATCACATAAAAAATAAAATCAGTGAAGGAGCTGGAAGGCTCTGCCTGTAGTACCCCCTGTGCACCGAACCTCGATAGGATGCAGGCCCTTTGCAGGGTTACCCCTTAATTTTCACTGCCAACATTTGTCTGGTTCCCTAGACAGTTTGTCTGTACCCAATTAGCAATCTGGGCATGACTCAAAACTGACTCTTTGATCTGTAGTTCCTCTCTTTGACCACTAGCCAGTCAAGTTCCATAACAATACCAAAAGTGAATTAGGCCGATATTTAACCATGATTGAACAGGCACACTCGGTCAATAAAGGTTCAATATACATTACGTCCGCAATATTTTACCACAGAGTTAAAAAAAAAACATGCATAAACATGATGCTGTTTTCCCCGTTTGAAGGTCTTCAAGAGGGATGTTGTGATTTGCAACTCTAATGTCCATATTGCATTAAAAAAAACTTTCGCATGGTTTTTCCAGCGGAAAAAAAGGCTTCCTAATCTTTCACTTGCAACAAATTAATTTACTGAGGTATCTCCAACGCTTATGGTAATTTAGGGTTTTCATCTGCGTGTTTATTTTACGTAGAATTAGTAGTTTTCTTGAACTGCAGCTCTTTACTCATTGATTCAAAATTTCATTTCAACCAAGGATGTTGCTTGAAAATCTTACCTGTGCTCTTCCTTTTGAACGGATCACCAATTGAGATGTAGCCGAGCTCGCTGAACAAGCCGACGCGATTCAAATCGTTTTTAGTATCCAACTTCGCCATTTTTTGCCTCAAACTTGATGTTAAGCTTTCAGCTTATAAAAGAAAAACGTTCAGTAAGGTTTTTTCGAGATTTTGAAAGTCTCTAAAACTTATGAGGTAAAAAAATTAGTAAAAACTTTGCGACAACAATAAAGCGTGTGTTTCGCACGAAACTTTACGTTGTCATAACAACTCACCGCCTAGTAACCTAGCCTTGGAGTTTCTTTTCGCGGCGACCTGGGGAAAGCTAGTCTAGTAATGGCGGATTAGGTAAAAAATTCTTTGAAATATTGGAGATCTGCCAGAGTTGCTGTAGTTTCTGGCTAAAATTTATCCCTATCCCTCTCGATTGTTATCTTAAAGAATATATCAGCCACAGATTTGATGGCTGAACGTGAAGAAGACGTCTATGAGAGAAAGGAAAGCAAGAAAGATAAAGGGTATGTGGCCTTTCGATCTGACGATGACAGCGTCGGCGAAGAAGAGGAAGAAGAGTCTAGGTAAATGATCATTGAATTTCTGGTTGTTAGTCGCTTTTATTTCTTACTCTTTCAGTTTTACATGCTAAAGGAAATATGTCATCAGAATCCTTAGAACGAACTTTGTTTACATATTTTGAACGCCTCAACGAATCAATATTTTGACCTCGCCTCGCCCTTCGTAAAAAAATTTGAAAGGAAAGTATTATTTCATAATTTGTAACTCTACTCCACATAATTTTTTATCAATTTTTATTTTGTCCAATTAATCGCACTCCGTCGAGAGCATGATATTGGATGAATTTGACATGCTAATGGAGCAGTTTTTGGGTCATTTTTGTTTTAAAACATTTAATGTGATAACGATCAAATATTCAGTGAATTTCAAAGGGATTCCGGCGAGTGTAATCCCTAATTGATTCGGCGTGATATTCAAATCCGTTTTCCTGTCAATCAGGAAGTAAAGCGGCAAAAGTATTGCTGATTTAATGAATGTATCCACGAAAACAAAGAAAAAGCAATCACTCGTCGTTTCCATTCATAAAATTGGTGCACAATAGCTTTCCGAACAGGTGTTAGTGTGAACAAAGGTTCCTCTTGTTCTCAGCTCTTTTCTGGCCACTCCTAAACTAAGAGCAAACTCTAACAAGAAACCAAGCAACATATACAAATACTCTTCAATTTGAATTTGTTTTCATATATTTTAAACTGCTTTTTTCATTCCCAAGCTGCAGTGAGATATAAATATGAATTTATCCCCAAGCACATGTACTTATAAATCCAGATGGTAAGAGTTCTAGTCCAAAGATCTGAATGATATTTTCCTTTCCACCTGCTATACATTTCTCTCAAAATGATTCTGGATATTATGTTATTTCATCAAGAAAACACTGTCTTGCTGAGAAGAATATCTATTCCCATAAATCATTTACTTTGCAATGCATTGCAACTTTAGGGAGACGTTACTTTTAATCACTTCTATAGAATGAATAGTGAACTGCCCAAGAGGAAATCCAATACTAAGCAGACATGCTGAGTTAAAATATGTAAATGTATTCATTTTGTCTTTCCTGTGACATGGAAGGAGACAAAAACTATTCATACACACAGGTTTGATTTTGGTGAAGGAGAAAACTGATAATGATTAGACAAACTTGTTTCATCTTTACAAAGAGATTAAAAAACTCTTCAGAATTTGAAGGAGGATGTTATCAACTCTCTTCGGTTAAAAGGTGAATTATACTCAACATTTAAGTATTTGTCTGAGGGTTTTTTTTTTATGGTATGTGATGAATACTGTTTGAAAAATTGTCTTTGTCTCATGGTTCTTTGTGCCTCTTTGTTTTAATTTTCAAGGCCTAAAGGCAAGAAAGTGAAGAGAGAAAAGTCAAGATCACTGGCTCTTCGCATAAAACCTAAAAAGCAGAAGAAGGAGAAAGAAAACAAAGAAAAGGAAAAGGATAAGAAAAAGAAGAAGAAATCAGAAACACTCTCACCTCCTCAGGCACCAAGTAAGCAAGGACCAAGCTGTTTTCAGAAAAAAAGGGCAAAGAAATTATGGCGTTCATGTAGCCATGTTTGAACCAGAATGCATCCAAACTATTTGAAAGATCATGTATAACATAAGAAACAAATTTTTGATATTGAATTAGATCTCATCAGGCATTAATATCTATGTTCTGAAAGAAAACAAAATTTTGAGGGGGGAAGAAAATCTTTACACAATCATGTGCAAGGCAGTTCTTTTCTCACAATCTTTATTAATGTCTAGTTCCGTTCATCAATGACTCTGACAGAATTTATTTATTACCTCACGAAAACTCATTTTTCCAGTGGGAATTAAATTTTTTTAGCTTTTGTTTTTTTTCTGAATAGTTTTTTTAATGTCTTGTGCATGTATCTGAAGCACTTGCTACCTGGAAACTGAAGAGAGCGTTTATTACAAATATAAAGTGGTAGTTACATTAGTTTTGTACTCTCTTCTCCAAGGGAAGGCTGTGTTTGGAGTTCCTTTGGAAGTTGCAGTCAAACAATCCAGGTTCCCAGATGGAGTAGAACTGCCAAGAGTATTCAGAGAGGGGATCGTTTACATTGAAGAAAATTGTAAGATGATGAGATAAGACTGAGTGGACTTTTAAAATAAACTTTGCAAGCATTTGATCTACAAATTAGGTTTAAATTTTTCAATGTTATTTAATGTGACATGGTCATCTGCGGCAGGGCTTATACCATAAATGCTGCCTAACGATAGCTCATGAAGTTTTTCACAGAATTTAATGTACTTTGTATTAAAAATAATGTTGGATCTTCAGGTTTGGAAATTGAAGGGATTTACAGAGTATCTGGAATGAAGTCTAAAGTAGACACTTTAAAAGAACTGTATGACCAAGGTATGTTCCCATTTCTTCAACGATTGTGGCATATGGCAATAGATTCCTTGACCCCTAAGATAGCATCTTATTTCTCCTTACAGTGTCATCCCAAATAAAACAAGTTATGAGAATAAAGGAAATGATCACCAGCTAAAGAAGCTCTTTATGGTTAAACAAATTCACATGAACTTCGTAATGGGCGTTGCTCACCATAGAGTCTCTGTGGCTCCGTGGTAGAGCATCGGGACAGGGAATCCACAGAAGGCCTGAGGTTCGATTCCTCATGGGGACTCAGAATTTTTCTTTGTCCCATGCCTGTGACAAGATGAAAAACACCTTTCTCTACTTCTTTACTGGGCTTAAAACTTTCCGTCTCTCTTCTTCTATGTACAAACATGACGCTATCAACATTGCTGATCCTAGCAGTATGCAGGATGCATGTCATATATGAACTTCGTAATAGGTCTCCCTTACTGTAGAGTCTCTATGGCTCAGAGGTAGAGCATTGGAGTGTAGAATCCGAAGGTCTGAGGTTCGATTCCTCATGGAGATTCAGATTTTTTTCTTTTTCCCATGCTCATGACAAGACATCTTTCTCAAATTCTCCTTGTCGGGAAGTGTATAAGGATCAATGTATAGGGGCCAAACTACTAAGTCTTCATACTAGATTTGATAATATTTATCAAACAAACATTGAATTATATTTGTATTTTTTAATGCCTTATAATTTGAACATTTTATTTTTAGGAAAGTCAGTGGATCTCACAGAGTATGAAGCTGAAGCTGTGACCAGCCTAATCAAGCTGTACATCAGAGAATTACCTGAAAATATACTCACCCCTGCACTGCTTCCAAAGTTCAACGAAATATCAGGTAAAAAAAAAAAAGACATGCATTTACACAGTGGATATGATGAATCTCAAACCGATATTAGTGCCTTTGAAGGGCAACTATTACAAACCAACAGTGGTTAACCAAAAAAACCAGTTCAGGGCACTTGTGGTCAGATTTCTTGAAATGAATCTTCCAATCTTCACTGAAATTTGATTTGATTGTTAAAATAATTACTTGAAATAATTACTTTGATTCAATATGTGTAATATTTGATAAATAAAATTTTTGTCAAAATATTATTTACAGCTACACAAGAAAGAAAAGATCAACTGGAGAAGGCCAAACTTTTGTTAGCGGAACTACCAGCATGTAACAGGACCTTGTTGGCTTGGCTGTTCACTCATATGTCACATGTTATAGAAAAGGTTTAAACATTTGATTTCTCTCCATCCTAACATCAGTATGCATATTCTCCATACTGTTCTCTATACATTTACTAAGGTGCTTACAAGGAGAATTTGTTTAACAATCAAGAGCTTCTTTGGTTGATGGTCATTTCATTTATTCGTGTGGCCTTCATTTATTCATGTGATCCAGGGGTGATATTGTAAGGCAAAATTATATGCTAGGGTTAAATTAAGTCTAGTTAGTTATAACTTCACTTCACAAACCTCCGTGAGATGTAATAGTGTAGGCTATTATTATTATTAGGTTTGGTTGTGGAATTTTAATTTCAATTTGAGCGCTTCATGCACCATTGAAAGTTCCAATTGTTTACTTTGTCACACTAAAGAATACCTGAAAATCGAATTTCGATCAACCAACACAGAAAATACGTAGATTAAAAGATTGTTTGATTGTTTGTCTCACAATGTAAGAGTCAGGCTGATTAATTATGTATTGACTGCAACATTTTGAGTGCCACATTGTTTGTCTTTGTCTGGTGACCAGGTCAAAAGTTTACATCTTACACATTTAATGACCTTTGTGATCTTTCATTTTCTAGTATTCATCAAACAGAATGAATCTACAGAATATTGGCATAGTTCTTAGTCCAACAATGAACATAGGACATGGCATACTGTTCATCTTCCTAAATTATGTTGGTGAACTCTTCCCTGATACAAAAATTACAAGGTGAGTATTGGTTCTTTAATGTGAGAGGGTGGCCTCAGCTGGTAACCCATGGGAGAACTATTGAAAGTGAGTCTAGAACAATTGCTGGTGTCCCTTAAAGTATTTACCAGGGATGGGGGGTGGGGTGGGATGGAAGTAGGGTGGGGCCAGTGAGGAAAGATTTAAAAGCGAGTTTGTGGCTGTGCTGGTTTCTATGTTGTCTATGTTGGTGCAGGTAAGAAGGGGGGGGGGGGGGACGAGAGAGAGGGGGATTGGTTTTAATAAATGCATCCACTTTGTTTTTGGTTTTAAGACATTCAATTACAAGGCTTTCTTTTCTTTTGAGTTACAATGTTTTGTTTATGATGATAGGTATGATGAATCACTTACCAGGACCATCAGAATGGATGAAGATGAGGAAGATTTACCCAGTAGTCCTGGGTAAGAAAATAAACCGCAGTTTATTTCAATTTTTCTTGATCCTGTTTGTAGCTCTCTGAAGAAAGCCACCTAAGATGTTTTTAGTGCCTGTAACTGTCAGATGGAAATGCAGTGCAACAAATTATTTTTCCTCCCATTCTAGAGGAGTCTTGGTCTCTCCAACTGTTGTAAATAAATTATGAGAAAAAGTGGTTTAAACTAAGAGTCAGTCAAAATATATCTTGGGTAGTTCTAGAGATTGTGGAAGATCATTGCTGAAAGATCAAGTGGCTCACTACTGCCTTAGCTCATTCCTAGTTTTTTTGCTGTGAAGTGACTTGTAAGGAGTACTGTATTTCCTCGAATAAGCACTCGTAGCTTATTTAATAAATTTTTTGGCTGAAAGAAAGGGCAGTTATTTAAAGGAAGGTGCTTTTATCAGGAATCTTTTAACCTGTACTGATTCAACTGTTATGAAGCTTTAAAAGCTATAATTATAAAGTGGCAACATATTTAGGTTTTGTTTGTATCCCTATCCTAGAAAGCAAGGGAGGAGGAGGGGGGGGTGCCTTTACAAGGGGGGTGCTTGTTTGATATATTGGCCCAGGGGGTGGATGCGTATTCAGGGAGGGTGCTTATTAGAGCATGGGTGCTTATTTGAGAAATTACACTATGTTTACTTGTTAGTCTATAACAGGTTACCCTCTAGCATTTTTAAACAATTTTCTGACAGTTTTCCAATACCCATTTAAATATTCTTGGGTGGAGAGAGACACTGTAGGAGGAAATAGGCTTGTCTGAGAACCGAACAAACAAAGTGACCCAGCTAAGTACTGGCAAAGAAGTTTTGATTCTTAGTCTAGGGCATCAACCCCAAGGTGTGCACTTCCTGGCCACTACTTTTCCATCTTATTAATGCATGGTAATCAACAGAAATGATTAATTATGCATCATTGTGAAAATTTCTGCAGTGCAATAGCATCAGCACTGGCCAAACAAGAGGCAGTTCTCTCTCAACTTCATGAAGATCTCAACATGAAAACAGACAATTTGCAGGTAAATAACACTTAGTTCAGTTTTTAATTGTTATATGACATTTATTGCCTTTAAGCCTTTAAGTGGCTCACACTCATCTGAATTCCATGGCTTGAAGCACCCAGGAGTACTGCCACTCCCTACTGGATGAGATGTCATGGTCAGCCCATAGGTTTCATCGATCAAATATAACAAGGTCTTTCCTTTCAATTACTCTTGCTTTGCATATTGAATGGAAAAAATAAGCCATTGGGAATGATGCTAATTACTGTAAATTATAATTCCTATTTTAATTTTGTTGATTTACGGGGTGGAGTGTTTGTTTGAGTTACAGTTTGCGGGTCAAGATGAAATGCTCTGGGAAGTCCAACGGAAGGTGACCCTTCTCAAGAGAAAGGTATATGTTAAACAACTAACCCAAGATCTGACAGTTAATTCTCCCTTCTAGCTGCCTTACCTTTCCTTGTAAATTAGTTATGAGATTTTAGAGTTACATCAAGACTAAAACTTCTACCTGATAAGTTTGAGTGTTCTCTTTACCTGTTTACTGGAGAATTTATGGATATTATAGGGAGAACTGATACGTTAATCACTTCTGGAAGTTAAAGGGTTAAATGTAACATATATCTCTTAGAGAGTATCAGGTAGTTCTTTTGACTGTAAGCTCAGTGTCTTCCTTGTGTGTCTTTTGCAAAATAGACAATCCAATTATTACAGCAGGGTGGTTCTGTACGTGGTTAAGGGTTTTCTGTAATATTTTTAGGCAACATATTCATAATCATTCCTAGTTTGCAAGACAGAACATAATTTTTCTTTTCTCTTTCTCACCCCATAGCTTAGGAATGCTAAGAAGAAAATTCCACAAACCCCACAACCAGTGGAACACCAGAAAACTCAAGTTACTGTTGAGAAGTTGGAACATCCTTTTGAAAAACCAGCAGAGGATAATGGTAATTTATTCATATATGATGGGTGATTTCACTGGAAAGAAACATATGTTGATCTGTTAAAATATTTCAAATTTGTCATAGGCTGTTTTGCCTTTATTTTTACCAACCTTGACTTCTTGATGTTATTTATTTCAACAAAATTACTGAAATTTTGAGACATGTGATGTTGAAACTTCCTCCTAACAAGAGGTCAGGTGGAGTGCACCTTACAACCCCCACCCAGCCCCTCCAGCTTTCTTCTTGACTTGTGGAGGATAGAGTGCAAGCCAAAGAAGCCCCCTCCCCACCCCATTAAGTTTTGTCTTGATTTCCCAAGCAAATTAAATTGACATGGCTGAATCTTTTTTAAAATCTATTTTCAGGGTTAATTGCACTTTTAGAAGCCTCTGAAGCAGAACTTTTACTTGAGCAAGAAGTAAGGGGATGGTAAAATTTGATCTTTAATTTTTTCAATTTGCAGTGCTCCAAGTTGAAATACAGATTGAAACATATAAAGAAATCAGTGTGAAAATGCCAAAAGCTGCTTCATTTACGCTTACAAACAATTTCTCTGAGAACAATTGAGAGGACCAACTATTGAACATCTGTGTAGCCATCTAAATATTTTCACTTTCTTTTTTGGCAGGAGTTGACTCTAATTGGAAATGAGCTAAGGACACGGATTGAAAATGAGAGGAAAGAGATCGAAAGATTGAGTGTAAGTGTGTACATTCAAACTCTTACAACCTCAAGATTTTAGAGCAAAACCTTTTAACAGATAACTATACATGTTTATGTTTGCTCTTCACAAGATTGATGTTGTCTGCGAGGATAACCTTGAATTCATTCAACAATATGAAATAACAGATTTAAACTAAGGCTTTAACTCTCTAACTCTCAGAAGTGATTAACAAGTAACTTCTCCCTTCAATATCCATGCAATATCCAGCAAACTGGTAATGAGAATACCCAAATGTGTTGGACAGAAGTTGTTTTCTTGATCTAACACCAAATTCTGGTAACTAATTTACAAGGAAATGTGTAGCAGCTAGAGGGGAGAATTAACAATCAGATCTTGGGAGTGAAAGGGTAATAGGGAAAATATCAAGATTGCGCCCAATATTGAAATTCACAAATTAAGATTTTCCTGAAAAGAAAGATTGGAAATCTGCAAACCACTTTTTATGAGCCAGAATATTTAACAAAGGATACGCAAGCTAAAGAATTGAACAAGTGCTTACCTTTTTTTCTTTTTTATTCTATTATAAGTGTTTGATCACCAAGTGAAATCTTTGCCAGATAGTTAATAATATTCTAGTTGTATTTTCTTTGCTTGTTTTTTATGAGATTGTAATGTGAAATAGAGATGTTGTTATCATTCACCAGATGGAATTGACAGCTGCTATGGCTGTAAGGGAACAAGATCCAGACTCCACTGCAGACAGAAGTTCAGAATCAGATTCATCTGATAGTGAAGTTGTATCCTTTCCTGTGGTAGTTCAATCTCTGCCTACAAAACCACACACTTTAAGAAGAATACCAATAAAATACCTTTATATGCACCTGGTGAAGGGCTAATGCTCCCCCTTTATGTCTCATTTTTAACCTCATTAATATTCATGGGTGCCTTGGTCTCTTCAGGTGAGAGTGTTTCTGATTCCAAGGTGTATTTCTGCACAAGGCTTAAGGGTGTTTTGTCTGATACACAGAGTTCTTACAGTCATGAATTTTAGAGAAAAAAATTTATCCCATGTTGGTGAATTTGACACACTTTATCAGAAAATTGCTCTTCATTGGAGTTTTTTTCCTTTATAATGTAATTTATAAAAATAATTGTCACAATTTATCCTTTACTTCATAAAATAAAGGAAAATGAGGATGACCTTGAAAGAATTTTGGCAGAGCTTATTGCACAAAATGCAGAACTGGAGGTATGCTACATTTTATTATCAATTCCTGTTTTCCTAAAATTCACTGTATACCTTCTTACCAAATGAATTTAACACTAATTTGATTAATTGAAAATAAGATTTTTTTAAAATTTGACACATTTAATTTCTATTTTTAAAACAGCGTAAGAACACAGAACTCTGCCGTAATATTCATGATGAAAGAGAAGTTTGTGTAGAGCTTCAGGTACAGATCAAAATTCTTGAAGCCAAGCAAGAGCAGCAGACAGATCCTGATCTCCAGGATCAGAGCACAGAAATCAGGTACTTTACACTGTTTCACTATCAACTTGTCAGAACTGGGGATTGTGAGGGTTCATTTTATTTCCTGTTCCTTTGTTTTTGGCAAATTACTTTAATTTGTTTTTTCATCACCAATTCTATGACAAGATCGTGGCAAGTAAATTACTTGACTATCCATCACTAGAAAAGGAAACTTAAAAATTGCATTTTCTGTCTGGTATGTTGTTAGCTTTGGAACCTTGCATTTTTAGGGACAAAATTGTTTTGTCTTAGAATTCTGACAATTTGTATGTAAGCAAATAAGAAATGAAAATCAAACTCCTATGAAATGTTTTAAGCTAAGAAAAAATCTGCACAATAACATGTACATTCTTTTTCTTTTCCATTTACTTTTTCTTTTACAAGAATTATCATGTGAAACTCTACCTGGATTGTTTATTTTTTAGCAGCTCAATCAACACTTCCAGCTCTACAGTAACTACAGTCTGATATAAAAGCATGTGCAGATCTTGATCTGTTTAATGGATTGGTTGGTTGGCCTTCAAATGAGTGATGAAAAACTATCTGAGGACACATCAGCATCACACCACAGGCACATCATGTAGCACCACAGGCACACCATGTAGCACCACTGACAGGCTAAGTACCAGGTTGTACCATTACTTGGCCAGTTTTTGTCATGTACTGGATGTAAAAGCTGCACCTTAAGCCTCTAATAAATACTATAGTATTAGTTTTATAAGCCGGTAATGATGAAATGGCTTGAATAACAGCCAGCATATCTGCTCATAAAATTGGTTAACTCATTGCAAATTTGAGGATGCTCTGGACCCACAATTCACTATAAATAGTTTTTACAACATTTTGAAGTAAATGTATTCTGATATGCTAACTGTTCATAATTTTCCTTACCAGTATAATTGTGAATCAAGAATTTGTGTAAAAATTGAATTAACAAATTCCTTGCTTGTTTGATGTTTACTTTTTATTAATGAAATTTTTGTTTGCAATATAAACTTTACTAAGTTAGTGGTATACAAAGTTGCATTTTTTAGTATACAGTCACTACATAGTTACAATATAATACAACAGTTCTGTTTGCATTAATCTTTTACTCCCAAGACTGATAAATGATACCTAAATTTCTGAAAAGTAATTGCTCTGGGAAAAAAGAGGAAATTCAAGAATCCTGACATGTACGATATGTTGTCTCAATAAAGAACAAAACAAATCTTCTAGACTCTCAAACCAAAAGACATAATATAGCACATTGCAATCTGCAATAAATTACAGGTATCAAGAAGTCACATATCTTGAGAGTGAAATGGTTCTCTAATTACTACAAAAATACTTTGAAGTTTTCTTTGATTTTTGTAACTTGGGTGCATCATTTATTTACTTAATTAACTTTCCAAACTTCATCTACCTTTTTACTGAATCTTCCAAGAATGTAACAATATTTTTCATCAGTCACTTTCTTGGCTGTAATTAGTAAGATCCTGATTTCTAATTTTGTTTTTCAAGAACAGTGTAAATTTATGTATAGATTGTTTAAAAACTCATTTCACCCCTAAGTTTTATAAAACAATAGAAAAGTGCAGTAAGCCCTGTGAGCTCAACCCTTCAACTCCCATGAGTGCCCAAGACAGAATTTCTCCTTACAATATCAATACAACATCAACCAAACAAGTGATGAGAATAAAGAAAAATATCAATTTGGGGATTAGTTGACCCAATGCTAAATTCTCTGAACTAACATTATAAGAATAGTATGGTTGTCAGTAAGGAGAATTACAAATTTGATCTGGGAGTTAAAGGGTTAAAGTTAATTTATGTGGGGCAAAGCTCTGCTCTCATTCCTCAGTAATGAAAAAAAGTAAATTAAATAGGGATGTCCATAGCCATTAATATTATTCCAATACACCCAATATCATTTAAAGGAGATTATTAGATGTATTAAATACAAAATTTGTTAATTAATTCATAAATAAATTTACTATTGTGACCTATAACTATGTGTCTCTGTTGTTATTTTTATCTATGCATTTGACAACAGGATGTATATATATTCCTGTAGTTGTAACAGTTTACAAATGACAAATTCACTTAACCTGCTCTTTGTCACCTTTGGTGAATAATTGATTAATAACCAACTAGTCTTTTACTAGCCAACCAATACATCAAGACAGTTTCTTACAAAACTAAAAACCCAGTAAAAATGAATTTAACATCTCTTCCTTTACTTGATGACAAAGCTTTAAAACAACTAATTCCTCCTCTTTTGTCATGATGCAAATTTAGCAACAAATTTAGTCAAATGTCTTACTTCCCAGGCTAAAATTTTAATATAAAAGATGTTCCATTCTTAGCAGTTGCTATGTGACAGACAGATTTTTTCAGAAAGAGCCAATTGCTTAATGCTCTTGATGATGACCCATCATAAATAAATTGGCTCACTCATAAGTCATAACATATCCTTGTGCTAAAAAAATGAATCACCTGCTTCCCACATTATGTTATGAGGCTTTAATTTATCTTTTAACAAAATCTAATTAGGACTGCTACCTCTCACTAACTGACACCAAATCAACTGAAGATGAAAACCCGTTCAGGGCATCCAGGGATTTGCCTGCTATCTTGGTGGCTTCAACTCCCTGAGCTAAAGCATCCTCCCACGATGCATTTGGTGAGGTTGATGTAGGAGCTTAAAACAAAAAAATATGAAGTGATAAATGAGTCATGAAAGGATACTTGCTGGTGAAATGTGCTCTCTCCTTTGAGACAAAAGTACTGTATTTCTTTGATTAAACATCATGGTGTTTATTAGATTTTTTGTGATTCTAGTAAGGTGTTTATTAAAGGGTGGTGTTCATGCAAGGGCAGTGTTTATTTTGAAAAACAGAAACATGTTTTAGTGCTTGTCTAAAAAGATATTTTTTATATAGTTCTCAATTTCACAATTTGCATGTAAATACTATTGCAATACATAAAGTGAATAAAGATATTTTGAACATGCTTTCTCTACATCAGAGCTGGTTCATTCAAAAGGATTTGTGTCCGGTTCCCTCAAAATTTCCAACTGCAATTGAAGCATTGATTGCTGTGTGCTTTTTGAGTCTATTATTCAAATAAATGCGGCATGATGAAGTGGGATTAATTAAAGGATGGCATTTATTAATATTTCAGCCCTAAAATGCAGTGTTTATTTGAGGGTGGCATTTCATCGAACCATTGCGGTACCAGTAACTAATGTGTACTTTATTTCAAAAGGATTCACACACTGAGTAAATTCAAACTTTGCACTAACAAAATTTAAGCAATCTTCTATAGGAGAATTAATCAGCCGACCCAAACTCCCTGATATCTGACACTGTTTTCACTTCAATTGGGCCAGATTGATGGGCTCTTCTAGTTGAATGTGTGGTTTTTTGGAATGAAAAATCTCAAAATTAGTGATTAAAAGCAGCTGTAGATGTAAATTTAAGTCCATAATTTCAAAATATCAAACTTACAAGTGAAGGGACTGGATCCCCCAAGAGATCGTGCTTTTACTTTCTCTAGAAAGGCGTCAAAGTCTTCAACATCGAGATCATTGCTAAGAACACACCAAGAAAGAAGCAAAAAATAACATTATTTACCCCAGAATTAAAAGAAAAAAAAAACTATGGTACAAGAATTTCTCTGCATCCCAGAACAATAAGCAAAATGAACCAGCCAGAGGTCTTCAAGGGGTCTAGCAATCATTATTTATGTCAGACCCCTGGCAAACCTCTCCCTGAATCACCTAAACTCTTCCCACAGGTGGAGAAAATGGACTTCCTGCAGCACTAATAACGAGGGCTGCTCACAAGCTAGATTTGCTGTAGAACTTGCTGAGCATGTTTAAAACATTGACACATGAAATGATTGTGGGGGGTGGAGCTAAAGGGTGTTTTCCTCAAAAGGCATGCAGCTACCAGTGGTTCCAAAAACCACGAAACTGACCCAGTTTAAAACCAAAATAACCATACTTTGTAACACAGCTCATACATCTTCAGGCCAACTAAGAAAGTGGCCTTTCTCGCCAATGAATATCTCATACCTGTCCACACTAACTCCATCATCTGACAGCCAAGAAGATAAAGATGAATCTTCTAAGAAACCTCTGCGTACTCTTTTATCCTTTTCTTTTGATGCTTTATTTTCCTACACAAGTAAAAATTATTAATGAACTTATTGAATATAATCCTGGGAGACCCAGAAGTAAATAAGCAAATAGCTGTTTTTTATACAGCCAAAACTTCTGTTTCATCTTCCTTTTTACCCACTACAAGCCTCTGGGCCTCCTTGGATTATTGCATAGTTTTACTACTGTTAAAAGAGCATTAACTCCTCTAAATCTATCAGAAATTATTCCTAACCACATCTACTGAGACAATGATTTGTGAGGGAAAATTTTTTGAAGATAACTTCCCTTGAAATGTTTACATATTTCTTATGTTCTCACCCATAGCAAGTTTTTCCTTGACATTCTTCCTGGTTCAAAAACTGGCATATTAGGTGTTGAATAAGAGCAAAAGTTGAGACAGAAAATGCCTGCACTGGTGGCAAAATAGGAAGTCAGAAGAATTTTCTTACCTCCATCTGTCTGGCCTGTTTAGCCACACGCGCTGCTTCTCTTTTAGCCTCATAGTACGCCTTAAAAAACCAATGTATGCATGAATTAATAAACATTCAGATAAACTTTTTGAAGGATTTAGATGGGGTGGGGGAGGAGTTATTCAAGGTGAGAATTTGATATAAATAGCAATCAATTATTTAAGATGTGAGAAACTATCAAAATCACCTCCTCTTCAAGTCGTAAATCCTCTTCTCGTCGAGATAACTGTGCATCAATTTCTGCATCTACTTTCTTCTGCTGTTCAACCAGGTCATTGTATCTCTTCTGTGTGATCAGTTCTGTTTCTGTTTCTGTTAAAATCCGTCTGGAAATGAGAAACAGGAAAACCATCACATATCCAGCTTACATCTACAACACATAGATTCTTGTCACTCCTCGGGTTCAATGGGTTATTTAACCCTTTAACTCCTAAGATCTCATTAGTAATTCTCCTTACTGTCTGTCATATAGTTCTTGTGATGTTAGTTTGGGGAATTTGGTATTGGATCCACAAATTATCCCCTAGTTAATATTTTTCTTTATTCTCATCACTTGTCTGCTCGATATTGTATTGATATGGTAAGGAGAAATTTTGTCTTGGTACCTCATGGGAGTTAAAGGGTTAACCCTCTAACCCCTGAGAGTGACTAGCATCTAATTTCTCCTAACAATATCAAGCCCAAATCACACATCAAGGTCATGAGAATAAAGGAAATGGCCATCAACTAGAGAAGCTCTGCATTATGAAACAAATTCTCCTCCTAAGCACCTAAGGGATTGTACAGGGAATAGTATGGAGAATATGTATACTGACAAAACCAAATGTTTGACATTCATTTTTCACTTACCTGGGACGGGGATTGAAGTCCTCCTGAAAATTAAAAAAGAAGATTTTGTTATTTCAAAGATATATTTTAGGATCCCTTCATTTACTGACTTATTTGTGAGATCAACCAATTATTAATCAGTAATAAACATTGATTTTTGTCCTTTAGAGTGACTACAAGTGATTAATAAATTTCTCCCAATTAAATTATTTCTTCCTCGCATGTGTTACATTTCACAAGGGGACTATACTCTAATTAACAACTATACACACTGCTTGATTAAAAATTTGAAAGAATATTCCATGAAAACACTCATCAGGCTTATTGTATCACAAGGAAACACTTTGAAGGCATACCTCATCAATCAAATTTTCAAACTGGAAGAAAAAAGATTTTCATTATGATCAGTTCACATTTGGAAGATTTAGGGGTTAAATTACTAATAGAGATGCTGCAGAAAGCAAGCCTCTAGGGCAATACTAGAAGTACCAGTATTTGAGATTCTAAGAAGCTCTTTCACATACTCACTATTAATTGCCTTTCCAGAGCCATTTAAGAAACAACAACTCATGAAAACATGCCACATAATTGGTGACAATTTTTTTCTGACAGGAGGGATGGAGTCACGTGGTAAAATTAAAGGATCACTTCTATTTTAGTTAATGGGTGAGAGGCAGATAAAGCTTTAAGTGATTTTCAATGCAACCCTATATTCTCCTTGTGTTTCAGTATAAAACATGAGAGTTTTTTTAGGGAGAATTTAGTGGTCTATCACAGGTTGCTTGAGGTGAATTTCTCTTGACCTTTCAGCAAACTGACTTTCAAGGGAGAAGAAGGTCTGATATGGAACTAGGTGAGGAAAAATTTTTTTTTTGGGGGGGGGGAGTGGTTAGATGGGAGAGTCACAAGAGGTGAGAGGTGAAAACTGGAAGTTGGAGGATAACAGCAAGTAGGAGAGTAAAGAAAAATTGTGGACATTTCTATGTTGTTAATGAGTAACGTTTTAAAAGAAGGGATGGGGGGTAGGATTATAAAAATCACTCTTCCCCACCCCCCTCAGTTTTGCTAACTTATCATGGAGCATTGCTCTGGGAAGGGGAGGGTGATAACATGTTGCAAAGGTTTTTCTAGTAGATTTCCAAACCTAGCGACTTTTCTTTTTTTTATTTTTGGCTGTAAAAGCAGTCCTCTCCCCTGCCCCCACCTCACCACACTTGACCCTTCTAACCCTGGAAAATTTTGACTCATGAAGGCAACTATCTACTGCGTTAATTACTTTCATTTTCTCACAAGTCGATACAAAAGAGCTGAGTCAATCAAGTTAGCTTGATAGTCCTGCTCAATAACACCGTAAATTTATGCAAGATTACATTATGTTTGGACATCCAGTCTTAAATCGTAACTAACAAGGGATCTTACCTCGATACTCAATTCCTTTTCACTATATCTTGCACGTCTGTAAGTCCTGTGAATTGACGATGACACAACTTGAACTACCGGCTACAAAAATACAACAACTGCAATTTCAACAAGGCTATATCACAATTTACCTTCCTCGAAGATGTGCCGGCCGGCGTAATTTCCTTAATTCTTCGCTGAATATACCCCAGCATCCTCTCATACAGCTAGCCATTTTGAATTCCGGAGTTTCTATTTATATATTGTGGTCATTGTCGACGATCTCAGCTGTTGTTGCAGCGAAATTTCCGTCATATGCGTGGCACATGACTGCTGGTGACTAATGGTTACCCACAAAGCCGTGCAAACCTTCTTTCGCTTTGTTGCCTAAATTTACATCAAATGTAACAAAAAATTAAAAAAGCATGTGAAATTAAATAGAAGTTTTGATACAACGTAAAAGCTTATGTGGAGTGTCTGAGATTTTGGTGTTTCGAATGTCTTATATGCTCCTTCTTCCAGCCAAAGCACTATGTGATAATTACACAATATATTATTTTGGCTAAACACACCTCTGTACAAATATATTGCAGTTCACATAACTTTTGGTAAGGACATTGTATTTAGTCATATACAACGTTTTCTTCCGAGTATAAAGGAAATTTTAGAACATGGCGTCTTTCACGTAAAATTTCGGTTTTAGTCGAACTTTGTAAGAAATAGAGCGAAAGATGGTCTATTTCGACTCGTGGGATGAATTTGCAGCAGCAGTTGAACAGTTGTGTGTAGCTGAGCCGAAAAAGGTTGGTAATAGTTAGACTCATTTTACACTCGAAAAATACACGTGAATTAAGAGAACAGATGACGTGTAAAAGAGAAAGTTATATTTTTCATGTTCTTCTTTTTATTTCAGTTTCGGTTCGTCGTCAAGTATCGCCATTGTGATGGGAAGCTTGTTCTTAAGGGAACAGATGACCAAGTGGTAAAGTTGAAGTTATATTAAATGAACAATTACGACAACTTGAAAGTTCTTTTTTTGCATTTAACATTTGAATGGAAATATTTGGGGAAAAGGGGTTCAGAGTTCTTGTTTGTTTTTGGCCAGAAATAGACATTGCTACAATAGAGTTTATTTCAGAAATTCCTTCTTTTGAAAATTCAGGGAAAACTGAAAGGTAATGATTATCAGAAAGTGTCATTCCTCTGTTAATTATCATCATCTTGCAGTGCTTGAAATACAGAACAGAGCAACAACAGGATATAAAGAAACTAGAAAAGCTGAATAGTGTTTTGATGAGACATACTGCAGCCAAGTGAAACAGGAAACCAGCCAAGATGCATTCCCAAATATTGCAGCACAAAAGATTTGGAAATATTTACCATGGTGTGGAATCGTGGTTAAAGGACAATGGATCAGTTACTGGCCATATTTATTATTCATCATTACTATAATCGAGCAGCACAGGCAATCCTTTGGAAATGCAGTTGTTTGAAATATTGTATTTAGCATTTAATTTTGTTTCTATGATATTTTTGTAATTTTTCATCAGTGACAAAAATCTAAAATTACAATGAATACAGACTAGAACTGAAAATATTTTAAAAATTTTTGTTGGACTACTAAGCAGTAATAAATACTGGTATATAAAGAACCCAATTGCTTGGTTTTCCTGTATGAACTAGAAAATACAAATTCTGTTGGCTTAGACTACAAGCAGTCCTTCATTTTCCACAGAGTTCCTTTTCCAGTAGAGAAAATTTTGTTAGTCCTAACATCAGTCTCCTTTACACTGGTAATTCTTTGACTTGTACAAGGGACCTCCCCAAAAAGGAGGAACTGCTGTAGTTAATCTTGTTGTTAACCCTTTAACTCCCAAGATCTCACTAGTAATTCTCCTTACTTTCCACCAAATGATTCTCATTATGTTAGTTTGGAGAACTGGTATTGAATCAATTAGTACTCCCATGATTGATATTTTTCTTTATTCTCATCACTTGTCTGCATGATAATGTGTAGATATAGTAAGGAGAAATTCTGTCTTGGTCACTAGTGGGAGTTAAAGGGTTAATGATAGGTAACCCTAGCAGTCTTCACTTTCCCCTATCCTGATGGATTAGGGAAAGTGGTTCATATTATTGACAGAAGTACAAAGAAAGTTGAATAACGAGGAAGCAACTGCAGAGAACGAATAGAGTTTCGGTACTCACAAAGAAAGGTGGTTCTAAGGGTTTTTTTTAAAGGGAGGGGGAGGAGGAAGCCTGTTATGGTATGACTGAGAGGTGGCCACTTCTTGTTACCTACCTCATACTTCCTGCTTCTGTTTGATTCATCCTGTCAGTCCTTCCCCCATTAATCCATGCCCCAAGAAAAAGGCTGCACCCTAATTGACACTCAAAAAGGACCCATAACTTACACTAAACAATGCTTAAATTTATGCCAATCATGCAGTAGAGTGAGGTCCACTACATTGACCAGCAATAGCAGATGTAGTAACTGAAAGGTTTAATAATTTAAATTTTTCTTTTATTTCATAGTTCCCTTTGCCAACTGTCCACTGTACTTTTTGAACCTTAAGCCCTAACTTTACTATATCTATACAAAAGCCACGCCTTATCAAAATATATTACACCCTCCACTCTACAGCTAAAGTTTACACTAAAAATTTTTATAAAATTGTTACCCACTGAGGTTTTTGATTAAAGGGAAAATGGAGAAACCTCTGACAACAAGGGTAGCTTCCTTAAGATAACAGGTTGTGATAGCAACCAAAAAACTGACATTTAGCAGATAACAATTAGCTAGTTAGGGTTGTAAGGGGAAGCAGCATTTTAAAGTGCCAGGAAAGGAGATGATCTTTCTTAGGTTTGTACACTATGAATTTTGGTCCTAATTTGGTTCACCTGGGCCCAGTTGTATAAAGGGAAGAAAACGCTATCCAGCAGATAAGTGATAGTAAAACTTAGTGTTATCAACTGTATAAGAGTTTTATCCAGAGAATAGCACTTATCAACCTTCAAACAACTGGGGCAAGGTAAAATGCCAAATGATGTTTCTACTATCATTGCAACCTTCAGGATAACATCCACAAGTCAGTGAATGTGGAAAAAAAAGACAAGGCAAACCAAAAAACCTAGCAGTTGATATGGGTGTTGCCCCTTTCAGATGAACAGCCCCACTTGCAAACAGTAATTCCTATTTCTTCCACCGATCTTCTCACACTGTGCTTTAAGAATGGACAATTAACCTCCTTTGCATCGAATCTTTGGGGTGCCATGCAACACTCACCCTTAGCACAACACCCCAAAGGGACTTAAATCCTAATTAGCCAGTATACTCCTAACCTACACCTAGCCATTGATTTTCCTGTTCTGTTAGAAGCTTTTGATACATTTGAAATATTAAATATTACAAAAATAATTGTATCTGGTGGTACACTTGATAACCCTTTCTTCAATCCTAAAATTGGGTAAAATTCCTATGAAACTGTATGTATGAAGTCATAGAACTGGTAAATGAAAAATTAATACATTAGGGAAAAAAAATAAAAAGATATACTCTGAAATCTGAATTCCAGTAAATTCATTTTGCAGATTATCTTTTTTGCGGTAGAAGAATACATAATTGTATTTCAATGATAACAGGCAATTATATTTTAAATCAAACCCACTTTAAGAGATCTGAGTAAAAAATTCAGGGTTGATTTCAGTCATGCCATTAGAAATTGCAGTCAAAGCTCTAAAGTAGCTGAGACAGTCCTAGATTTTGACATGGAAGATTCAGAAGTTAGTTAGAAGGCAAGTGAAAACAGTCTATGGAAGGCTTAACATCTTTCAAATGCTTTTCAAATGCGTTTCACATGCCTTTCAACTCACAACTTTCACTTGTATATGAAATTTTAACACGTAATTAGAATAACAACCATATTAAGACTTATATAACTATGCCTTGATTTTATCTCAAGTACATCCAGTTTATGTTTAGTCAAATTGAAAAGTCATCTCTTTCAACAGAGACAGCAAAAGAGGACCTCTAATTTCTTAAATTATAGTATCATATCTATAGATGTTCACAATCCACACACCACATAAATAAAATAAAATTGTTATGAACTCTATATGGTAAAGCTTTAATGAAGGTTATATATTTAGTTCCTTGGTCTGAAAACCCTATACAATAATTATTAGAATATATGTCTATAATATCTTAGTCCTCTTATTTGAATATAAATTTAAGTGAAAATAAAAATGTGAATGCAAGGAAACATTTTGAATGTCAACATACTAAGTACTTTTCAGGGTTGATTGAGCAGTTTTTAAACTTACTTCACATGAACAAACCAAAAGTTAACAAAAACTTTTCTGGTTGCCTGAAGACTATGCCTGAAAACATTAAAATGTTTCTCACAATAACATTTTAACTTTCACACAAATTATTAAAATTTTCATCCTAAGTAAATGATTAATTTATTATCTAGCAGGTCGCAGCCAGTTGGGAAGAGGTCTCTCCAACTTCTGTAACAAATCTGCGAGAATTTTGTTTGGTTTTGAGTAATAATCTTCCAAGAAACGCTGTGACTTCTCATCCATGGGTACATAATGTCTGCCTTTTCCTTTTCCAAGGCAATGAGTACCACCTTGTGATGTGACTTGGCAGTAAAATCCCTTATGCTTATCAAATCTATGCATCAGAGGGAAGACATAAACAGTGAAACATGAGAAATAATTTAAATGACGATGATTTCCAGCTACATGTCAGAATAAATGAGTTTCACAAAACTTTTCAAACAACCTACCCCCCCCCTTCCCCCCCCAACCCCCCACCGCACATATGGCCTGGAGGGTACTTTTCATTTTACTCTGTTTTTGGCATCAAATAATCAAATATAACAGCTCCCTTAGAGAAAAAAGTGAATAGGAGTGTCACTACTCCCCCCTGGGTAAGATGTTAGTCCATAACGAGGTTACTGCCCAAAATTTCAGCAGGTTTCCCTGACAATTTGCCTGTACCCATTTATAGAGAGAGGAATTTTGAAAGTAAAGCGTTTTGTCCAAGAAAATAACACATTGACCCGCCCAGGTCTTGAACCCAGACCTCTTGACCTGCGGTCCAACATCCACAACACTAACCATTACCTGGTAGGACACTGCCTGTCCCTTGCAGAGAACAGAACATAGAGATATTGCATGGTCAAGACTTACAGGACACAGTAGCTTATTACTTGCAGCCCTTATTCTAGTTTCCCATGCAACAACAAAACTATTCTCCAGCCAGCCAGAGTAGGTCAATCAGGACCCTGCTTTTGCTAACCACTTGGTCACCATAAGTCTCTCAGTTACAAAATGACAAAAAAGTATGAAGCAATATGCTATTTTGAGTTTACAATGAATCAAAACTATAACAAAATTCTCAAATGTGATTGGCTATTACCAGCCTGATTTGAGCACTCATAGGACAGTGTACACATCATGCTTGTAATTGGACAATGTAATAGGACAGTTAAGGGACAGTTAACACATCATGCCTGTGTAAGTAGAAAGAACTGTAACTGTTTTTTTTTTGTGGAAACATATAACTGGTCTGGTTTCTTTCTCAAATTTTGTCATAGTTTTGATTAATTGGTAACAGGACTTTGTACTGTCCAATTCTGTCTGTAATCATAATTGTGATCAACATATTGGACTCCTGTTTCCTGGTCATCTGGTTTTGTTAATCACTTGTATGATGACAGACAGAATTAGTCTCCACTCACTTGGTCCTATTACCATTATTAATAGTGAAATGACTCACCTTAACCTCTTATTATAGTCATAAATGTTGACACCAAGAAATTTCTGCACCTCCAGCATCACTTGGGGAGGATCTGTCCTAAGCTTCTCCCCATCAAGAATAAGAATCTGAACAGTGCAAAAAGAGAACAACTCAATAAACCCTTTACAACCTAACATCAGTATCAGTACAGGTATCCTTTCTCTAGCAAGGAAATATAACATTGAAAAAGGAGCTAAAATATTGAAGTGCAGATAGTGTGTCTATGTGTGTGTCCAACAGGTATCCCTTCTCTCACAAGGACATGTAACATTGAGGTGGGAACTTACTTGAGAGGGAGAAAAATTCTTCAGCCACCTTTCCAAATGTTGAGCATACAAGCCCGGTAACAGACATCTTAGACCAAGAGCTTTGACGCCTCTGTCCTCAGAAGAGTTAACACTTGTTATAACCTTGTAGAATGGGTACATAGCAGCTGCCACACCATGGCTTCTCATGTGCTGAAGAGATGCAAAACAATGTAGGCAAATTTAACTCTAAAGATCTTATTGTTTATCCTCTTTGTTAAATGCTGCACATTTCTGTGTAAACTAGGTACAAGTATTTAGCATTAGATCAAGATAACAACTTCTACTTGATGAGTTTGAGTATTCTCATTACCTGTTTAGATATCAATGTAAAGATAATATTGGGAGAAGTTGCATGTTAATCGCTCCTGGGCAATAAAGGGATAATATTTAACACTCACCTGGTACCATGAGTATGCTCTTTTCATTGGATCTATAAAAATTGTGATGATCTTGGCATTCGGGAGCAATGCAGATACCCTCATTGGCCCCTTGACAGCATCAAAATAGTTAGCGCTCTTTTCAAACAAGATCTGGTTACTGTGGTTGCTAACATCAGGGAAGAAATCCATGTACCTATCACAGGAAGCAACATCACAAGTTTACGCACAAATTTCCACAAATATGGTTGCCTAGAGGCACTTTACGTAACTATTGAAAATGGTTATGATGAAGTCTACAATAATGGTGATGATGACCAGGCTTTATGCTCAACTTTAAATCCCCATTTACCAATCAAAGTCACAGATACAAGAGGTATAATCATGGCTACCAAATAATAGGACAGTGAAACACTACTTGAGGTGATGCCTGTGACTAATATGGTTGAAAATCTCACTCTTTGCCAGGAAATCAACTTAAGAGCTCTGTGGTCATGGCCTTGCTTATTAATGAGTTTTAAGTTCATGAGTTAGTGGTAAAGCATTGGACTGCAAAATCCCCAAGGTATGAAGTTGAAAATCCTCTTAGAGAACTTTGATCTTTTTTTTCTTGCCTTTGTGACAAATGAAAATGAGCAGGCTCTAAACATCATATTCCCCAACATTCATGACCTTGTATGATTTAACCCTGCACTTACCAGTCTAAGCCTCTGATGTAATTGTGTCCACCAAAGAATTGTACCTCTTCATATGTGCTAGCACTTTGCACATTACTGATGATGTCTGGATGCATTTTGAGAAATGCATACAGAGCTGTCGTGCCAGTCTTCTGAGGGCCAACAACAAGAAGGGATGGTAGCTTTTTGCAATTCTTTTCTGGTAACCAGATTTCCTTGTGCCGTGGGTCTGAGCAAGGATTCTGTCAATCAAGAATTAATGTTGACATATTCCCAGTGAACATAGGGCAAGAGAGAAGTTATGCAAGTTGCATGATGTACATGAAAGACAAATAGTATAAATATAAAGAAAAAACAAAATTAATGTACAACAAAGAAATTGTTTTGAAAGCTATCACAGGATGGGAAAAGGTTGTTGTTGCCTTTTGCCTTGCAAGGAATGAAAAGGGTTGTTATAATAAGTATATAACTATTTCATTAAAAAAAAAACCCTTGGATGTAGCATTTCTCACCAAATATTCTCTTTAGCTGAGAGGTTAAGCAACTGCAAAATTCTAGAGTCTTTGTCCCCCACACTCAAGAAATTATTACCTTTCTTCCTTTAACCCTATAAACCCTTAAGAGTGACCAGCAACTAATTTCTCCTTACAGTTATACAGCTGAATCATTCATTAAGATCATGAGAATAAAGGAAATGATTGCCAACCTAAGAAGCTTTGATTGCTAGACAAATTCTCCTTGTCAGCACTAAAGGAAATGTGTAGAGAAGAGTAGGGAGACTGTGGATACTGATGTTACAGTGTACAGGGTTAACACTATTTCGCTTCACTTAATATTTCATAAGTACACTTTGATTACATGTGAAGAAAATGTGACTTTCCAGTGGCCAACAGGTCCCAATCTTAATTATTTACTTTGTTACTAAATATCTTTTCTAAACAGCATTAAGGTGAAATACCTGCCAAATTGGTTCCATCTCCCCAGGGAACATTGTAAAGTATCTCTCAGCTAATTCAACTGGATGCTCTGAACTTAGCTTAATGTTTGTCCAGCACTGCAAATGTTTTACTAGGCTGTCAAACACAAGCAAAGCTAGGCGATCATTGCCATAGTTTGAAAGATGAGTCATAAAGATGGAAATCTGCCAAAAAAAATATAATCTGAAAAACTTTGTTGAATTATCAACCCCATATGTATGCGTTATTGACCAAATCTGGCTGTATATTGGCCAACTTTTTTTTGTTTTTGTGTTTTTATACACCAAGACAAAGCCGAGGTCATACAAATTAAACAAAAAAATGGGGCCAATATCCAGCCATTGTGACTGATCAATAAAGGTTTATTATATAGCAAAAACAATTTGGTTTCCTGAGACAAAACCCCTTCCATGCCTTAATATTACTTTTGTTTGGAAGCATGTCAATACATTCACAAAACTAGTTTATGTTTTCTTCATCTTTGAATATCTTTACGACCTTGCCTAAAAATAACAAACTTTGCTAGTCATGTGCATTCATCCATTAAAAGTTTTTACTTACAGGATGGTCAACAACAACTTGAAAAAGTTGACCCCCATGAATACTGTCTTCTAGCCACTTCTGCCCTTTGGGGTATTCTTTCAGGAATATTGTGTGAGTATACAGACCACATGTTTGCCGTGGAAGAACCTAGAAAGATCACCACAATTTAAAGTCAACATAACATTCATGTTATTACTACCATAATCTATCTTGAAAAAAAAAATACAAAACATAGAGGAAAACAAAATAAAAACAAACAAACATAAAAAAAGAGGCAAATAAAATTTAGCCAGAAAAATCTAACTCTCCAATCTGTACACCTCTTACTAACCAAGTACTTTAAGTCATGGACCAAGTTTTTTGTGCTAAGATTCATGGCCCAAGTGCTTAACATGCGGGCCTTAAATCCAAGGGAAAAACAAGGTTCTGTAACTATCATGGCAGACAGAGAAAATGACGTTGGTAAGATATTTACAACATCTCTCTTGGAGACCAAAACAAACTTTTGTATGTGGAAGGCCATATAGTGAAATTGACCAATCAGAGCACATGAACCAACAAAGAGATGTGATAAAAAGTCTCATGAACATCTTGGTTATTTGTATATATTGCATAAATTTAAAAAATGACTACCCAAAAAACGAAGGCACACCTTAATATTTTTGTATATGAATCCTTTACGGAACCTGGGAGGATACAAATGAGGATACTCCTCTGTTGATGTCACTTTTAAGTTGTAAACTCTCTTCCAAGCTTCATAAAGAAAATCATGAGCAGGATACACTCCAGAATGGTGAGGTGAAACTGCATAACTGGTGTTCACTGGAATATTGTGCTCCTAAATATTCCAAAGAAACATTTGATACTCATGTTAAATTTATTATCCATTCAAGGGTAATGCAATAGCTTAATGATCCATATCAGTGATGTCTATAAGAACCTGTAGCAGGCCTAAACAACAGGCTAGAATGCCATTTTTAGCCAGCTACTTTTGTCTTTATTTCCATTATTGCTAATATTGAAATACTACAACCATCTCTAATTTTTGGCAAACCAAATGGAAACAACTGTGTAATGGCCGTTCATTAAATATAAGGTTAATCCTAAACTATTTAAAATGTCTTTTGCAACAATATGTGTGCTGCCTTCACTCATTTTTTTTCTCACCCTTGCGAACTCAAGATTTGCCTTCAAATCCTCAACGATCTGATCCAATGTGTTGCTTTTGTGTGGTTGACGATGAAGCCACATGTGACTGAACCACCAAAACTTGTCCGCATTCTTTATCAGTTCCCAATCTCCTTCATCTTCTTCATCATTCCCTGACAAAAACATACCCCCAGAATATCCCAGGTTGAAGTGAAAGCCTGGCACACGCTCTTGTAGTTTTGCTTGTACAGAGACCATGGCCTATATGCATAACAATAAACATATTGTTTAGAGGACTTAATAACCTTCTACTCTCTTATATCAGTATTTATAATCTCTTTACTGCTTTCTATACATTTCCTTTTATAAGGAGAATTTGTTTAATAAACAAGAGCTTCTTTAGTGAGTGATCATTTCCTTAATTCTCGTGCCCTTAATGTCTGATTCAGGGGTGATATTGTGAGGAGAAACTAGATGCTTTTAGTGATCTCAGGGGTCAAATCCTAGGAGGGTTAAGCACACCAATGACAGAGATGACATTCTAGAACAAAGATAACCCAAGCAGCAGGAAAGTCTTCATTCACTTGAGTTTATCTGGAAACATTTGAACCTCTGAATATTTTCCCTTTTCAGTCTCTGAAAAGGAAATGTTGTGTAAAATAAACATGTTTTCTTGTTGTTCTTGATACTCCCCTTAACAAGTTTCAGAAAGTTATCTTTCCCTCTTTGCAAACAGTCTTAAAGCCTTTGCCGCCAGCCATACTATATTTTATGTGAGGGAGAAAAAAAAAGTTAAAATTTGACTTTATCTGCTGAAACTTGTCCGTGGTGTTATCAAGAATAACAAGACAAAACACTGAGTACCTCAAAAATTTATATCATGACATAAGGCAAAAATTGATGTATCAAGATTTTTTTTATAATCTTCAGTAAATTGTCTTAAGACAAAAATTGATACATTAAAATTTTTTTTCATAATCTTCAGTAAATTGACTTGAGACAAAAATTGATACATTAAAATTTTTTTCAGAATCTTTAGTAAATTGGTGCTACCCCACAGCTTGGGCTTACTGTGGAGCCTAAGGTCCAGGATCAAACCCTGGCTGGGTAATTATATCATGTTCCTGAGTTCTTTTGTCTCTCCTTTATGAACTCTAGCATCATTATCGATATTCTCTATACTCTTCTCTTAACATCTGTTTTGGTTTTAACATGGAGAATTTGTCTGACAATTAAGCTTCTCGGGTTGGTGATCGTTTCCACTGTTCTCATGATCTCAATGAAAGACTCAGTAGTATCATTGTAAAGAGGAATTAAATTCTGGTCACTCTTAAAGTTTAATAAGAGGAGTTTTATTGACTGCTGGTAACCTGTCAGGGAAACCTTAAGAGATGCACATATGGAAAGGTGTGTAACCTTGTAAACCCTTTCACCCCTTTCAAGATCTCATACATAATTCTCCTTATTGTCTGCCATTCAATTCTTATGGCATTGGTTTAGAGAACTTGGTATTGGAACAAATCATAAGTGACATGTTGATGTTTTTCTTTATTCTCATCACTCGTCTGCTCAATATTGTGTTGATATCATAAGGAGAAATTCTGTCTTGGTCACCCATGTGAGTGAAAGGGTTAAGGACAAGGTTATGGGTCATCTTGCTCATAAACTGACTTTATCTTAGAGATGATTCTTCATAATCTGCCAGGCTAATCTGTAATATACATGTTATAGAAGCAACTTATTCTAAATATTTATTCATTGAACAACTCAATTAGAAAGTGCCACATGTACATACTACATCAGTGCACATTAAAACAGCTGGAGAGTATCAGAAAATGAAACTTCTCAATTCAATGGCAACAATGAACATTAACATAACTATTATTTCCTAACATTGACGTGCTTTCCATCACATCCAAAATTACTTTGGAAACGATGCATTCGACAGCTTCGCTCTCTTTAAATTTACAAGCTAGCCATGAGAATAAGGCAATATTGTGTTATAAAATTTTAGTGAATAACTTACCCTCACGTCTTCTTTGGTCATTCGAATGCCAGCTTTTCCAACGAAAATATCATCAATATCAACTACGATTCTTCGTTCCAAAGACTGAGCTAAATTGCCTCTTGAAACGAACGCCAAACCATCAAGAAACAATAACTTATGAAGCCAAAAAGACAATCCATTCCCAAAGTAGATGCGTCGTACACCATCCAAATGCCCTAGGTCTGTTAAAACTGTAGTGAATCGCGTCGAAGAAACTCCTTCTTTCAAGACCAGATCTTCAAATTTCACATTATGGGAGCTGGTTTGTTTATTCGTGTTTAATGTTGTATAGGCAGTTTCCTTTGTAGCAAACTCTACCGCTTCGTAAGTGCTGTGATTCGGAAAGAATACACTCCATTTTGACTTTGGAGGTTCTTCAATAATTCCACCAGCTCTAGTAAGGCGAAGCACACATGCCGAAGGATTCAATTCTACATTTCGAAGATCACTTACTCCAGCCTTGATGCCGAAGTGAAATTCCTTGAATATGCGCGTATTAGGCTCTTGCGCTTCCTGAACTGTAAATAAAACAATTCCGATGCCAAATTTGCGACAGTAATGGTCAAGGAAATGTCTATTTGCTATATCTAATGTTGCGTAGAACTTGATGCTCTCAAAAATAACTGCAGAAAAGCGTCCGATTTCTCCGTGTGTGAGCTTTGGAAAAACTGTTCTGTCACCAATTTCGAGATAAACAAATTCGTAAGGAATACGACTTTCCTCCAGAACACGAGAGATCTCGGACCGAAAAGCAACTGAAGTTCTCCGTGTTGCCAATAAGACTCTTTTTTTCACTGTGTACGTTGCATTGAGACTAAATTCTTTAGATATTCTAGATCCAACCAGTGCGTTTTTCAGAGGATAGCATTTCTCCTCCACAAATACTGGAGCGCGTTTCACGGTCAAATCTCGCGAAGATTGGTAAACTAGAATCCAACACGAAATTAAAGTAAAAATCACTAATCCAATCATAAAAGTCCTCAGTATAGATCCAGTTCTTAAGCTCCAGCACTTCATCCTTCTTTTTGCCACGAAAGACATTCGTTGATAACATCACCACAAAGTACAGCTACATTGTCTACTACCACTACAGTAAGTCCTAAAATAACGCGATGTCGCATGTGCAAACGTCAACAGAGTGGTTCGAAATTTTCTTTGGGAGGGAGGGGTGAAGAGTAAAACTCAATAGCCAGAGAGATCCTTATTTTTTAAGTCCAAAAGAATGATTAAAAAAAAAAAAGCTTCATAGTTTAAGTTTAAATAATAAAATTGATATAAATTTTGTGGTATTTTAGTGGCAAAAGACGATAAAATATATATGTTTATCTCACCCTCCCCTCCCAGAGATGAATAATTTGATTGAAAGGTTTGAAAACAGCACGCAAATCCCGACTGCGGCGCCAAAAACGAAATCAAAATTCATCCCAATCTTGATAACAGCGGGGATCGGGAAAGTCTTTGTGAAGGCTTTTCATTCTTCCTCCAGTGTCCATTCAAATATGTGGGAGTCACATACACAGAGAAAAAAAAGTGAACAGATAAATGAGATTTTTTATCAGCAGCAATATAATTTTTTTTCTTAATCTTACTCCAAGCGTAATATCGAATGACTGCTGACCTCTCTTTCCACCGAAAAGTTATTTTTAATCGAGTCAAACTTAAACTAATGCGCTAGGTTCGGGATTTTTTTTTTCTGGAAGTGCGTTCTTTAGAGAGATATATGTTTGATCTTCATATCCGATTATCTCCCGTTATTATTTTAGTAAACAATAACTTCCTCTTTATCAAAACAACTCCTTTATCGACCGATAGCTTTCAAGGCCAAAAATTTTAATGGCCCAACTTTACTCTTAATTTTTCATTACTTGTTCAATCGACAGTTGAGATTTTAAAGTGGAGAGCTACACGAAGGTAGGAGACTTCCATTCAGTGGTGGACTTTCTTTCACAGGATTTGTCTCGTTATCTAAAGTTCACGACTCTTAGAAGGCGGCTCATTGAAAACACCGGTTGTAAATCTTATCAGAACAACTGCGGAAGCTTATCAAAGAGCTCCGCTGAGCAATACCTTTGCCGATTTCCGATTTACCTTTGGCCTCTTTTTTCAAAGCGAATCCTGGTGCTTCTCCTTTCATATGATAATGAGTTGTCATTCACACGCAAATTAAACTCATTTTCATACAAATGGTCAAGCTCCAAGCCTTGATTCGAAAAAGAGGCCAGAGTTAACTTAGCAATGGCCTACTGCTGCCCCTTTAATACTACGTTCGATCTTGACGCTGACCATGTAAATACTACAGTGCATAATTTTGGTTGTCAGGTAAAGAAAATAATTGCTAAGTTTTAGTGTGTAGGCAAGTAGTGAAGTCCGTGCCTGTTTCAGACACCCAGTTTGCGGGGAAAGCGGGACAAGCGATGGAAAGCCGCATGGTGGACTTTACAGAGCCATAGTTCTTCCCACACCCACGCCGTTTTCACTCTCGAATCACCGAAACTAAGGCAAACCTGGAGGGCATTAAAACCTTTCCTAATCTTGTAAGCCGCCTTACAAACCAATCAGTTTAAAGCTAGAACTTTTAGCGGCTTGGTCCCCGGGACTTAAAGCTATTTACATTGATTCACTTTTGATTGGTTCCATAGTGTAACTTCCTTTGCTCTGATTGGTTATTATTATTTTGGACAGTCATTCGCAATATCATCACAAGGACACCAGTATCTTGAACACAATATATTTCTTTTCTCAAACGTCTTTCATGTCTTTCATATATGCTGATAAATTCTTTGTATAAAATCAATATATTCCTCTTGAATTGTATAAATCTTAAAATAACCGCCAGGCTCTATATATCTTTTAATATATATAATATGTATATAGATTTTCTTTTATTCCAACTTGACAATTTTCGAATGGTCAAAAATAAGTAGCTTGACTGAGTCAAAAATATGCTTGATTGATTGATTGAGTGACAGTTTGACATTTTAGTATGTAAAAATAGTTTTAGAATAACACACCTTTCGTTGAACAGGCCTACTATTTCTTTGACGACCTTAAGATCGGAGGTAAATTTTGTTTCATTATGACAACAGAGACCGACAGGATAAATATAAAAATACTGTTCATAGTCTCGTAAGTCGCGTCTGAGTTGAAGCTTAGCTTGATACGCCTGTTTTACAGGTAAAGAAACGCGTGACATAAAAAAATTTCATCTGGTTCAGTAAGTCTTGGAGACGATAAACGTTGCGTTACCGATCAGCGCAAAAACTATCATTGTTCGTTACAAGCGTGACAAAGAGCAATTCAGGCTCAGAGTGTATCATCTGAATGGCGAGTACCATTCTCTCGTTAGCTTATAGAATGAATCACGCTAACACAGGTAACCCACTATCTCGTAATCTGCTTTTTTTTTTCCTACAAGGATTTGATTACCCATGAATCCATTTAGGAAGAGGAAACTCAATCTTCTGGTTCATGCGCAGTAGATTCTGGTTATGTCTGGAGTAATACCGCTGCAGGAACTGTTCAGTCTGCTGACTCATATAAACTGGTCTCGTTTCTTTGAAACCCAGGCAATCTGTCACGTTGGCGGAGGATTTGGGACAGTAGAGACCACTCGATTCATCGTACCTGTTCAAGAATATCACCAGGAGAAGCTAAATTCTCTGCAATTTCTAGTCCGAAACTAAATATCAATGAATTGACATTGATCTGCAGCTTCCCTATGAAACTTAATCTCGGGTCGTGCCAAATCTTCTCACAGAGCAATACGTTTCATAAATTATTCCAAGCAACAGAAGCATAATTACCTTAGTATTTGCGAATACTCCTGGCGGGTTTCTACATGAACAGCTTCTTGAAGTGTATTCATGATCGTGAAGGGCTTGGAAACTATATCATCTGCGCTCACTATTGACATCTGCGCGAAATTAAGAATTAAAGTTTTATTGGAAGTTATAATTGATATTATTATATTGATCTATCTTTGTATGGGCTCACTGACATGGTGCGGAGAAACCGCTCAGGAAACCGAGAAAGGCTTTGGCAATTGTGAGGTTCAATATCGAAAGTGAATCTTTCATCCAAATAGGAAAATCCTCCACTTGTCACACAAAAGGTAGAGAAGGGAAAAGAAAACCGCCAACAAACTCGAAGTTCAGCCATATTTTGATTTTGTTAAACTGGTCTACCCTGTACTAAACTGGACCAACCTGTTTGACACTGTAATGTCTCATCCATCGACCAATGTGTTCAGAGTAGTGCCCAGCTTCTAAAATAGCCCGCTGGATCCCCGACAAACGTTCATCTCCCTTGGATTTGACGAGATCATCGAAGCTTGGTAGATTGGATCCTTGAACGTTTTTTAGATGCTACAGGCAAACAGAACACATGATCGGTTACAAGTAAAAGTTACCGTTTCCGTCAATGCTAGAATTTGTCACTCGAGCTTTGTATGAAAAGTAAATGTATGGAAAGCATATTTCTAAAATGCGGAATACAAATATTAATTGAAGAAATATAATTGCAGTTTATATTTACGTAATAATGTTTCTTCCATAGTATGAATATAAGATGAAGTAGATTTAGGTCCTTCGCATTAAAAAAATGTCGCCTTTGAAATCAATTTAGATTTTCCGAATTACTAAACACAAGGTTTTCATAGCAAGGTTTTAAAAATTTTTCGTGCAAAGGACAAGCACCTGATAATGGTAGAAAGCTCTCTTCACGGGGTCTTCCAGAATGATAAGTATTTTAGCGGACTTGAGGAGATTGCTGGCACGGTACGGTGTCTTATTGTCGGTGAAATACTCATCACTAACTTCATAGGACATCTGCTCGAATTTCTTCGGTCGTTGGAAACAATTCATGTACCTGAAACAAAATCAGTTAAGGACGTTTTCAAAAACTAATACACAAAAGCGTCTCGGGAAAAATTAAAGTAAAACAAAAATGTTGTCTTTAAGAATGTTACTCTAGCAAATTTAAGTGTCCTATCTCAACAAAAACTCTCTTGTCAGAGCTTGAAGAAAGGAGAGTAAAGCCGAATGAAACAAAATGAACCATAAAAGAAAACCAGGAATGAAGTTAAAAATGAAAGAATTATGGTAAATTAAATCAAAATTAAATGAAATGACGACAAAAACTCACTACCCACCACCCACCCACCCCCCCTCAAAAAAAAAAATCAAGAACAGTATGATTTGAATCAAAGACCATTTCAACATTTCGTTTCCAAATCTCCTTACCAGTCTAATCCCCTCATGTAATTATCAGTGTTGAAAAATCTTGTTCCTTTGGTGATATTATTTGTGTTCACGGTGTGCAAGAAGTCTGGGTGAAGTTTGAGAAGTGTCACAAGCACGTCCAGGCCTCCAAACGGAGGCCCGATCACTAGGAACGAGGGGAGCCTGTTGCAAGACTTGTCCTTTGGCCAGATTTGAAGATGGCGGCTGTCGTCACATGGGCTCTGCAGTAACAGATACGTACCAAGTTAATTAAAACTTGTCAACTTTGACTTAAGACTCCTCAACAAAAAGTTGTAGAAGTTGGGTACATTAGCCGTTTAATTCCCAGAGGTCATTGGGTACGCTTTTGTTTACGGTTACCAGGTTGACCGAGAGGTCCTGGTTCGAGACAGCGCCGAATCATTGAGGTGTGTTCTTGGGCAGGATTCTTACCCTGCAGTGGTTCTCTCCGCTCAATAGTGTCAATGGATACCTGAATATTCAAGGAAATTTGACGAATTTTTATGGGTGACCTTATTGCAGCTGTTCCCTCCCATCAAAAAAGGATTAAAAAAAAAAAAAAAAAAAAAGAAAGAAAGTTCAACCCCGTTGACAGGAATGTCAGGGGGTGTGAGGATCCCAACCACAGGGATAAGAAAAACTGCCGCGTCTCTCCCCTCTCCCCCCAACCCCCCCCGACATTGCAGTGGTTGATCCATCCATCGAACTCCTAAGAAGAATCATCGTCCACCTGCAACTTACCAACCATACTGGACTTTTGTCCTGAGGAAACAACTTGAAATAGATATCAGCGAGTTCAAGCGGCGAAGCGTATTTCAACTCCAAGTTAGTCCAGCGGTAAACAAAGTCCACGAGGCGGCTAATTGTGTACAGAGCTAACTGATCATTACCGTAGTTTGTCATATGAGTCATCACAATCATAACCTGTTGAGGGAAAACATTCAATTTAGCTAAGAAGATTAAAAATCATTTATACCGAATCGAAAAAAAAAAAGCTCTGGTCACAAAAGACCTCTTTACAATAGATTTTTGGGGCATAGAACCTGGTCCATTTAATCAAGTTTTTATTCTAAAATCATGCACAACCAAGGATTTATTCCTCCTTTCAAGTGTCATTGTGCAATTTTTTTTGGCGCATCCTTGGTGTATGTAACTTTTGCTCAATAGTCCATTTTACAGTTGTGTGCTTGGTTACCAAGCCTTTGAACAGGAATGAGGCTAAGGGTGACCTTGTTATGATACAAACCTTGCTTCTTTTCAAATGCAACTTGGTCTCTATCACGGCAAGGTCACCTTCAGCCTCACTCCGAATCAAAGGCTTGGCAACTAAGTACACAACTGTAAAATGGCCTGTTGGGCGAAGTACAACAGAATATACACAAATCTAAAAACTTACCGGATTTCTCAGAAGAGTTTCGAACAATTCTCCACCTTCGATACTTCTATCCAATGCTGTCTTTCCTCCTTTGATCTCGTAGAAGAAGTTAGTTGTGGTAAACAGACCACAAGTTTGTCGAGGTAGAACCTTAAAAGCAGGTTAAAAATTGTAAAACTTACAGTTGGAGGCTCGAACTTTTAAATTCAGAGGATAACACCCCTGCTTATTCATAAGAAAGCTACTGAGCTGTACTTTCCTATGATACAGTTTATTACGCTGCACGAGGTGGTTCGAGCCGAATGTTAAGTCAGTGAATAACAGCCTTGTAAGTGACCAATCAGATGAAAGCTATTAAGTATCACCATACTAGTTCTCAGCTAGTACGTGCGCTATGATTGGTCTATTTAGCGGGCCATGCTAAATTATAAGTTTATTCGAATTGAAACCATCCCCTCTAATTGAACCCAGAGATATAATAGATATCTTACAAATCTCGTTTTCTCGGTCCGTAATTTACGTCACGTAACCATGTTTATCGGTTTCGCGCTTCGGCCACAAACCCGTGCGAAAAAGCTAGCTCCGTAACGAACCTCGACCTCGGTCAGTAAGAAGTATGTACTGACATGTGGTATTGTTTATCGCGTCATGAAAGGTGATTTGAACTGTTAAGTTGGTTGATAAGACCCTTGCGTTTGACAATTCAAATGAAAGCTATTGAGCAGTATTTTACGGAATTTTGTCTTTCTTTATATAACGTATTTTAAAATCCTCTATTACCTTAACGCCTTTGTAAATAAATCCTCTTCTAAACCACGCAGGCTTCAAGTGAGGATATTCTTCAGTTGAGGTGACACGGACGTTTCGAACAGCTGACCAGGCATCATAAAGAGGGTCGTGCACTGGATACACACCGGAGTGGTGTGGGGCAACCATGTACGACTGTTTCATGGGAATACCGAACGACTGCGGAAACAGAACGAATCAATGTAAAAAAATGGCTTATAAAAGGCTTTCCTCCGTCACCGCATCTCAAATGGAAATAAGCCTAGAATTTAAAGTCTACCATTAAACATTTGTGAACGATTGTTAAAAAAATAGAATGAAGCACGAGCCTGTCTTGGCGTTCAGTTTTGAACGACAGCTAGATCTTTCCTATACAATGAGATTGTTTGCGATCTCTATGCGCGATAGTTGAAATAATACTTCGGTCTGTGGACAGATTTACTTCGTTTTAAAGGACTATTGTAACTTTATCATGAATCAAAGTTACTCTCAAGTACTGTACCTTGGCAAACTGTTCATTCGCGGTAAGTGACCTGACTATTTCTTTGTAGGTGTGTTTATGGGGCTGCTCATGATCGTACAAATGCCCAAACCACGTGAACTTATGCGCATGCTCTATCAGAGCTTGGTCCCCCGCATCTTCTTCGTCGTCACCCTGTCTAAAGCCACGCCCAGAGAAACCAAGATTGAATTTGAATCCAGGAATCTTTTGCGCGAGCCTCTCTTGTACTGATATCAATTCCTAAAGAAATAAAACATGCTAGATCATCGTTTCACCCCCTTAGAGTGACTAGCGTCCAACGTCTCCTTACAGTATCAATGGCAAATCATACAGTTAAGTCATGAATGGAGGAACCGATCAATGACCTGATAAGCTTGACCCTACAACCATTTAGAGTGATATACATCTAATTTCTTCTTACAATGTCACCTCAGAATGAAGGTAACGAGACTAAAGGAAACGATGGCAAACTGAAGAAACTCTTGATTGTTAGACTAAGTCTCCATATAAATAACACAGGAAATGTATAGAGAACAGTATGGAGGGTATGGATACTGTTGTTCAGGCGAAGAGCGTTAAGATTGTAAAACAAATTCTCCTTTTCAGCACCATGGGAAATGTATATAGAACAGTATGGAGAATAATCATACTGATGTTAATTTGTTAAAGAATTGATATTTGGTGAAGTCTGACGAGACTAGCGATTAGGGGGCGTAGTAACATCTCATCTTATTTTCCAATCTTTGTCCAGAACCAACCGAAATAATTTATTTATCTATTCACGAGTTACAATCTATTAAACGATGATTAAATCCTGTTGTCAGATAATAACTAATTTTGGTCGTTTGGCCTCCCTAGATGTTGTATCAACCCTTTAACCCCTAAGAGTGACTAGCATCTAATTTCTCCTTAAAATATCACCTGAATCACACGTTAATGTCATGAGAATAAAAGAATTGATCACCAACTAAAGAAACTCTTCATTTTAAGACAAATTCTCCTTGTCAGCACTTTAGTAATTGTACCAATAACAGTAAGGAGAATATGAATATTGATGTTAGGGTGTAAAAGGTTAAGGAAACAGCGACTGAGAGAGAGCTGGGCGCGACTAATGAAGCCTTACTAAACAAAATGTATAACCGCGGTTTAAAGAGAGGTTACCATACAGATGGCGTTAAACAGCTTTTACAACTAATCCCATTATCTGAAGATTAGAACCCTTTTAGCGACTGTACACATGACATGCACGCAATAATTTGCGCACGTATTTTCTTAGATAATATTAGCCTAAAATGTCTTTCAAGAAAATATCTATGAGACTTTTCAAAGTAATTCCTTTTTTTAGACACAAGGAAAATTTCTAGCAACTGCCTCATCGTGACTAAAACAAATTTGCCGGCAGAAAAATTCCAGATGCGAGTGGAGGATCAAATGTTCCACACTTTAACGGCACTTCACGCATCACGTGCGCCAAGAGTTTAGTCGGAAAAAGTTTAAATGTCTTCAAAGGTAAATACATCTCAGCTAACATAAAGGTAGAGATTAAGAAATCCCACGGAGAACTTTATCCTTTGAGGTCATAAGAGGATCTTACCTCTCTCTAATGGAATATATTCCCAGAAGAGCTTTTGAACTAAGCTTGGTTTCGTCGAGATCTTACGGGCTCAGAACGTAGCGATGACATGATAGGAAGCGTGGAACTTATTATTAAATGGGAGTTGTGAGAGAAAAATGCAACCTGATTTTAATGCAAAAGCTAGAATATGGGTTATAAAGTTTTCGACAACAAGCTCGACCTGGTCCACTCGGCTCCAGATCTCACTTAGGCGCTCTTTCCTCAAGAAAACTTGAATGCGTTTACGTTAGAGGCCACCAAGAGACTAGCATGGCCTGGGGGCCACAGAACATTTTTAAGAGCCCAATTTGAGCTCACTAACTGGGACGAATTCTGTTCAAACAGTATTAAAACCAAGGAATTTTTTAAGTGTCGAGGAGAGATCACGGAAAGCGAGAGAATTGAAGCAAGAGTGAGTTTTTTTTAATCTTGGGCGTGGAAAGGTTACTTTCACAGCAAGACACCGTAACATTAGAATTAAGCAGGATTAAAAATAGACACAGCCTCAAGAGAACACCAAACGAAACTAGCGTATTTACAGGTTTAACAATTAAAAGACAATTTCCGAGTTCTTCAAACCCTCAATTTCAAAGTGAAGCTATGAGCAAAATCTTCCCTCCGAAATAAGTAAAAAATGCATGAGAATGAATACTTCGTTATCATAATAAGAATTTCGCACCTCATCTCGTGCTTATCGAAACTGGCCCTTTAAGCTTGTTAAAAGACACTCCTCTCCGCGAGTTACGACCGAGGAAAATAACAACAAAGTCTAATTTTAGACATGGTGCATATTCTCTGCTCACATAGTAGTACATAGCCGACATAAAACTGACTTAGTGACGAGAGCAGACAACAATGACCAGACTAGGAAAAGCTTTGTGATATGGGATATGGCGATATTATAAAAGAGTGAAAAAGAGAAAAAAGAAATCATGTAGCAAACAACTTTAATCCAACCCACTGTCACGAAATTTGTGGCAGTGAAGGATTCACAATCTCGACATAAAAACATGGACGGGATAAAGATGTAGAAACATGTACTTTATTGGTGTTATAAAATGAATCGAAAGCGTTGCTAGAACTTTTATATTCGCTTTATATGCTTGGACAAAATGTTTGCTCTCGTGCGGACAAAAACCTGCATTGCAATGCGATTTATTCACTAATTATATTACCTAACCGCAACGTCTGAAAACAACGAAAACATAATACGGTAGTTCTTAAAGGTAATACAACTTTACGAAATCTCATTATGATAAAATATGACAGACAAGTAAGCTGTGAAGAAACTTCTAGATTTTCAGACGCATTTGTTTTGCAATTAAAAGTTCCTGCTAAAAAAAGACATTTTCCGCGTTTCTTTCCTCAATCATATTGCTCTTTCGTAACAGTAGAATATCAGAGAGCTTCGAATACGCATGAGCCATTAGGCTCGGGGGATTGGGTAACCACCCCCTACTTTACCGACGTAAAATAAATTGCATTGTAAGCAATTTGAGTCAGATATAAAACCAGGATGGAAAGCAGACGAAGTAAGTATGAAGGCATCCAAGATTATACGTTCTTTCTGTCAAGAAATTTATGCTAAATTTCAAGCAAACTTTGTGGTTTTAGAAGACACAAAAATTACTGTTGCTTTTGATAACTAAAGATCTAGCATGGTGAATGTACGCGCTAAAGGTGTTGTTAAAAGAAAATTCCCCAATTATAAAAGTAAAGTTTTATCAAATGAACAAAGATTGTGCAGAAGACAGCACAGAATTAATTCCTACAGAAAAACTTTGATAAAAAAAATTCTCTATGAAAATTGAGCATTACCCAACCCTTCCCTAAAACTTTACCATGGCTCCATAGGGTTATCTGTGGTGACTTTAATATTACGTAGTCACGCAATGTTCGTTTCAAAGTCACGACAGATAGCCGCATGTCACGAAAAGAGACCGCGATGTACATTAATGAATGATTTCAAAAGTAAAAAGGACACACACTTACCAGCACGTCTTCTTTCTTCATTCTTATCCCAGTTTTGGCGATGAAAATATCATCTATGTCAATTTGAAGATATCTTTCTGCTGAAAACACTGTCGGTCGAACGGGAGATAAGTATTCTAAACTGTCCATAAATAACAAAGTGTGAAGGAAAAACGGAAACCCTCCACCGAAAAATACCTTTTTTACACCGTCTTTTCGACCATCGTCCAACAGTACTGTTGCTTGTTCAATTTCAGCAACTTCTAGGTCTCGCTTCCGCCGATTTTTACGATTAACAACATACTCCACTGTTTCATAGGGAAATTTTTCTGGGTTATAACGAATTAAACACCATCTTGTGCCTTGTCCCTTCTGAACATACGGCATAGTAACCGAGCCGCCTCTACGTGTCGTTCTTAAAAGTTTCGAGTTTCCATTAAGTTCAACGTCGATCTTTTGTCGTTCTTTTTGAGGTTTGATAATTTCAATGCCAAATTCTTGTATAGATCCTACATGATTCGAGATAAAAAATAAAATTCCCGTCGCAAACTTCTTGCAGTATAATTTCACCACTTGTTGAACGTTGGGTTTGAGTAGTAAATACGCCTTGATGTCAACAAAAATAACCAACGAATATCGACCGATTGTGGTACCCATTTTAAGATCTTCTTTTAAATTTAAAAATGGTCTGTCGTCTACTTCGCTGACGACGTAAGGGGCCCGAAGACCGTCTAAAAATCTTGTCACAAAGTGAGAGAGTTTCGATCGTTCCTTAGTCAAAGATTTATGAACTACTAATATTTTCCTCTGTACTTGGAAAGTCTTGTTACCAAACTGTGTCGACGGAAGCATAACATCGTCCAAAAGTATTTCCTTGTTTCCATAAGGAGACGTCGATTTCCGGCCAACTTCGGTTAACTCTGTCGCAATGACGTCGTCTGTGGACAAAAAAAGCTAACCTTTCAGCTCCGAGGAATGACTGACATAAAATTTCTCCTTAAAGTATCACTGCTAAATCCAACATTAAAGTGATGAGAATTTAAAAAATGATCTTGAACTAAAGAACCTCTTGATCGACAAACAAATTCTCCTTGTCATTACTACAGGAAATGTATGAAAAACAGAATGGAGAATACTTATACAGATGCTGGAGTGTACAGGGAAGAGAAATAAATCAAATGTTTGTCAGGACCTCAGAATTAGAAAAAAATTAGAATAATACGCGCGGATTCAAACCTCAGTTAGTTCTAAATTTACGTGTAAATCCTTCATCAACTGAGTTTCAAAAAATTTGTTTGCGAGTAAGGCTGTGTACCTATTATCGTCACAAAGTAAAAAGTGCAGCATATGTTTAGCTTCGAAACTCGAGAAAACCCGCTGTTTTTGATGCTCAGAAAAAAATCTACCAAACTCCAAGGCATAATTTTGATTGCTGAGCAAATATTGCCAACATCGATCCAGTTATCTAATAAATCTAACGGGGAATTTGATTTATCTATCTGAAATACCACCTACGACGAAGCTTTTGAACTATCGAGCTTATCTGTTCACAGAGCGGAAAAGTCAAACAAAAACAACGACCTTCGTGTTTTTTTCACTATATTCGGAACATTCCTGATTGCAGTCGGGTGTGCGTTTCTTTCCGATTAAATTATCTGACAAATTCACCTTTCTGTAGGAAAAAAAAAACGTCAAGCTATCTTTTCAGCTCACTATGTGCGTATTCAACGTTTCTGCGTATGGAGAGGGGGTTCGCTTGCTTTATTTTTCATTTTTTTTTAAGAACGAGAAACACAAGTCGTACAACATCTTGCCACTGTCATTGTATTTTCACTTTCACGATGAAATGCTAATTGGTTTTCTCGACTACACCCAAGTTTAATCGGTAGAATAGTTCTGCATTTCAAAAATATCTCATCGTTGATATATCGATAATATTTTGAAAAGCGCAAGGCATAGCCGCTTCATCACATCCGGAACACAATTTCCCTGAATAAAAAAGTAGGAATTGACAACACTGCTATATTTGAAAGCACTTTACAGTAACTATTTTCGAGAGTAGAGACGATGAAAATGCCTGTAATTCAACTAGATTGCAATCAAAAAAAAAGAAAAAAACATCTGACATGCACAAAAATCGATCTATTAATGAGTTCCTGTGGTTATCAAGTTTGACAAATTGATCGCGGAGAGGTTTGTCAGATATATCGCTCGTTTACAATAGGGTATTGAAATTGAAAATTACTTTGTCGCTTAAAACAATCTCCACAAAAACGCGATCTCTGTGTCGAGCAATTATTGAAGAGTTGCACATGTCTTAAAGCAAATCAGAATTGCGAAAGTCGCGGTCCCTCGTGGAACATTTTCAAGAAGAGGTTTTGAAATTGCGAGACGGTGCGGCAACGTGACGCGACTTATGTAAACAACACCTTGTGAGTTTAGATAAGAAAACAATTCCAGCAACTTAGGGAGTTTTAGCTTAATTGAATGGCCTTCTACTTTACAACTTACGGTACACAGTTTACTTTTCGCTAAGAAAACGTTAAAATCGCGATATGAGACAAAGTTTTCCCGGTTTCATACGATTGTGAAACCCAAGCGCAAAATGTTTTGAATCTTTCGCTCTGAAAAATGACAGATGTTTTTCTTTTGAAAACCAAAACATCTCTAATATAAGCAGTATGTTGGAGGGCTCAAAGGTGGTTTCCTTTTCTTACCGATATCGTTTTTCATTTACAGATCCATTTGCCATAATTCGCTTCTTCCGTGACTTTTTTCTCTTTTCAAAAAAAAAAAAAAAAAACGGACAAACGTCTACGGAAAACAAAGAAAGGAATTCAAAATCGCTAGCGATAAAATGTTTTATTTTTTCCGATTTAGAAGTGGCACAGTTCGCGATCATTGCTCAAAACATACCTGAAACAGAGCCAGTCTCAACTAAAACTCACATCTTTTCAGAAGAAAAAAAAAACTCAACTCTTGGATAAACAAAACCCTCAAAAAGCAAAATAAATGTAATTTACATTCGTGCTCTAACATTTCAGAAGTGCCGACAATATCTCTACCGTGCGTAATTTAGAAAACATCTGAGTGGATCGCAAATTGATTAAAAATACTTTAAAATTACTAGCCCACATTTATAAACTTCTTGACCTCCAAGAAGGACCGTATCTTTGCCTTAAGAAAACAAATCTTACAGCTTAATAAATCTTTTTAACTTTGATGCATTAAGGCAAATGGTTCAGTCTTTTAAGTTAGTTTAAAAAGCCGAGTTAAGATTTTGTGCAAATAATATTATGACTGCAATTCCACAAAACTGAAATCCTATTGTCAACATATGGGTTCAAAATAGAATGGCCACCGACAAACCGCGAACATTTCTGTTCCGTTTAAGCATAACCGGTAGCACAGACTAGCAGGAAAGGAAGAATTCGGAAGTATCTTTTCGATAAATCCCCTCTGCGGAACTCGTTTTAAATCTTGAACAATGCCTACCGATGCAAACTAAAGAGGAACTGAATAAACCAAAGATTGTAAATCTCATCTTATTAGCCCAGTGTCATGAAATTAAGCCACTAAATAGCAAGTCTTTTAACCTTACAATCGTTCACAAAGGCCAAACAGGCACGTGCAAACAATTGTGCGACGAAGTTCTACGTGCCGAACTGAACATCTCTCTCTCATTAATTTTATGTGAGTAATACTTTATTTAACATGGCGTAGACTTCGGTCTATACGGCAAGAATGGCAAAATATATCTTAACACGACCAAAAAATGCCTGATTAGACCAACAGCAGTTTTCTTCTTGAAAATATGCCTTATTTTACGAATGGAATACAGCTCAAAATACACCATTTCCGAGTCCTCAGCTCAGTAGTTCTTATACAAACTACTTCTTTCGCAAGGAGATGAATAAACAACAATATTTCAAGAGTTCATTGTTTGTATACAAGCTCTTCTTCTACGCTTAGGCGAACATTCACTCGCTGCATGCCTGCAGAGTCCCTAACGCGACCACTACGGCGACTCCGCAAACAGCTTTTACGCTGAAGTTATCACACACGACAACTCCTTCAACATACCTGCAACCTCGTGGTCATTGTACAATAGGAGAGCGATGAAAAACACCAACCAAGCGGCGGGAATTATAGCCAAACACACTTTCTGAGAGATACGCAATCTCTTTGCTCGTATAATACATCGCATCGCTGATCGCTCATCGGACAGCAACAAACACCGTACAGCCTTCAAAATCCTCGCGGAGATTTCCAACAGCGTAGATGCAAATCTTTCATTGATACATTCACGAGTAAGGAGCACAAAATATCCTTACAATAGCATCGTGATCATCTCGAAAGCAATGGGAAATCCAACAGAGTTATTCCTGCGATCTTTCAATAAACATATGTTTTAACTGTGACCGACAATCTGCAACGAATGCTCCGTAGCTTAGAGTTTCACATATCAGTGCAATCGAACGCGCGTAATGCTGAATGAATGCGTTATGTCAAAACAACGCTATTGTACTCAACCGCCGTACCAGTGGCTCGCTTCAACAGAAGGGAAAAGTTAATGGCTAAGCGATATTAATCTGGTAATTTAATTACGTGACAGCTTTGTGGCAAGTGGTGTTAATTATGTAAAATGAACACCCAGTTTGATTTTGACATTTTAACCACGAGCGAACAAATAAATCACATAACAATAAGCGCCTTTATAGCCGAAGGAAATTCGCGCTCTCTCGACGCAAGCTCGTGACAAAATGTAATAGGTAAAAAGATAAAATTCCACTGCATTACTACAACAATCAAACTGTACAGTCATACTATATACGACAATAATAGTAATCCAAAAAATGTAAACCTTCGCTTCTAGTTTCTTCCAGTTTTCAAGAGAAGTATCTTTTGTAGCCTGGTGAAATTAAATCTTAGCCTAAAAATAAATTACCAAGGCCCATCGCCTGTTATTTTTCTTTGGGATTTTTCTTTCTAATAGCCATTAATCCATTCATGGTTTACCTTTTATTATGTTTTCAATTAGGAATTCGAACGAAAACAATATTGGTATTTATTCGATGCTTTCTATTACTTAGTATTATGCCTTTTCCATAATTAACCAGCCTTACGTTTCGGTATTTTTTAGATGTAAGCACGAATGTGGCCGATAAACATCAAATCCCTCGAGGCTTTTAGAAATCTATCCTTACTTTCCTCTTGAAATATGGCGCAGTGTTTGTGCAACACGATTCTTTTATTTGTTTTGGTTTGACGAAAATAAAGTGATACCTGAAGCACTGACCGTGTCATCTTATTACGTTTATGTCTTAAGTGTCTGGAATGGCTTGCATCGTTTAAATCCTACTTCTAGTAGGCTTGTAAAAATCGTTTCCCGAAAAAGAGCCAACAGTGTACTCGCTAATTGACTACTTAACCAATTAATCTTTCTCAAGACAATATTCTTTCCGAATCCAATTAGAATTATCTGCATCTTCCGCTCTATCTATGAATGGCTTACAAAAGGGCAGTAGTTTTTTTCTTTCTCGAGGATAAGTTCTTTGAATTTGCAGACGGGATCAAACAGAGTATCGCGTCCAGTAAATCCGTTGATTGATTAAAAAGACGAGGATCCCTACGAACTTTTGACGCCACAAAAACCTCTGTTTCCCTAGCACGGCTCCAATGTGTCTGACCGCAAACAATTACAAGAAATTTGATTAAGTAAAACAAAACAGTTTTATCTCGCGTTCAATGACAAAAACGTACTTGTTCTTAGAAACTTTAGAGTGCAGCGAACCACGCCGCATAGAGAATAGAACAACAAAGCGAGGCGAAAAGTAGGAGAGCGAAAAAAAACTCTTTCCCCCAAAACAATACCTCTCTTTGAGTCTTATTCAACACTTTTATGGTGTAAATTTCAGCCGTAGTCAACGCCTTTTGTTTGATCTTGTCACGCAACGTCATGCAACGAGCGCAATCGCGTGACTAAAACTGCAATATAGAATATAATCTATATTTCTGTAATGCAGATTGGGAAACCAACCTTTTTGTTTCTCACGATATACAAAAGCTGCTTTGCTGTGTTCTTATGCAGCGGAGCAGAAACGGGGAAGGGAGGTGAATGAAGGCCTTGCCCCAGTTCCCTTCCCACCCCTTTTAAACGAAAGTTTCTGAAAGCCCAGTACTCGCTCAAAAGTTTAACTACAAATGATCGCAATCGTAGCAAAAAATTAGGCTTGTCGAATTTATTGTTGTACATTATCTTTTTATATCGAGGGTTGAAAAGGGGGTCCTGTCCCTATTTCAGGCACCTGCATGCACGAATTAAATTATGCAGATAGCTGGAAGTTGAAAGAACGTTTCCTTCTGTAATGAATTTAAAAAATGATAAAAAAAATTATGAATAATAAAAAGGAAGTCGTGTAAGAAAAGAGAACACGCGGAAGAAGAAAAAAGAACACGTGGAAGAATGAAGAAAACACGCAGTAGAATAAAGAAAACGCGGAAGAGGAGAAGAAGCCGCAGAAGGAAATGAAGATCACGAAAAAAACTTCGATATCCCATGCAGGTCACCGCACTCGTGAATATACTTTACCACCCTTGTAATCATATTGAAAAGAAAAGTCATTAAAAGATATCCTTATCAAAGATTAACTTTGAAGGCAGAGGATTCAACATCTCTTGCGAATGGCAAGGAGTCGCGCAGGCCCGTCAAAAGTTTTTTTAACAGAAAACAGGACTCACGGATGTTAAAAGAAGTCGCGGATGGAAAGAAAAATTTGCGGAAGTAAAAGTTGTAGAAGAAAATAAAAGGCGCGGAAGTCAATGCCCCTTTAGGCCACCTGTAACAAGAGAGTGAAACTATGACCTAAATTATTAGAGAAGACTACGCCATCTCTGTCGTTTCTGTCACGTGCCTCTATCCACGCTAAGTAGCCTCGCGGCCCTCGCCTTCATCGGCAAAGATCGATTTTGCACAGCGAATGGGTCCTATTGGAAACAGGTCACATGCTCTCCTTCGCGGTCGTTTGTTGGGATTTCACACAAGGGACCCGTCATCAATTATTTTTCGCCGGAGGGTCTACGGAGGGGGAGAGGATGGAAGGTCGGATGATTTTGATTGTGTCAAGATAAAACCTATTGATACCCTCATAAGGTTCTTTAATATTCCAATGATCCCTCCAGGAGCCCATTACCCGGAGCCTCCATACCAATTGTACCCTTGAGTCAACCCCGTCCCGTATCTTTTTATTTTTAGAACTGTAATACGTAAGGGGGGGTTCTTAAATTTCCCGCGAAAACACGCTGACGTTCTCCGCTTTTCGCCATTATTGAAATACGTCACTTTCATGTGACGTAAACAATAGAGGCTTGAGCTCTCTTGTGATTGGCTATTATGTAAAGACCCGCGAAAAACCCCGTGGGAGGTGCTCAGGGACAGGGTCGACGCAGAGGAGACAGGGTTGGCTCAGAGGGTAAGTATGGAAGATGGAAGTTCCGGATAATGGGCTCCTATCCCCCTCATTAGCAATTTATTTTTAGTCAATCTTCTATTGTCTCTTTAGATTTCGTCAAAATATAAAGATTCAATTCTGATTCAAAATATAAATATTCAATCGCTCTGACGAAGGGCTAACGCTCGAAACGTCAGCTTTTTTACACTTTACGGTGGCCAATTTACGTTTTCAACTCAGTTGTTAACACTAAATTACCAGTTGTATACAGTGTTATTAATTCTTAAATGGTTTGTGTAGATACATTTTAATTCTTATTAGTTAGTATGAAAAGTAATAACTTTTATTTAAATTGTTATTAGCACTGTTTATTTTTTTTTTTGAATTATATGCTTTGGGACGCCCACTCGATTAGTTCCTAGAGCTATTTGGGTGTCACAAACTCCACACAGTTAACATAGTATTTAAATTTTCTTTTCTTCCTGTTCATCATCATTTCTTAGATATCCTTGATAATAATGAGTTGTAAATTATTTTTGTTTCTTTTTCCGTTTTCTTATTGTACTTTATTCTTTATATTGATGTTTAAATAAAATTGAATTGAATTGAGTCTCTCTATTCTCTGTTGGCGACAACTGTTCCCCACTCCATCCCCGCTGAAAACCATGTGATCCACCAAAATACTCCAAAAACTCCCTCCCCCTGCCCACAAAAACAGGCAAAAAAAAAAAGAAATGATTGGTGCCGATGGCATGCGGCGCCTGGATTGTCACGCAACCAAAACCTGTTAGTCGCCGCGAAAGGGGAGAAAATGTACTAAAAATTTGAAACATCGATTCAAATAACTGCGAATTGTGCCCCTAAAAACCTTTTTCATATGACATGTGCAGAACTCAAGCCCGTTGCTTGGGCTCTGACACCCGTCAATTGGTGACTAAGGCTCAAAGAATTCTTTGTTCGCCACGCACTTGTCATTAAAACCGTCGATGTTAATCTATGTTTTAATTTTTTATGTCCACCGAAAGGGTCATGTTTCCTTATCGCTAGAAATAGCCCGGGGTCGTTTTGAGGGAAAAACAACCTAAGCTCCTTTCAAAACAAAGCGTTTCTTTAAGCAAAATATTTTGCTTTCCTCAGCAATTGTATTTTAATTTTTTATCTGTGATCTCTTTAAGATGGGTAAGTTAACCCTTTCAGTCCCAAGATCTCATTAGTTATTCTCTGATTTAAATTCGAACAATTCGGTATTGGATCAACTAATAATCCCCTACTTGATGTTTTTCTTTTTTTCTCATCACTTGTCTGCTCGATATTGTAAATATTGTGTTGATATTGTGAGGAAAAAATCTGTCTTAGTCAGTTACGGAAGTAAAAGGGTCAAGAAAGTGTGTCAAAATGTAAGTTTAAATTTTTCCTTGGTTAGTGATTTTCAATCCGTGTCGATCCTCTCCATTCTCAATTGTTCTTGTTTATTTTTTCATACATTTTTTTCCATTCAGTGGAGTTATTTCTTCATACAAAGCTTCTATTTCGTGGATTCGCTCATACTGACGCGAAATCTGCTCATCGTCGAAAAGTACTTAACGTAGTTTGACCCAGCTCTTCTAATATTACCAGACTATCGCAAATCTGATCCGTTCACAAAGCAAACCGGCACAAAGGTTACCCCTCCCCGCCCGGCCCGGCTTCAACTTCTCTTCCTTCCTTCGAACATGGCCGGCTTGGATGTTGATTCGGTTTTGAGACACATCGGCCAATTCGGTCCTTATCAGATTCGCATCTTAGCTCTGTTCACGTTCATCTTCTTCCCCATCACATATCAAACGCTGATCATGGTGTTTGTGGCGTACGAGCCTCCTTGGATGTGTGCTAAGCACAGCGTGACATGTTTGGAATCAAATAACTCATCGCCTAACAGCTCTTCAGTTGAGAGTGCTGTTTACAGCACATCTACCAAACCCAAACAGCTTTATGAAAGAAGATGTTCTTTGAAGAGAAGCGACTGGAAGTTTGCTGAGTACGATCTCTATGAAGGACCACATGAGACTATTGTAACCGAGGTAAAAACAAGATTTGTTGTTACAATGAAATTGATGCTGTAAGCAGAATTCGGGAGGGAAAGTAAGAAGACTTGTAATCGTATGTCACCGCGGCCTTACACCCAGTTTCAGACAAAGTCTTTTCATTTCACTACCCCGCTGGAGACGAAAATCCGTTCTGGATTGCACCTTATTAGCCTCTTAGCCACCTCTAAAATATCTGGGAGGAATATCTAGAATTAACTGAAATATTTAGCAGTACTTCGCAACGCCACCAACATTCACACCTCATTCAAGGCTTCTGATCTGAAAAGGCACCCTACTCCTGACGATAAATTGTAAACTTGTTTCAAAGCCATATCTTAGATCCAAGATCCATAAATCCCATCGCACCTCTGGGGCACCACCCTGTTGAAGCCTGGTCATGGAATACTCCCCCCTGACGGAGATATGTTACGTTATAGATAACAGATGATTTCGTAAGGAAATACGTCACGACACTTTTTTTATTTCGGGGTCGTTGAAAATTGTCTTATATATATTGTATATATTAAGCAGCAATTATTTAGTGAAACCTTGCACAAGCATACAGCTACTGGACCTTTGCCTGCTGGAAGCGTGTTCTTCTAATACATGCTCTAAGGGATTACGGTCCGAGACGGCGTCATGTAGTGCATATATATACAGTATTCTCAACTTGGTGCAAATCATTCTCGGATACTTCTCCGTGGACATTTTTGGTTCCAAGAATCGACTGTCGTTGTTTGGATCCCACGATCTAAACTTTAATCTAAGCGAAGCGGTGATTCTCTGATGTTCCCCACCCGCCTACGATATACGAAGACTTGGACTCTGCGAGGAACAAAATGCTTAGTACTTGTTGCCAAACTGAACTAATTTCCCTCAAACACGCTTTTTCTTTACACACACTAGAGATAGTTGTGGAAGAAGACTAGATGCACATATCTGCCGACCGACCGCTAAACGGCCTGCATTGTACGAGCGTGCACCCGTAATGGCATGTTAAACATGCAATTAGTTTCGTACCTAGACCTTTCACGGCCAATCGGCTGTAAGTAACGCCACACGATAGGATCTGCAAACGACTGATTAACATACAATAACGTGAACCGCATATGGTAGATTATTCCTAAAATCTAACAACGTTCATCAAACCGCCGTTTTTTGTTTGTTTGTTTGTTTGTTTGTTTGTTTTTTTAGTTTGACTTGGTGTGTAGCCGTGGGATGCTGGGGTGGCTCGCAAATTCCATGCTGTTCATTGGCTGGGCAGTCGGTGCCATCGTGTTAGGTTTCATCGCCGACCGATATGGCCGAAAAAGTGTCCTGTTCCCTTCCGTGTTAATAGTGCTGCTGGTGACGTTTGCTATGGCGTTTGCTAAGGCGTTCTGGATCATTGCTGTTTGCCGAGTAATTATCGGGTTTTTCGAGGCTGGTTGTTTTCTGTCAATGTTCGTATTGGCCACCGAACTGGTTGGGCCTGAGAGGAGAGCACTAGCTGGGACCCTTGTTTGGTTCTACTTCACCGCAGCCCTAATGATTTTGGGACTGAAGGCCTTTTTTATTCGTAAATGGAGAACACTACTCATTGTATCATCAGCACCGTGGATTTTCATCCTCGTATTCTGGAAGTAAGTTAAAAATATTTGTCGCTTAAAATTTAGAAGCGATCAATATATAACGTCTCTTCACAGTATCAATTCAATATCCAGTGAGTGGGTAATGAGAATAAACAAACCCATCAGGTCTACGGTGTTTTCTTGATATAATATATACCTCTTTCCTTTGTGATTAAAAGAAAAATTGTTATAATTAAATTTTTACGACTAACGGTTAGAAATTTTCAATTTCTACGCCTAACAGCTAATTTTTTAGCCGTTTTATGGCTGACGGTTAACCTCATTGAGACCCTTTGAGAAACCCGCGGGTGGGTTTGGTGTGGCGTCTGACTGGTTTAAGAAGCAAAGCTTGTAATCTGATGGTCCCTGCTTTAAATCCTCCCTCTTGCACTTATTGGAATTGTTCTCTGTAAAAAGTTCAACTCTTTAAATGGCCAAATGGTCTGCCCACTTTCAATTAGGATTTTCACACTTACGTGCAATTTTACATTCGATACTCGATATAAACCCTCACTAGGTGTTTTAATCACCAAACGTACTTCTCTTACCTCAAAGGTTCATTCCCGAATCGGTGAGGTGGCTTCTTGTTAAGGGAAAAAAAGAGGAAGCTCGAGAAATTTTGTCTAATGTCGCCAAAGTGAACAAGAAGGAGATGCCAAGCGAAGAACTGCGTGTCCCAGTAACCACCGCGAGCAAGGGTATCTTTGGGCTGTTTAAGACATGGAATATGGCAAAGTTGTCTTTGATCCAGTGTTATGCTTGGTTAGTTATGAACAAAGCCTCTTCCCTAAACGTCTCCTCTTCCCACCCCCTCCTCCCCCCTTCAACCCCAAGGTGAGGAAAAGAGTGCTCATAGTTGGAATTCCCACTCCTCCCCCTTCCCCCTTCAACCCTAGGGTGAAGAATAGAGTGCTAGGAGTTGAAATTCTCACCCCTCTCCCCCCTCCCTCCATGGTGAGGAATAGAGTGCTCGGAGACGGAATTCCCACTCCCCTCACCCTACCTCCTTAAACCCCAGGGAGAGGAATAGAGTGCTCGGAATTGGAATTCCCACTCCTCCCCCCTACCCCCTTCAACCCCAGGGTAAGGAATAAGAACGCTTGGAGTCGGAATTCCCACTCCTCCCCCCTTCCCCTTCAACCCCAGGGTGAGGAATAGAGTGCTCGGAGCTGGAATTCTCACTTTCTCCCCCCTTCCCCTTACGCCCTTCCACCCGAGGTGAGGAACAGAGTGCTCGGAGTTAGAATTCCCCGCCCCTCTCCCCGCTTCAATCCCAGGGTATGTGACAGACGGCTCAGAGGCGGAAAAAAACTTAGGAACGTGGTTGGTTGTACATATCAAGACTAACTTTTTTAAGTTCTTCATTTGGAATCTGAGATGATCTTTTCTATCCTAGATATGCTCGTTGCCTCTTGGCGTATAATAACCATTTTATGTTTTTCCATCTCACAGAACCAATATTTGATGGTTTTGTTTAAGCTTGGGAAATTAACACTATTGGGAAAGATCTGCTCAAAGTTCGTTTTCAACCTCCATATTATTCTTCAAATTTGGAAGAGTCAGCATTTTTTGAAGACCTGTCACAGTCTTATCGACTCATCTTCTATTCCGTTGAAAGTTTTTTTTCTCCCCTAAATGTTTTGTTCAGGTTCGTGAACGGCATGGTGTATTACGGGCTGTCACTGAGTTCAGGAGAATTTGGAGGAAGTATCTATTTGAATTTTGTTCTGACGAGTTTGGTAGAAATCCCTGGAAATATACTGGTTATTCACAATTGTAACAGGTACTAGGACGGTTTAGTAATAATGAACAGAATTTTTGAGAACAAGTAGGTCAAACTTCTGCGCATGATCGAACTTTGAGGCACCCTGTCATCGTGTTCCTGTCAGGTGGTAGATCAACAAAATGGCTGTGATAAAAGCTTTTTGTTAGAATAGTCTTGAATTTTTTTCTTCTGCCTTTGTTCGTCAGTCCTCTCTCAGATTTCTTTAAATGCTGATCGACAGCTAATGCCTCTTTTGTTTTTGTTTAGTATTTTGTGCTAAATCTTGTTCTGAAGCCGCCCAAAACTGATCCTCTTGTGCTTGATTATTCTATGGATGACCGACGTTTGACCGCTCAGTCACTTTAAAAAGATTGATTTGATAACCAGCCGCTGCTCGGCAATTGAGCCCACACTCGTTCCCCGAAGACTCTTTATTCGAGGAGGAAGAGACTCCGGAATGGGCTGGGGAGAGCCAAATCGAGTCTATTGACAAGAATTCTTCCAACTTTTTTTCTCACTAGATAGGAGAGATCTTTTAAAACTAATTTGTTCTTTTTCCAGGTTTGGTCGTCGAAAAACGTTGGTAGCTTACATGGTTCTTGCAGGAGTCACTGTGGTAGCTGTTTCCTTGATCCCAAATGGCACTAACAACACAGGTATTTGAGACCTGAGGATATATTTTATACTGATATCAGTTCAAATTTCTCGTGAATTTTCACCAACCATTTAGTTCTTTCCAGGTTACATCGCTGGTCGAGTGACGCTTGGCACTCTGGGTAAACTCTGTATTACTACGTCTTTCAACGCTATTTACGTTTTCTCGGCTGAACTTTTCCCAACGATTGTCAGGTGAGATTTACAATAAAATTGGATAAAGGTTAAGCGATCTAGCCCCTACATGTGATTGACTTATAACCTCTTCGAACAAAATTCATACATTATCCACTGAACTTGTTAAGAGAGCAGAAAAACTTATCAGCTGTATGTGAGGCAGTTGGAAGAGTCTCTTTGTTCCAGGCTCTCAGTCAGCGGAAACGAGCTAAATGTGGGCACACGAAAAATGGACCTCGCGAAATTAGCAGGATCGCAAAGAAAAATGTTTCCTTGACAACCACTTCAGCTGCATCCGCTTGTTCGCCATTTTTCGCGCGTCCCTGTTCTAGGCTATGAACCCTGCAATGGGGAAGGATGAATGGGAAAAGGTTAAATAGTGAAAGACGACAGTGAAATGGTAAACGGGGAGTGGGTATGAAAAATGACAATAAATAATGGAAAAGGAGAGCGGAAAGGGAAAAATAGGAACGCGGGACGGGGAACGGGGCATGGGGCGAAACTACTTGTGAAGAAAGAATAGGGAAAAGAGAGTTAAGAATAGCGGAGGAGGGAAAGAAAGAACGGACTGAAGTGTGTGTAACAGGCTCCACGAACGAGGAGCAAGGAATTTTTAAGTCAATTGTTCATTATTTCATTTCAGAAACAGCGGGATGGGTATGGTATCCGTAGCAAGTCGTATTGGGGCAGCCAGCTCTCCCTTTGTGGTGGAGATGACTCGTATTAACGCCATTTTTCCTTTCGCCTTGATGGGAAGCTTGTCATTCATTGCTGCAGTTTTTTGCTGGTTACTTCCGGAGACCCTTGGGAAACACACCGCCGAAGTTATGGAAGACACCGAGAAACAACAGGGTACTGCTCATATAAAGACCTTAAGTGAAACATGTAATACCCGACACCACTTACAAGCGTTCGCCTAATTCAAGATATTGGCATTAAAAGGTTCTAATAGATTGAACTAAGACAGCAGGTTTATCGTTAGGGTCCTTTGCAACAAAGAAACACAAGCTTAAGACTGAAAAGCTTTACAAGAGCATATTAAATCTACAGTAAACCCTCCCCCCCCTTGATTATCCATCTAGAGAGTACAGGTTTTGGGTCCTGAGAGAGCAGAATGCTATAGTCCGCTTCCACCGAGGGGAGACTGGAACCGAATGGGGCTTAAATTTACGGTCAATATGAGATCTCAAATCAGGACTTTATGGATATGGACGTGATATGGACCGGTTACTTGGAAAAGCAGTGAGAACTAACCAATAAGATAGATGGTATAAACTCTCTGAGTTTCTCTTGTATTGGAGAAAATCCTGAACATTCAATATTCATTTCTCTTGTTTTATAAAGTTTTCAGAAGTTTAATGAGTTACGTGGGATTACAACCAACAGTTAAGCAATCAAAAGACAAACGTTGAAAGTTTCAATTATTTATATCAGGGCTGGTTGTGCAAACATATCTGCTCGAACACCAAACCCAATTCAAATCGAAGTTTCTATATATTGAACCCTCTTCCAAGTTTACCGCTTTTTGTTCTTTATTACCCTTCACACATAAAGACACAGCCATCTGCACGGCAACAACAATAACAAAACAAATACATCAACAACAAAAGTCAGACAAAAGTCGGACAACTGTTCGCTTCTCTTAACAGATATTAACATCCACGACAAATGTGCAGCGTATTTCAAGCCAAGAAGAGGATATTGTTTATTTACATGACTGTTATTACTTTTTTTTTTCAGATAAGGACTATTCTCTGGAAGTACTAAAAAAGCTGACTGAGGACTGACGAATTTCTTACCTCATTTACCTCAAATATTAAGTCCCTCGACATCTACAAACGATTTTAAATTGAGAATTAAAATTTGTGGGAAACGTCTCTATCTTGTTTTATTATTCCAAAAAAAAAAAATGAGAAATAAATTTGTGGGCAGATTTTGTTTCATTCAATCAATCATCTTAGAGAAACTTCTTTCAGCCAGTCTTAGAGTTAAGTAAAAATTTCAGCCCTACTCAATTTCGCTCGTTAAGATTAGAGAAGAATAATTTGCCTGAGGCTTTGAATCTGATAAACGGGCTTATAAGTGAATTTTTCAGTTTCTTTTTTATTGATGTAAGCTGGCCGTAAAGAAGTAATTCCTGCCTCATCGATTTTTGACTTTCTTCGGCTCCGAATTTACCAGCACCGTCTGGAGGTTCAAAAGAAAACCGGAGGAAAATACGTCCTCTATTCTTATTTTTTAATTTGGAGTGAATATCAATTAAACGTAGATAAAGGTAGCTGTATTTTACCGCCAAAGTGAGACTCGAACGTTGGTCTTGCGTCTCTTTCATTGGGCAAGTGGTTGACCATTAAAACGTCAGGTTTTCGAACTTGCATATGGTATTTTGTATCTTATATGTCATTTACCATATAATTAAGGGCGACGGAACGTGTAAAATATGCCACGAGATTACATTGTAAGTTAAGGCAAAAGTACGGACGGAAAGCTGAGCAACACAAAGGTTACACTGAAATAATAAAAAATGGAATAATATTGTAATTATAAATTTCTCATTCGATGGTTTGACAAATAATACGAACTGGCATTTTGTCCATTGCACATATTTTTCCATGCACATACGGAGCACGGAAAAATACTGCGCAAATATTATCGTGCAAGAAGTATTCAATTGGAATTAAACAATCCTTTTCGTGCGATTTCATTGTACCTCTAATAACAAAGTACACACAGACCTAACCCTTTTTCACTTGTGGATTTGAATATCTCAGGATATACGACATGCAAATTTCGTGGCGTTAGCACGGCCAAAGGAGTCTGGAGAGAGTATACAGCTTATTTCAGTAGTCTCCCCTACGACTAAAAATGATAGTGCACGTATACATAATTGAACAGTTTACAGCTGTTACCTAACCTGGTCTGTTTTTTATCTCTGTGGCCATAACCCATAGGCAACCCTGTCTCGATTGTCAGTAAATAGGAATTCTTTTGCTTCAAATAGTTTCATAAAACCCGTCGACTTCATCAGGCCGAAATAGGTTGCATACATCTTATCAAAGATGGCGGACCGATTGTTAGATAAAGCGGATCAATTTGGAGATAATGGCTCGATTCTGTCATCACAGAATAATTAGCAGTTTAGTACAATCATTGCATATTCTTATAATATTCTGCACAGTTTATCTACGAGTTCACCATAGCGTCACTTTCATCAATTTGCACACTCTCTCAAACGACTAAAAATGATGATACCTGCATACATGATGGGACAGTTTAGTGCTACTACCTAAACTGATCTATCCAAGCTTTATCTCAGTTTGTGGCCTTAACCCACAGGCAACCCAGACAGAAACGTCTGTCTGGATTGTTGGTAAACAGGTCTAAATAGGAGTTTTGAATATCATCGTTACTTCAGTTTGTTTGTTTCAAGTAGTTTCATAAAACACTTCAACTTCATCGGGTTTAAAATTTGTCACTTCCTGCTAGGAATGATCGGGTAAAGGAGCTGCCATAACTGTGGCCAGATGGTGGACTGTAGGTGTTTCCAAGGTTTGCGTAGGAATTTGTGTTGGATGAGGCGTAACTGGCGATGAAAAGATCGTGTCCTCCACCAAATACGGGTCCATAGCTTGAACAACTGTACATGGAAGAACGACCAAAACTATACTTTCCTGTTTGAGACAGTTTCACTGGTGCCCAGCCTGGCTTGTTAACCAATGAGAACAAAAAGGCCTTTGAACTGTACAGGTTTCCACAATTGGAAACTAATAAGCAAAATGGAAAAAAAAGAGTCACAAGCTATTTCAGTAAACTGAGATGAAGGTGAATATTTGTAACACTTGGCCAGAGGAACATTTAAAACGATAAAGAAATGGCGTTTACGAGCGTATTTTAGTTAACAACAACAATAAAACGAAAAGCTATTGAATAAATTTTCCACCTCCTTTTGACTTCAACCTTTCTCTATGGTAGAAGAAGTTATTGCGTAAATACAGGGAACAGCTTTTCCTAATCGAGCATGATCTTGTGTCAAAATTTAATTCCAATCAGATAATCAGACAACAGAAACTTTATGTCAGAGTTTCTTTTCAGGTTCAAGTTATTTTAGAGGAGAGACTTTAAGTCGCTTACAAGAGTTCTGAAAAATAATTAACCGCATGTAGTTTCAAATGACAAAGTGGATGCATGTTTCAATGGAGTGAAAAAATAAAGCGAAAGCATTCAATGATTCATTTACCCCATGATGTGCTGGTGTATCCACCAAAGATGTATTTTCCCACACGGATAATGGTCAGTGTGGGCCCTTTGTTGTCACACTTTGAGTGGAAGGTAGTACCGGCCCAACCATCCACGGATGCTCGCCAGCAGTGCTTCCAGTAAGAGGACTGGCTCTGCACAACGTTTAACCAAATTTTCAAAGTGAGCAGGTAATCAACATCATGTGTCAGTATTACTGATCGCTCCAAACCTGAAAAAGAAAGATATTAAAGCCTGTTTTAATTGCTCAATTAAAAAGGGATCAACTTCGGTTTAGATGCCGGAACACAATTTAATCCCAAATGAGAGTGAATTAGCACAAATAGCAGCAAATGTTTTTCTTTTTTTTTACTGTATTAATTTATTTATTAGCGATAGTTAGACTTGTTGGCCCATTTCAGCTTTAAGCTTGTTAAATAGGGCTGGTATAAATAATAACCAGGCCAGAGCACAACACCGGGAGACATGTTCGCTACTCTTTGCGAGAAGTGAGTGGGTTTATTAACGTCCCATGCTAACAAGTACAGAGAGACGTAGGAGTTTATCGTCTTTATCCGAGAGGACTAAAATGTTTAACTACTTGTAGTTTTCATGGTAGTGGCAGCACATTCTCCTCAGTTATTTTAAGATCCTGATTGTGGAACCCTCGATCTTCCGCACGGCAGTCCGACGCTCTACACCATGAGCTAACCACGGACGGTTTTGGGATATTTTTTAAATGCTGGATCCATTCAACAACCATATCGTGCTATTAAGACAAGTGATACTTCCTTCCAATTACATATTTTTAAAGCTCTGCAGCAAAAGTAACTAATAAATAATACCTCTAAATTTTTCTCTAATCACCAAGGTTGTTGTCTCTACCAATCCGAAGGTGTTTTTAGCCCGGCAAATGAAATATACGTTTTCTTCACCCAATATTATTTTAAGACATCCATCTTTCTGAAAAACAGGCAATGAGTCAGAAGACTTTTGGCCCTGGTACCACTCAACGTTTGGATGAGGAGAGCCTGAGGCTTCGCAGCACAGGGTTACATTTGCTCCTACAAATCCATTGACAAATGTAGGGGGCTGTTGGTAAATTTAGGTGGTTCTGAGGAAAGAAAAAAAATCATTGTAACATTGTAACATTGTGTCATAAAAAAAACGTGGCGAAGATTTTAAAAGCCTGAACTAAAGATGGCGAGACAAAGCTTATCATAATCATTTCTCTCTTTGACAAGCAGCTTTAACGTAATCAAGGTGCGCCAGGATTATTCAGGTTATATTTTCCAGGTATTAAAAAAGTCTTGATCAATAGACCTGAATAACCATCATGATTCGATTAGGGGCATTATCTGATTCTGAAAACAAACGGCACTGATCTTCTAACATTTCGAACAACTAAAAGCAAAGCTGAAAGTCACTCAAAAGTAAAAGACCTTACCTTTTATTTGCAATCTGCTTATCATTCGGAACATTCCCAAACCAGTGTGAGCTGTACACATGTACGACCCAGCATGTGACCTTTGTACGCTGATTATTCGAAGCGCACCATCTTCCACAGTAGCATTAGATAGAGTACCTCCGAGTTTACTCCACGTTATCTTGGACGAAAGATGGCCTTGAACCCAACAGTAAAATATTACAGGCTCGTTCACAAAGACTTCCTGAGATACTGGATACGCACTGATCTTCAGTGGAACAACGCATTCTCCCTTTGGTCCCTGAATGCCAACCAGTCCTCTGCTGCCTTTGCTTCCTTTTAAGCCAATAGATCCTTGTTGTCCTTGATGACCCTTGGTTCCAGTCTCTCCTATAATCCCGGGTGCTCCAATTGACCCTTTGTCGCCCTTGTCGCCTTTTACTCCCTGAGGTCCCACAGGTCCTCTTTTGCCACTCATGCCTGGAGCCCCGATTGGACCTGGAGGGCCTCTTGAGCCGGTTTTCCCTGTGGCTCCTTTTTCTCCTTTGTACCCCGGATACCCGAGGGCACCTGGAGGACCTGGAGGTCCTGTCTGACAAATCTTGTTGTTACCACTGCAAGACTGGTTGAAATTATTGTTAATTTCCTGGCGGACTTGCTGCAGAGTTATTGTTCCTGCAGCAACATTTCTTCTCTCTCTTTGATGATCACGGATAGCAGATGACACACTTCCTACTTTGCTTTCAAAACCTGCACAAGTTACGATAACAAATATTTCTCAGGGGATCAATGAAGTAATGCATTTTAAAGTGCGAAAGAATAATTTTAATTGATGTAGTCGTTTATCAATCGATGTTTTCGGTGAAGAGAAAGAAAATGGACAGTAGAAACAAAAGAGGAATATGCAAATGTTAAAACATTAATATTCTCACAAAATCGGTGCAAAAATGAATATATAAACATGAAATGGAGTCAGAGTTAAAGAACAAAAAAAATTCATAAAAGGAACCTTGGACGTCTATACATTTTTTTGGAAAATAGCCCGAGGACTGTCTGAAGCTGCCTTTAGTCTTGAGACTTTTCAGCTGCGAGATTTCAAGTAAGCTCATTGAGCATCGTGCTCAAAGTTCTGTTCGTAAGATGTAATTAACAATTATACTGTCATGAAAATTTCGGTGCTAAAAATTAGCGGTGATCAAACACATTAGTGTAAGATAATTAGAATGTATGCTGCTGTGTTTCAGGAAGTCAAAACAGTAGGAGTTATAACTTTGATTTAGTTCAACAGAATGTTACCTGATCCAATCTGCATTCTTCGGTGGCCTGACGCAGGAATGCATGTAACCCTACATTAGCGTTATGTGAAAGCAGATGTTTTCGATAACCATACAGTTTCGTGAGTGATGCGAAACAATAACAAAAATGTTCACTTGTTGATTACCTTAGGCGTGTTCTTTCGCTTAACGCTTGTGAAAAAAGAAAAATAAATGAGATTTTAGGCGCCGGTCAGTTGAGTTTGACCTTTTACAAAAATATCTTTGGCAGTAGGATAACATCATACAAATAAAATACAACTTAAGATAGATTTTCGCTGTCTCATTTCACAATCAACGGCAGTAGAACATAGCGAGTATTCTGTTTATAGAATTGAGTGACGAACTAACGATGGATCCGTTTTTGCTGTGATGCAGTATAGTGTTGGTTATTAAAAGCTAACAGAACTGATGTACGTGTAACCAATGACTCACCAAACATAACATCAGGCTTTTCCTTTCTCCTTGCTGTGGATGCAGTTTCATAAATTTGTAACCTCTTCTTCACTATTCTCTCTATGTTTGTTTTCAGGTCATCGTCAATCCGCTGAATTCGGTTTTCAAGCCTTGTTTCCAGCGCTTTCGAATTGTTGTACACAAACTCGATCCTCATAAACAACAATGTCACAAGAGTCAAAGAAGTCACTGAAATAGCCACGGAAATTCTGCTCATCTTTTCGGTAGATGTCGTGCGGACGTTCCTCTTTGCATCCATTTCTGTATTGGCGATCTTTAAAACAGGAGGAATACAGTTCGTTGGCGGGGACTGATGTAGCTCAGAAACGTTAGTTAAGATGAAACTACCCTCTCAGCGCTGAGCTGTTTACGCGTACTCACTATAGCTTAAAATATCACTTACACATTTGTAAGACAATACAGATTCAATTTCTTAAGAGGAGGTCTTTGACCGAATATTTTTTAAGAGCAGGGTGAGTCTAAAATATAAGTGAAAAGAAAGTGAATAATTAGATGGAGGAAGAAAAACGTCTGCATACTCATTGACAATACTCCCATCGTAGACGTCAGCTTTTCAGATTTCTCTGAGACAGGTTACCCCTTGAGGCTACGATGATTTATCATTAAGGATGCGAATAAGACTTAAATGAGGTTGAAAGCTCAACACTTGTTTTGGGGATGACCTTAAGCTTGAAGCTTCGCCCTAAAGTTATTCCCACGTTGGCTTTGTTCCGGGGAAAAACGATGCACGAAATTCAAAACGGGAGTCGCAAATTAAGGCTAAGTTGAAAACATTAACTAAGCCATCAAATTTGACTGAAGGTTTCAGAAATAACTTTACAGACTACTCTACACGAAGCGCTACAGCAAATGTTCTTTGAATGTTTTTCAAATGTATTTTGATACTTCTGGCTAGGCAGAAAAGCAAATACAGTGTTACCTTATACAACAAAACGGATATTTCCATGGAGGAATAAAACTATGATGATGGAAAACCTATATTTTCCGATGGAATCTTTTCGTGTGTATTAGTCACACACGTTGCACAAGTCATAATGTTTCGCCCGTGACAGGTGCAGTATTTTTAAGAGAAGTAAATATTCCAGCACTGAAATAAGTCGGCGTTAATCCAGCTGAATTCGTTGAGGTATTGAAACGTTTTATAGCTATCCGTGTTGCTCAGTAGTAAAACAAACACTTTCTTCTGTTGCAGATACAAGAAATCATGAAATCGGTTACCTTATTTTGTATCTGGTTGGTTAAATAAAAAAAAAAAGTATTCTGGATCACTTACAGCTTACATATGAAATTCGTTTAAGATCACCAGCAATTCTAGGCCGGCGATATTCAAAAAAGTTAACTGTAACTTTAACTGGACTAGACGTGAACTCTTCATGCAGATACTACCTTTGAGCTGCAATTCATCTGTTTAAGCGGAGAAGTCCAGTCACTGATGTTTGTAGAGGAACAAGATGTATCAAGCTTTTGTTAAAAGGAATAGATAGATTTTACTTTCGTATGCAATTTACCTCAATAAGAGATTTATTGGCAAATAAATGTCAAAATTAATCCAACGAGCGCTTTCTGTTGTAAAAATGGTAGACACAGTCTCTCTCTCATATCTACGATATGCCTAATTTCACCAGTATTAAATTGTAGCATTTCCTTTTTCCTTCGGATCGGATCCACGCATGCCCACCTGAAACTACTCTCTTACATTTTTTTCGAATTCAGGTTGCCCCACATGAGAGCTATAGATTCGTGTTAATAATCAGGGCCTGCCCGCAACCGTAGAAAAGATGCACACCTAATAAACGCGCGTATAAATTGAATTTTTTAGGTTGTAAGTTTTCTGCCTAGTCGATTCTGAAACTTTCTTCGGTTCTGAATCCACTAGGACCGTCTGGAGGCTCAGAAGAAAACCGGCGAAAAATACGTCCTCTGTTCTTATGTAAATTAGTGTGATTATCAACTAAACGTTGAGGAAGGTAAGTGTTGGTCTTGCGTCTCTTTCATTGGGCAAATAGTTGACTCTTGTCAGGTTTTCAAACTTTCATACGGCATCTTATTCACTATGACGTCATTTATCATCTAAGGGTAACGGAACGTGCACAATATGTCACGACATTTCATTCTAGAACAAGGCAAAAGCACAAGCGGAAAGCTGAGCAACACAAAGGTCACACTGAAATAATAGAAAATGGAATAATAGTGCAATTATAAATTTCTCCATCGATGGTTTGGCAAATAATACGAACTGATATTTTGCTCATCGCTCATATTTTCCCTCGCCCCTACGGGGTTCGGAAAAATACTGCGCAACACGCAAATATCACCGTGCAAGAAGTATTCAATTGGAATTAAACCATCCTTCTCGTGCGATTTCATTGTACCTCTAATAACAAAGTACACACAAACCTCGCCCCTTTTTACTTGTGGATATGAGAATTCGATGAGCAAATTTTTTAGCGTTAGCACGGCCAAAGGAGACTGAGGAGAGCATACATCTTATTTTGGTGCACTCTCCTACTACTATAAAATGATAGTATCCGTATGCATAATTAATCAGTTTTGTGTTTATCACGGCTTGATCTGTTCAAACTTAATCTTTGTGGCTATAAGCCACAGGCAACCCTGTCTCCATTATCTGTAAAAAGGAATTTGTTTCCTTCAAGTAGTTTCATAAAACACCTTAACCTCGTCAGGTCGATATAGGTTGCATACATCTTATTAAAGATCAATTTGGAGATAATGGCTTGATTCTGTATCTTAGAATCACAGAATAACTGACAGCTTAGTACAATCACTGCACATTTTTATAGCATTCTGCACAATTAATACCCGAGTTCACTATAGCGTTATTTTGATCAATTTGCGAACTCTCTCCAAAGACTAAAAATGACGATACCTGTATATATAATAGCACAGTTTAGTGCTACTACCTAAACTGATCTGTCCAAGCTTTATCTCAGTTTGTGGCCTTAGCCCACAGGCAACCCAGACAGAAACGTCTGCTTCGATTGTTGGTAAATAGGTGTAAACAGGAGTTTTGAATGTCATCGCTACTTCACTTCGTACTTTCATAAAACACTTCACCTTAGCCCACAGGCAACCCAGGCAGAAAAGTCTGCTTCGATTGTTGGTAAATAGGTGTAAACAGAAGTTTTGAATGTCATCGCTACTTCACTTCGTACTTTCATAAAACACTTCACCTTAGCCCACAGGCAACCCAGGCAGAAAAGTCTGCTTCGATTGTTGGTAAATAGGTGTAAACAGAAGTTTTGAATGTCATCGCTACTTCACTTCGTACTTTCATAAAACACTTCAACTTCATCGGGTTGAAATTTGTAACTTCCTGCTAGGAATGATTGGGTGAAGGAGCTGAGATAACTGTGGCCAGATGGTGGACTGTAGGTGTTTCCAAGGTGTGTGAAGGAATTTGTGTTGGATGAGGCGTAGTTGGTAATCAGAATATCCCTTCCTCCACCAAAGCTGGGTCCATATGATGGACAACTGTATATGGAATAGCGATCAGAACTATACTTTCCTGTTTGAGGCAGTTTCACTGGTGCCCAGCCTGGCTTGTTAACCAATGAAAACAAAAAGGCCTTTGAGCTGTACTGGGATCCACAATTGGAATCTAATAAGCAAAATGGTAAAAAAGAGTCACAAACTATTTCAGTAAACTGAGATGAAGGTGAATATTTGTAACACTTGGCTAGAAGAACATTTAAAACGATAGAGAAATGGCGTTTGCGAGCGTATTTTAGTTAACAACAACAATAAAACGAAAAGCTATTGAATAAATTTTCCACTCCCTTTTGAGTTAAACCTTTCTCTATGGTAGAAGAAGTTATTGCGTAAATACAGGGAACAGCTTTTCCTAATGGAGTATGATCTTGTGTCAAAATTTAATTCCAATCAGATAATCAGACAACAGAAACTTTATGTCAGAGTTTCTTTTCAGGTTCAAGTTATTTTAGAGGACAGACTTTAAGTCGCTTACATGAGTTCTTGAAAAGAATTAACCGCGTGTGGTTTCAAATGTTAAAAAGTGGACGCATGTTTCATTGAGTAAAAGAAATGAAGTGAAAGCATTTAATGATTCACTTACCCCATGATGTGCTGGTGTATCCACCAAAGATGTATTTTGCCACACGGATAATGGTCACTGTAGGCCCTTTGTTGTCACACTTTGAGTGGAAGGTAGCGCTGGCCCAACCATCCACTGATGCTCGCCAGCAGCGCTTCCAGTAAGAGGACTGGCTCTGCACAACAGATCCTAACCAAAAACTTAAAGTGCGCAGGTAATGAATATTGTTTGTAAGTATTACTGATTGCTCCAAACCTGAAAAAGAAAGATATTACAGCCTGTTTTAATCGCTCAATTTGGAAGCAAGCGAATTAGCACAAATAGCAGCATTAATAGCATTATCTATTTTTTTACTATATTCATTTATTTATTTATTTTTTTATTATTTTTTTTTTTTAAATCTTTATTAAGTCATAAGATAAATAATCACATATCCTATGTTACAACATTAAAAGAAGGTATATATATAAATTACAGAGAAAATCAAGATAAAAATTATAAGACTAGATTATGTTTAAAAATTAAGCGATTAACAAACGTGTTTTTGAACCTATCAGTGTTTATTTTAGGATGATGACTTGTCTCTTTCCTCAGATTGTACTTGGTTAATTTCTTTTTTGGCATTATAGCTCTTAAAGGGTGTATTGTATTATTAAAAACATTCTTGAAGATACGCGTGTCCTGTTGAACTAACAATTCATAAACATTAATGTGATCGGATGTATACTTGCGCTTATAACATCGATCTAAGAAACATTGGATTGTTGTTAATTCGGAATTTACAGCGCCAAATACGGACAACCCGTATAATATATTTGGTAGAACCAGATTTAGAAACAGATGGTCTATTTCGGCCTGATTGTACCCTTCTTTCCTTAAAGATCTTAAAATGAACAGGCACTTGTTTGCTTTAATTAGTTTTTCCCGAATATGTGTTATGAACCTACTGTCTTCCTGAAATGTTACCCCTAAAATAGTAAGCTCTTTTGTCTGTGGTATTCCAGACACCATCGGAAACTCTATTGTACAACCTTTCTTGCGGAAAATGATTTCCTTGCACTTAGATGGATTGCTACACATACCATTACTTCTAGACCACTGGGAAAACTGATTAATCAGTGCGATAGAATTGTCATTATCACCTATCACAGGCGAGATAATGGTTGTATCATCTGCATATTTTACCAGCACGCTCTTATTGTCCAAGTGTATCTCTAAATCACTGAGAAAGACATTGAACAAGTGCGGCCCGCTGACACTTCCTTGGGTGGTACCTTTGTTGACACTTTTCCATTTTCCAATAAACCCATTTCTAATGACTCTCTGCAGCCTGTCTTCCAAAAAAAAAAAAAAGCTTAGATACCAGTTAACTATAAAAGGATTTAGGGGAGTTGCTTCAATTTGTGTGAGAGGGAGATCGTGTTTCACACTATCAAAAGCCTTGCTGAAATCCATAGCGAATAGGCGTACCGCTTTTGCACTCTGGGATATCAAGATATTGATTGACAGTATGTTGGATAGTCAGTAGAGCATTGGTACAGCTCCCTCCTCTATGTATGCAAACTGTGAGATCCCAGAATGTTCATCGAAGGTCTCCCTTGCGTGTGTTCCTAAGACAGCTTTCTCAAAGCACCTTGCGATGACAGGTGTCACATTTATTCCGCGGAAGTCTGATATTCCCTTAGGTATATCAACCTTCGGCAAGGGGTACAGGTCTGACTTTTTCAAAGAGACAGGCCAGGCGTGTGTTCTAAGAGACAGATTCCAAATCCAGGTGATCACTGGAACGAATAGCTCGGCGTGGTCTTTCCATATAGTATACGGGATGCCATCTGGTCCGGTTGCTGTTTTCTTTATACGCATAAGAGAATTCAGGACTTGTCGCTCTGAGATTTCTGGGACTTCCTGATCTTCACTAATCTCCAGAGGTGTTGGCTTTCTGTAGGCGTGGTCAGTACATAGGTCACCAAAGTAGTCATTTAACGCGTTGAGTTCGTAGTGGCCAAGAGATAGAGAAATCACCGGCTTGCGGCGCTGAGATGTTTTATCCACTTTTTTCCACCAATCCCGAGTTCCAATAGAGGCGATAAAGTCCCTTCTGTTTCTGAAAATCACTTCAGAGATCCTTTTATTCATAACTTTAAGACGGTCTAGATTACTGAGTGATATGCGTGATTTGGCTCGTATCATCGATCGAACGAGCGGAGTCATCCAGCCCGGGTCTCTTGAAGACATGCGCACTGTTTTCAGAGGCATGCAGCTATCCAGGTGCCCTAGGATGGTATTTTCGAGCCTACCAACCACTTCATCGACATCAGTTTCCTGTATCATATCATCCCAGTTTTCCTTCGCCAACGCGATATACAGATCACGCTTTCTATGAGCCCTTTGGTCACGCACGTATACTTTACGGCGGATAGGTGGAAGCTTTATACCGGGTGGTAAAATAACTCCCATGTGATCCGTCTTGGAGAGCATGTGAAAGGGATAGCACTTTGAAAAGAGATCCGTGCGGTTCGTGAAACAGTTGTCCAAACAAGAATTCCCTCTGGTGGGGAAATTAACCAGAGCATTCCAACCAGACATTTCTTCGAAGCGTTTGATATCCAGTTTGTTGACATCGCCACCGCACAACACAACTGTTTGTGGATGTTTGTCTAGTATATTATCCACGGTATTTACAAGATGATTCATTAGATCGATCTCTGCATAATTAAATTTTGGGGGATGATAAATTCCACATATTACAAATCGATGTCCCTTGGGAAGTCGCAGAGTTATACAAATTAATTCATAAAGACTAGAGCGGTAAACATCCTCTACTGCAAGATTGTTCCTGATGTATATAGCAATCCCACCCTTATTGCGCATATCTCTGCCATTCCAATTTCTGTCTCTACGAAAGATGGAATAGTTCTCAATATTTACAATCGCATCCGGTTGTGCCGGTTTGAGGTGTGTTTCCGATACGACACAAACATCAATATCTTTAGATCGCAAGTCAGCCTCAAGTCCAACCGCCGCACGCACTTTGTTCTTAGTTTTTGCGAGACTGCAAATATTGATGAACATACACTTGGGAACGGCAAACTCCGAGCAATCGGTAGATGATTTAGTAGGCTCTCGAGGAATAGCTGTAAGATATCTGTTCTTAGCGGGATCTTGGAAGCGATAAGGTCTAGCAAACCGCCGGGTTTTAACAACTTCAATGGGTCGACATCTGTCGGAGTGTTGCGATGCAGAGATATTTTAGTAATTTTCCCCAATCTTCGTAATCCCGGGCCTCTGTATTTCAGAATTCCCAGGGATTTAAGGGTATCGAAAACATGAGGCGCAGGTCGGCCCGCCGAACGTCTCAGCGAAAGTAGCCTGTCACGATTGTGAGAGCAATGGATTCTGACTGACCCAATTGCAGGTTGACAAGCAGAGTCCGAGGAGTTGGAGCTCTGTTTTCGTTTACCGTGGTCATTATCCACTTCTTCAGGTCCAGGATGTGGATGGACATCCATATTAACAGTAATGTCGAGCACAACAAACTTCTCAGGGGCGGCCAGGAAGACCATGCCTCGACTGTCCCATTTCACCATAGCCCTTCTTACCCGGAGATTTCGAGACCGGGATACTCTCAGCTCAAATCTAGCCATCCAACTAATGCATCTTGATGTTAAAGATTGATTTCGATAAGCTCTTTCGACTGTTATCATAGTTATGAAGGTAAAAATATAGAAAACTGCAAGAGCTCTAAAGAGCGTGGCAGCCATATTGGCATGCATATATGAATCCTCCATACTTAGACTTGTTGGCCCAGTTCAGCTTTAAAACTTATTAAATAGGGCCTGTATAAACAATAACAAGGCCAGAGCACAACACCGGGAGATATGTTCGCTACTCTTTGCGAGAAGTGCGTGGGTTCTTTAACGTACCGTGCTAACTAGTAAAGAGAGATGTAAGATTTTATCGTCTTTATCCGAGAAGACAACGATGTTTAACTACTTGCAGATGTCAAGGTAGTGGCAGCATATTCGCCTCAGTTATTTTAAGATCCCGAGTGTGGAACCCTCGACCTTTTGCATGGCAGTCCGGCGCTCTACTCCATGAGCTAACCAAGTGCGGTTTTGGGATATTTTTTAAATGTTGGACCCATTTAATAAAGATATCGCGCTATTAAGACAAGTGACACTACCTTCCAGCTACATTTTTCAGAGCCTTGCAGCAAAAGTAATAAATAATACCTCTCAAAATTTCTGCAATCACCGTCGTTGATGTCTCTGCCAATCCGAAGCTGTTTTTAGCCCGGCAGATGAAATCTACGTCTTCTTTAACCATTTTAATTAGAAGACATCCATCTTCCTGAAAAACAGGAAATGAGACAGAAGACTTTTGGGCCTGGAACCATTCCACGTTTGGACGAGGAGAACCTGAGGCCTCGCAGCAGAGGGTTACATTAGATCCTAGCAATATATTGACTACTGTAGGGGGCCTGTTGGTAAATTTAGGTGGCTCTGAAGAAAGAAAAAAAACAATTTAACAGGCACAAAACAAGCTTGGTGAAGATCTTAAAAAGTTATATTCAGTTTATTTTTTTTTTTAGTTGTAGAAAAGTCTTGATTCATAGACCTGAATAACCATGATGATTATATTAGGAGCGTTACCTATTCTGTAACTGAATGCAAAAACTGAAAATCGCTCAAAATTGAAAAACCCTACCTTTCACATGCAATCTGCTTAATATTCGGAACATGCCCAAACTAGTGTGAGCTGTACACATGTACGACCCAGCGTGTGACCTTTGTACGCTGCTTACTCGAAGCGCACCATCTTCCACAGTAGCATTAGATAGAGTACCTCCAAGTTTACGCCACGTTATCTTGGACGACAGATGGCCTTGAACCCAACAGTAAAATATTACAGGCTCGTTCACAAAGACTTCCTGAGATACTGGATATACACTGATCTTCAGTGGAACAACACATTCTCCCTTTGGTCCCTGAATACCAACCAATCCTCTGCTGCCTTTGCTTCCTTTTAAGCCAATAGATCCTTGTTGTCCTTGACGACCCTTCGTTCCAGTCTCTCCTCTCATCCCGTGCGCTCCAACGGACCCTTTGTCGCCCTTGTCGCCTTTTACTCCTTGAGGTCCCACAGGTCCTCTTTTGCCACTCACGCCCAGAGCCCCGATTGGACCCGAAGGGCCTCGTGAGCCGGTTTTCCCCGTGGCTCCTTTTTCTCCTTTGTACCCTGGATAGCCGAGGGCACCTGGAGGACCTGGAGGTCCTGTCTGACAAATCTTGTTGTTAACACTGCAGGATTGATTGAGTTTGTTGTTAATTTCCTGGCGGACTTGCTGCAGAGTTATTGTTCCTGCAGCAACATTTCTTCTCTCTCTTTTATGATCACGGATAACTGATGACACACTTCTTACATTGCTTTCAAAACCTGCAGAAGTTACGATAACAAATATTCATTATGGGATCAATGGAATGCATTTGAAAGTGCGAAAGAATAAGCAATCGATGTTTGCGGTGATGAGGAAAAATGAGAAAATGAAGACAAAAGAGAAATACGCAAATGTTAAAACATTCATATGGTCATAAAACTGGCGCAAAAATAAATAACAAAAAAGGAACCTTTTACTTCTATAAATTTTATTCAAAAATAGCCCGAGGGCTGTCTGAAGTTACCTTTAGTCACGAGACTTTTCAGCTGAGAGTTTCAGGTAAGTTAATTGACCATCGGGCTATTTGCCAAAAAGTCCTATTCGCTAAATAAAGTTAACAGTTCTACTGTCGTCAAAATTTCGGTACCAAAAAATGGTGGTGATCAGACACGTTAGTCCAAGAGAATGAGAATGTATACTGTTGTGTTTCAGGAAGTTAAAACAATAGGAGTTATAACATCGGTTTGGTTCAACAAAATGTTACGTGATCCAATCTGCATTCTTCAGTGGTCTGATACACGAATGTATGTCACGCTACACTACCGTAATGTGAAAGCAGATGTTTTCGATAACCATACAGTTTCTTGAGTAAAGCAAAACAATAAAATGTTCAAAATGTTTAAAATAATTCAGATTTTAAGCGTCAGTTGAGTTTGACCTTTTCCAAAAATACCCTTGGCAGAAGGATAACAAATAAAATACAACTTAAGACAGATTTTCGTTCTGTATACTCGTATAGCGAGTATTCTGTTTATAGAATTGAGAGGCAAACTAACGATAAAATCATTTTGTGCTGTGATGCTGTATATTATAGTGTTGATTATTAAAAGCTAACATAACTGATGTAGCCCAATGACTCACCAAATATAACATCAGGCCTCTCCTTTCTCCTTGTTGTGGATGCAGTTTCATAAATTTGTAACCTCTTCTTCACTATCCTCTCTATGTTAGTTCTCAGGTCATCGTCAATCCGCTGAATTCGGTTTTCAAGCCTTGTTTCCAGCGCTTTCGAATTGTTGTACACAAACTCGATCCTCATAAACAACAATGTCACAAGAGTCAAAGAAGTCACTGAAATAGCCACGGAAATTCTGCTGATCTTTTCACTAGATTTCGAGCAGACGTTCCTCTTTGCATCCATTTCTGTATTGGCGATCTTTAAAACAGGAGGAATATAGTTCGTCAGCTGGGACTGATGTAGCTCCAAAACGCAAGTTAAGATGAAACTACCCTTTCAGCGGTGAGCTGTTTCAGTGTACCCCGTGACATCTTAAAATATCACTTACACAGTTGTCAGACAAAATAGATTAAATTTCTCAAGAGGAGGTCTTTGACCGAATTTTTTCAGGTGCAGGGATGAGTCCGAAATAGAAATGAAAGGAAAATGAATAATCAGATGGAGGAAGAAAAACGTCTGAATACTCATTGACAATACTCCCATCGTAGATGTCAGCTTTTCAAATTCCTCTGAGACAGATAACCCCTTGAGGCGACGATGATTTATCATTAACTCTTTAACTCCCAATATCTCGTTAGTAATTCTCCCTACTGTCTGCCATAAAATACTTAATTTGGAGAATTTGGTATTGGGGTTCAACTTGTAGTCCCCTGATTGAGTTTTTCTTTTTTCTCCTCACTTTTCTGCTTGATTCTGTGTTGATATTGTAACGAGAAATTCTGTCTTGGTCACTCTTTGGAGTTAAAGGATTTAGGGCGCGTAATAAGAATTAAATGATGTTAAAAGCTCAGCACTTGTCTTGAAATGAATGTAATTTCGTTAACAAAATATTTTGGGGATGACCTTAAGCTGGAAGTTTCGCTCTGAAGTTTTTTTCCTCGTTTGCTTTGTTCCGGAGAAAAAAGATGCACGAAATTCAAAAAAGGAATCGCAAATGAAGGCCAAGTTTAAAACATTCACAAGCCATCAACTTTGACTGAAGGTTTTAGAAATCACCTTACAGACTACTCTACACGAAGCGCTACAGCAAATATTCTTTGAATGTTTTTCAAATGTATTTTGATATTCCTGGGTAGGCAGCAAAGCAAATATAGTATTACCTTACACAGCAAAACAGATATGTCCATGGAAGAACAAGGCTATGATGAAGGCAGGTAAATGAATCATTCTTCCAGTCTGTTTCACAGAATGGCTTTGGCCAGTAAGATCATCATTAGACTAATAAAAAACTCCTGCAGTGCAGGAGTTTTTTATTAGTCTAGATTTGCCCCAGCTCGCGCAGAAGTATCAGGTTTACCAAAGGCGTACAGGAAGAAGGGTAGAATAGGAAAAAAAGATTTATTTCATTGAAAATAACTTTTAATAGATATACTTAGCAACATGATATTTTGGAGGGGTACAGGTGCAAACCTGTTTCTAGCGAAAAATGAAGCAGGCACGTTCACTTGCTCGGGTAAAATGCTGTTACTGGATTTAAAGAACCCAAAAGCTCCACTCTTTTCCTTTTCAATGTTTATTACAAAATTTTAATATCAGAGATAGACATTTTCCTATGGAAGTTGCTACGGAAAGTGTACATGTTGTACCTCAGGTTCAATTTTCTCACTCTCTTTGGAATTCACCTCTGGCCGCTCACAGCAAGGCGTGCTGAACTTTCAAGGCTCTTATAATAAATCCTATAGATATTTGATTTAAAGAGAAAAAGTAAGTTCAGAGGAGATTATAGTAGACATTTGAGAGACCATCAAAGGCGATAGAAGTTATTTATATAGAGGCCAAGAATAGATATGCTATCATCATAAAAATAAACAAACGTGAAACGAAACACTTTTGATCTCTGAGAGAAGTTTTCAGACTGTAGCAAGGGTTTGATCTTCAAAGATTGTTAAATTGTTCCACAAGGTTTTGTTGTTACGTGTGTAATGTAGTTTTTCACATAGTTTTTGTATGTGTTGGCCATACTCTTCCTCCGATATAAATATGCAATTTACCTTAATCCAGTTCCTTCTCATATTTAGCTGCGTAGTTATTCCAGGTGCTGGTACTCTCTTATTATTACAATACTAATTAGCAGAAAAATGGCTCTTGTAATTGGTCATTTTCAAAGCAATACATTGCTAATAATTAATAAAGAGCACAATAAAAATGGTTTTGTTGTTGATGTTATTTTTGTCAACTTTTATATTGGCTGGTGATATTTCAACACTATTGGGTTGTAGCAGTTAATAAAGTCTTGGTTGTAGCACGTGTACTCAGTACTTTGATCGATGCATAGAGCCTGCCTGCTAGCCTCGACTTGATGCACTCGACCCAGTTTCCTGACTCAAGTCCGTAACATTTCGAACGCGCGCTATTGGTGAATCACATCTGTTGTTAATTCATGAGTGGCAAGAAGAACAATATGCCAAAATGAATGTTTTCCTTTAAGGATACACTTTGGCCAAATATAAGTAATCCTGTTTCTCTTCGTAATTTTCCGTTTCTTCAGCTTTCTGTTATAACATTCTATATGTGTGCACGCCGTAAACGGTATATACAATGCGGCCCAAACCGTTGTTCCGATCTCTTGACAGTAGTTTTATAATTAACCAAATCCCTTTGTCATCTACCGAGTCATCTACCGAAATTATCTTGCTAAAAGAACAGCCCAACTTTTTGTTTATGTTCCATTGTAAAAGAAGTCTGTTAATGTGGTTAAGTATTTCAATTATTTGATTTAAATATCCAGATCTTTTTTAATGAGTGATATGTGATAGTGCCGAGTGTGTATCTCTGACGGAGGAAACATTTGAACAATATGTATTAAGTCCCGAAATCTGAGCCGCGTCGGGAAATCGAGGGCTTTAGATTTCGTAGCTTCGTGTATGAATCTTCACTATACAAATTGAAGCAAATAAAATAATTGTCAAATTTTCCTTTATTCCTCCCCCATGTATATCCAATATACACCGATGGATTCCGATGGAAAACGTGGTTTTCCGATGGAATAGGCAAAATTATATTCGTGACACCTTCCTATGGAAGTAAGATATCTTCGACAAAATGTTTTGGGGATGACCGTAAGCTAGAAAATTCCCTCAGAAGTTTTTCGCACGTTGTCTTTGTTCCGGCGAATAACGATGCACGAAGTTCAAAAAAGGAATTGCAAATGAAGGCTGATTTGAAAATATTAACTAAACCATCAAATTTGACTCACGTTTTTAGAAATAACCTTACAGACTACTCTACACGAAGCACTATCGCAAATGTTCTTTGAATGTTTTTCAAACATATTTTGATATTTCTGGTGGGCAGCACGGGGAATACAGTGTTAGGACTAAAACTATGATGAAGGCAGGTAAGTGAGTCATTCTTCTAGTCTATGTCTCACAGAATGGCTTTGGTCAGTAAGATCAGGTCCCTATATTAGAACTTAGAACAGTGTTTGGATTAGTTCAAATTCAACATCCAGCTCAAGCAAAGAATTTCACAAATAAAAACCTTAACGTGAACGTAGTTTGCAATGTGATATGTTAAAGTAGTACTTCCCCAGACCTGTTATTGACAAAAACTCAAATTGACGCCTTTGCCATTTAACGTATAATGTATAATGGATCTCAGCTAAACTACTCGTTTCAGTAGTGTTCTTAGCTGCGAGGATCTCCTAATTTCATCTTTCTACCGCAGTGCAAATATGTGAATTTTCATATATCTAAAATCTTTATTCACTTGGATGTTTATTTGGACCCAATTCATTGACCAGCTCCCAGTTGGCTTGTTAGCTCAATTGGTAGAGCGCTGCACCGGTATCGCAGAGGTCATGGGTTCAAATCCCGTACGGGCCTGAAATTTTTTTCAGGTCCTATTTACAACTACTCGTTTCAGTAGTGTTCTTAGCTGCGAGGATCTCCTAATTTCATCGGATCTCAGCATCTTATTCACTATGACGTCATTTACCATATAAGGGCAACGGAACATACAAAATATTTCCCGACATTACATTGTAGAACAAGGCAAAAGCACGGACTGAAAGCTGGGAAACACAAAGGTCACACCGAAATAATAGAAAATGGAATAATCGAGCAATAATAAATATCTCCATCGATGATTTGACAAATAATACGATCTGACGTTTTGCCCATTGCTCATATTTTCCCTCGCCCCTACAAGGCTCGAAAAATACTGCGCAACACGGTAATATCATCGTGCAAGATGACGCAAATCTCGCCCTTTTTAATAGAGGATATGAGAATTCGATGAGCAAATTTCATAGCGTTAGCACGGCCAAATGAGACTGAGGAGAGCTTACATATTATTTTCGTATTCTCCCCTACGAGTAAAAATGATGGTATCCGTATACATAATTGATACGTTTTCTGCTATTACCTAGCCTGATCTGTTCAAGTTTGATCTTTGTGGCCACAAGACACTGGAAACGCTGTCTCCATCGTCAGTAAAATAGGAATTTGTTTGCTTCATAAAACACGTCAACTTCATCAGGTCGAAATAAATGTTAAATAAAGCGGATCAATTTGGAGATAATTGCTTGATTCTGTATCTTGGAATCACAGAATAATTGACAGCTTAGTACAATCACTACCTATTCTTATAATATTCTTCACAGTTTATCCACGAGTTCACTTTGATCACGAGTTTACTTTGATCAATTTGCGAACTCTCTCCAAAGACTAAAAATGATGATACCTGTATATATAATAGCACAGTTTGGTGCTACTACCTAAACTGATCTGTCCAAGCTTTATCTCAGTTTGTGGCCTTAGCCCACAGGCAACCCAGGCAGAAAAGTCTGCTTCGATTGTTGGTAAATAGGTGTAAACAGGAGTTTTGAATGTCATCGCTACTTCACTTCGTACTTTCATAAAACACTTCACCTTAGCCCACAGGCAACCCAGACAGAAAAGTCTGCTTCGATTGTTGGTAAATAGGTGTAAACAGAAGTTTTGAATGTCATCGCTACTTCACTTCGTACTTTCATAAAACACTTCACCTTAGCCCACAGGCAACCCAGACAGAAAAGTCTGCTTCGATTGTTGGTAAATAGGTGTAAACAGAAGTTTTGAATGTCATCGCTACTTCACTTCGTACTTTCATAAAACACTTCAACTTCATCGGGTTGAAAATAGTAACTTCCTGCTAGGAATGATTTGGTGAAGGAGCTGCCAGGACTGTGGCCAGATGGTGGACTGTAGGTGTATCCAAGGTTTGTGTAGGACTTTGTGTTGGATGAGGCGTAGTTGGTAATGTGAATATCGTGTCCTCCACCAAATGTGGGTCCATCTCTTGAACAACTGCGTATGGAATAACGACCAGAACTATACTGTCCTGTTTGAGACAGTTTCACTGGTGCCCAGGCTGGCTTGTTAACCAATGAAAACAAAAAGGCCTTTGAGCTGTACAGATACCCACAATTGGAATCTAATAAGCAAAATGGAAAAAAAGAGTCACAAACTATTTCAGTAAACTGAGATGAAAGTGAATATTTGTAACACTTGGCCAGAAGAACATTTAAAATGATAGAGTAATGGCGTTTACGAGCGTATTTTAGTTAACAACAACAATAAAACGAAAAGCTATTGAATAAATTTTCCACTCCCTTTTGAGTTAAACCTTTCTCTATGGTAGAAGAAGTTATTGCGTAAATACCGGGAACAGCTTTTCCTAATGGTGTATGATCTTGTGTCAAAATTTAATTCCAATCAGATAATCAGACAACAGCAACTTTATGCCAGAGTTTCTTTTCAGGTTCAAGTTATTTTAGAGGACAGACTTTAAGTCGCTTACATGAGTTCTTGAAAAGAATTAACCGCGTGTGGTTTCAAATGTTAAAAAGTGGACGCATGTTTCGTTGAGTAAAAAAAATGAAGTGAAAGCATTTAATGATTCACTTACCCCATGATGTGCTGGTGTATCCACCGAAGATGTATTTTCCCACGCGGATAATGGTCGCTGTAGGCCCTTTGTTGTCACACTTTGAGTGGAAGGTAGTGCTGGCCCAACCATCCACTGATGCTCGCCAGCAGCGCTTCCAGTAAGAGGACTGGCTCTGCACAACAGATCCTAACCAAAAACTTAAAGTGCGCAGGTAATGAATATTGTTTGTAAGTATTACTGATTGCTCCAAACCTGAAAAAGAAAGATATTACAGCCTGTTTTAATCGCTCAATTTGGAAGGGAGCGAATTACCACAAATAGCAGCATTAATAGCATTATCTATTTTTTTACTATATTCATTTATTTATTTGCGATACTTAGACTTGTTGGCCCAGTTCAGCTTTAAAGCTTATTTAATAGGGCCTGTCTAAACAATAACAAGACCAGAACATAACACCGGGAGATATGTTCGCTACTCTTTGCGAGAAGTGCGTGGGTTCTTTAACGTACCCTGCTAACTAGTAAAGAGAGATGTAAGATTTTATCGTCTTTATCCGAGAAGACAACGATGTTTAACTACTTGCAGATGTCAAGGTAGTGGCAGCATATTCGCCTCAGTTATTTTAAGATCCCGAGTGTGGAACCCTCGACCTTTCGCATGGCAGTCCGGCGCTCTACACCATGAGCTAACCAAGTACCAAACAAGTGTGTTTGGGATATTTTTTAAATGTTGGACCCATTTAATAAAGATATCGCGCTATTAAGACAAGTGACACTACCTTCCAGCTACATATTTTCAAAGCCTTGCAGCAAAAGTAATAAATAATACCTCTTAATATTTCTGCAATCACCGTCGTTGATGTCTCTGCCAATCCGAAGCTGTTTTTAGCCCGGCAGATGAAATCTACGTCTTCTTTAACCATTTTAATTAGAAGACATCCATCTTCCTGAAAAACAGGAAGTGAGACAGAAGACTTTTGGGCCTGGAACCATTCCACGTTTGGACGAGGAGAACCTGAGGCCTTGCAGCAGAGGGTTACATTAGATCCTAGCAATATATTTACTACTGTAGGGGGTTTGTTGGTAAATTTAGGTGGCTCTGAAGAAAGAAAAAAACCAATTTAACAGGCACAAAACAAGCTTGGTGAAGATCTTAAAAAGTTATATTCAGTTTATATTTTCTTGGTTGTAGAAAAGTCTTGATTCATAGACCTGAATAACCCTGATGATTATATTAGAAGCGTTACCTATTCTGTAACTGAATGCAAAAGCTGAAAATCGCTCAAAATTGAAAGACCCTACCTTTCACATGCAATCTGCTTAATATTCGGAACATTCCCAAACCAGTGTGAGCTGTACACATGTACGACCCAGCGTGTGACCTTTGTACGCTGCTTATTCGAAGCGCACCATCTTCCACAGTAGCATTAGATAGAGTACCTCCAAGTTTACGCCACGTTATCTTGGACGACAGATGGCCTTGAACCCAACAGTAAAATATTACAGGCTCGTTCACAAAGACTTCCTGAGATACTGGATATACACTGATCTTCAGTGGAACAACACATTCTCCCTTTGGTCCCTGAATACCAACCAATCCTCTGCTGCCTTTGCTTTCTTTTAAGCCAATAGATCCTTGTTGTCCTTGACGACCCTTCGTTCCAGTCTCTCCTCTCATCCCGTGCGCTCCAACGGACCCTTTGTCGCCCTTGTCGCCTTTTACTCCTTGAGGTCCCACAGGTCCTCTTTTGCCACTCACGCCTGGAGCCCCGATTGGACCCGAAGGGCCTCGTGAGCCGGTTTTCCCCGTGGCTCCTTGGCACCTGGAGGACCTGGCACCTGGAGGACCTGGAGGTCCTGTCTGACAAATCTTGTTGTTAACACTGCAGGATTGATTGAGTTTGTTGTTAATTTCCTGGCGGACTTGCTGCAGAGTTATTGTTCCTGCAGCAACATTTCTTCTCTCTCTTTTATGATCACGGATAACTGATGACACACTTCTTACATTGCTTTCAAAACCTGCAGAAGTTACGATAACAAATATTCATTATGGGATCAATGAAATGCATTTTAAAGTGCGAAAGAATAAGCAAAATTGATGTAGTCGTTTATCAATCGATGTTTGCGGTGATGAGGAAAAATGAGAAAATGAAGACAAAAGAGAAATACGCAAATGTTAAAACATTCATATGCTCATAAAACTGGCGCAAAAATAAATAACAAAAAAAAAAGGAACCTTTTACTTCTATAAATTTTGTTCAAAAATAGCCCGAGGGCTGTCTGAAGCTGCCTTTAGTCACGAGACTTTTCAGCTGAGAGTTTCAGGTAAGTTAATTGACCATCGGGCTATTTGCCAAAAAGTCCTATTCGCTAAATAAAGTTAACAGTTCTACTGTCGTCAAAATTTCGGTACCAAAAAATGGTGGTGATCAGACACGTTAGTCCAAGAGAATGAGAATGTATACTGTTGTGTTTCAGGAAGTTAAAACAATAGGAGTTATAACTTCGGTTTGGTTCAACAAAATGTTACGTGATCCAATCTGCATTCTTCAGTGGTCTGATACACGAATATATGTCCCGCTACACTACCGTAATGTGAAAGCAGATGTTTTCGATAACCATACAGTAACTCGATCCTCATAAACAACAATGTTACAAGAGTCAAAGAAGTCACTGAAATAGCCACGGAAATTCTGCTGATCTTTTCAGTAGATTTCGAGCAGACGTTCCTCTTTGCATCCATTTCTGTATTGGCGATCTTTAATACAGGAGGAATATAGTTCGTTAGCTGGGACTGATGACCATCAAAGGTCATAGAAGTTATTTATATAGAAGCCAAGAATAGATATGCTATCATCATAAAAATAAACAAACGTGAAACGAAATACTTTTGATCTCTGAGAGAAGTGTTCAGAGTGTAGCAAGGGTTTGATCTTCAAAGATTGTTAAATTGTACCACAATTCTTTGTTGTTTCGTGTGTAATGTAGTTTTTCACATAGTTTTTGTATGTGTTGGCCATACTCTTCCTCTGCTATAAATATGCAATTTACCTTAATCCAGTTCCTTCTCATATTTAGCTGCGTAGTTATTCCAGGAGCTGGTACCCTCTTATTATTACAATACTAATTAGCAGAAAAATGGCTCCTGTAATTAGTCATTTTCTATGCAATACATTGCTTATACTTTATAAAGAGCACAATAAAAATGGTTTTGTTGTTGATGTCGTTGTTGTCAACTTTTATATTGGCTGGTCATATTTCAACACTATTGGGTTGTAGCAGTTTATAAAGTCTTGGTTGTCGCACTTGTACTCAGTACTTTGATCAAGGAACTAATCGATGCATAAAGCCTACCTGCTAGCCTCGACTTGATGCGCTCAACCCAGTTTCCTCACTAACATTTCGAACGCGCGCTATTGGTGAACACATCTGTTGTTAATTCATGAGTGGCAAGAAGAACAATATGCCAAAATGAATGTTTTCCTTTAAGGAGACAATTTGCCAAATATAAGTAATCGTGTTTCTCTTCGTAGTTTTCTGTTTCTTCAGCTTTCTGTAATAACATTCTATGTGTGCACGCCGTAAACGGTAAAAATGTGGCCCAAACAGTTATTCCGACCACCTGACAGTAGTTTCCTAGTAAGCCAAATCCCTTTGTCATCTACCGAGTCAAACAACTTACTCTCCAGTTCCCGGAGAAAAGGGAATAAATGGATGTTTAATAACCTATAAAAAAATTATCACAATTTCAAACAGAACTTTCCATTTGAGTCCGTTGCAACTTGCCCGACGAAATTATCTTGCTAAAAGAACAGCCCAATTTTTGATTATGTTTCATTGTTAAAGAAGTCTGTTCATGTGGTTGAGTATTTCAATTATTTGATTTAAATATCCAGATCTTTTTTAATGACTGATATTTGATAGTGCCGAGTGTGTATGGGAGGAAACCTTTGAACAATTTGTATTAAGTCCCGAAATCTGAGCCGCGTCGGGAAATCGAGTGCTTTAGATTTCGTAGCTTCGTGTATGAATCTTCACTATACAAATTGAAGCAAATCAAATGATTGTCAAAATTTCCTTTATTCCTCCCTCCATGTATATCCAATACATACTAATGGATTCCGATGGAAAACTTGGTTTTCCGATGGAATAGGCAAAATTCTATTCGTGACACCCTCCTATGGAAGTTAGATAACCGGAAGTCACGACGAGAAAGAGTACCGGAAGTCAAATATTGGGGAGGGCAGAAATGTTGTCCTATGGACTCCATCGATATCCATTCGTCGGATGGAATCCAATGGAGTCCATCCATGTCCATCGGAATAACTAGAAGTGTAGTGGTGAACCTAAACTCAGACAACGAACTGACATTTCGCCCATTGCTCATGCTTTCCCTCTCCTACCGAGCTCGGAAAAATACTTCTCAACTCGCAAATATTATCGTGCAAGAAAAATTCAATTAAAATTAAATGTCCTTTTCGAGCGATTTTATAGTACTTTTAATAACAAAGTTCACACAAACCTGGCCCTTTTCTAATTGTGGATATGAGAATCTCAGGAGATTCGATATGCAAATTTCGTGGCGTTGGCACGGTCAGAGGAGTCTGGGGGGAACATACATCTTATTTTTGTACCCTCTCATACGACTAAAAATGCTAATACCCGGTATACATAATTGAACAGTTTAGTGTTGTTACCTAACCAAATCTGTTCAAGCTTTATCTTGTAACCATGAGCCACAGGCAACCCTGTCTCGATTTTCAGTAAATAGGAATTCGTTTGCCTCAAGTAGTTTCATAAAACACTTCAACTTCATCAGGTCGAAATACGTTGCATATATCTTCTTAAAGATGGCGGACCGATTGTTATACAAAGCGGATCAATTTGGTGATAATGGCTTGATTCTGTGTCTTGGAATCACAGAATAATTGACAGTTTGGAACAATCACTGCATATTCCTATAATATTCTGCACAGTTTATCCACGACTTCACCATAGCGTTACTTTGATAAATTTGCGCACTCTCTCCAACGACTAAATATGATGATACCTTTTAACATAATAGGACAGTTCAGCACTACTACCTCAACTAGTCTGTTCAAACTTTATCTTAGTTTGTGGCCTTAACTCACAGGCCACCCAGACAAAAACGTCTGTCTCGATTGTTAGTAAATAGGTGTAAATAGGAGTTTTGAATATCATCGTTACTTCAGCTCGTTTATTTCAAGTACTTTCATAAAACACTTCAACTTCATCGGGTTTAAAATTTCGACTCCCTGCCAGGAATGAGTGGGTGCTGGAGTCGAGATAAGGGAAGCCGAATGGTGGCCTGTAGGTGTATCCAAGGTTTGAGTCAGAATTTGAGTTGGATGAGGCGAAACTGGCAATTCTAATATCGTATCCTCCACCAAATGTGGGTCCATAGCTTGAACAACCTTTTATGGAACGGCGAGTATAACTATACTTTCCTGTTTGAGACAGTTTCATTGGTGCCAAGCCTGGCTTGTTAACAAATGAGAACAAAAAGGCCTTTGAGCTGTACTGGGATTCACAATTGGAAACTAATAAAGAAAACGGTAAAAAAGAGTCACAAACTATTTCAGGAAACTGAGATGAAGGTGAATATTTGTAACACTTGGCCAGAGTTAAATTTAAAACGGTCGAGAAATTGCGTTTACCAATTAATAACAACAATAAAAGGAAAAGTTATTGAATGAATTATCCACCACTCGTTTGACTTCAACCTTTCTCTATGGTAAAATAAATTATGACGTAAATTCAGGGAAGAGCTTTTCCTAATCGAGCATGATCTTGTGTCAAAATTTAATTCCAATCAGATAATCGGACAGCAGAAACTTTATGCCAGCGTTTCTTTCAGGTTCAAGTTATTTTAGAGGACAGACTTAAAGTCGCTTACATCAGTTCTGGAAAACAAGTAACTGCGTGTAGTTTCAAATGTAGAAGGTGGACGCATGTTTCAATGAAGTGAAAAAATAAAGTGAAAGTATTCAACTGAATGATTTACTTACCCCATGACGTGCTGGTGTATCCACCAAAGATGTATTTTCCCACACGGATAATGGTCACTGTGGGCCCTTTGTTGTCACAATTTGAGTGTAGGTAGTGCTGGCCCAACCATCCACGGATGCTCGCCAGCAGCGCTTCCAGTACGAGGACTGGCTCTGCACAACAGGGTTTAATCAAATTTTCAAATTGCGCAGGTAATGAACATTATATGCCAGTGTTACTGATTGCTTCAAATCTGAAAAATAAAGATACCTCAGCCTGTTTTAACTGCTCAATTAAAAAGGGATCAATTTCGGTTTTGGTCCCCGAACACAATTTAATCCCAAATGAGAATGAACTAGTAGCAACAGCAGCAAATGTTTTTGTATCTTTTTACTGTAAAATTTAATTTATTCATAAACAACAGGTAGACTTGTTGGCCCATTTCAGCTTTGAGTTTGTTTAATAGGGCTGGTATAAATAATAACAAGGCCAGAGCACAACACTGGGAGATATGTTCGCTACTCTTTGCGAGAAGTGCGTGAGTTCGTTAAAGTCCCCTGCTAACCAGTACAGAGAGACGTAGGATTTTATCGTCTTTATCCGAGAAGACTACAATGTTTAACTACTTGCAGATGTTAAGGTAGTGGCAGCACATTCACTTCAGTTATTTTAAGATCCTGAGTGTGGAACCCTCGACCTTTCGCATGGCAGTTCGGTGCTCTACACCTTGAGCTAACCAAGGGCGGTTTTGGGATATTTTTTAAATGCTGGACCCATTTAACAAACATATCGCGCTATTAAGACAAGGGACACTACCTTCCAACTACATATTTTCAAAGCCTCGCAGCAAAAGTAATAAATAATACCTCCTAATACTTCTGCTATCACCGTCGTTGTTGTCTCTGCCAATCCGAAGCTGTTTTTAGCCCGGCAGATGAAATCTACGTCTTCTTTAACCATCTTAATTTGAAGACATCCATCTTCCTGAAAAACAGGAAATGAGACAGAAGACTTTTGTGCCTGGAACCATTCTACGTTTGGACGAGGAGAACCTGAGGCCTCGCAGTAGAGGGTCACATTAGTTCCTGGAATTGCACCGACCACTGTAGGAGGCCTGTTGGTAAATTTAGGTGGCTCTGAAGAAAGAAAAAAACCAATTTAACAGGCACAAAACAAGCTTGGTGAAGGTCTTAAAAAGTTATATTCAGTTTATATTTTCTTGGTTGTAGAAAAGTCTTAATTCATAGACCTGAATAACCATGATGATTATATTAGGGGCATTACCTACTTTGTAAGTGAATGCAAAGCTGAAAATCGCTCAAAAGTGAAAGACCCTACCTTTTACATGCAATCTGCTTAATATTCGTAACATTCCCAAACCAGTGTGAGCTGTACACGTGTACAACCCAGCATGTGAACTTTGTACGCTGCTTATTCGAAGCGTACCATCTTCCGCAGTAGCATTAGATAGAGTACCTCCAAGTTTACGCCACGTTATCTTGGACGACAGATGGCCTTAAACCCAGCAGCAAAATATTACAGGCTCCTCCACAAATACTTCCTGAGATACTGGATACACACTGATCTTCAGTGGAACCACACATTCTCCGTTTGGTCCCTGAATACCAACCAATCCTCTGCTGCCTTTGCTTCCTTTTAAGCCAATAGATCCTTGTTGTCCTTGACGACCCTTCGTTCCAGTCTCTCTTTTAATCCCAGGCGCTCCAACGGACCCTTTGTCGCCCTTGTCGCCTTTTACTCCCTGAGGTTCCACAGCTCCTCTTTTGCCACTGGTGCCTGGAGCCCCGATAGCACCCGAGGGGCCTCTTAAGCCGGTTTTCCCTGTCGCTCCTTTTTCTCCTTTGTACCCTGGATAGCCGAGGGCACCTGGAGGACCTGGAGGTCCTGTCTGACAAATCTTGTTGTTGACACTGCAGGATTGATTGAGTTTGTTGTTGATTTCTTGGCGGACTTGCTGTAAAGTTATTGTTCCTGCAGCAACATTTCTTCTCTCTCTTTGATGATCACGGTTAACTGATGACACACTTCCTACTTTGCTTTCAAAACCCGCACAAGTTACGATGACAAATATTTCTCAGGAGATCAATGAAATAATGCATTTTAAAGTGCGAAAGAATAATCTTAATTGATGTAGTCGTTTATCAATCGATGTTTGCGGTAAAGAGACAGGAAAGGTAAAATAAAAACAAAAGAGGAATATGCAATTGTTAAAACATTAATATTCTCACAAAATCGGCGCAAAAATGAATATATGAACATGAAATGGAGTCAGAGTTAAAGAACAAAAAACAATTCATAAAAGGAACCCTTTACTTCTATAAATTTTGTTGAATAGCCCGAGGACCGTCCGAAGCTGCATTTAGTCCTGAGAATTTTCAGCTGCGAGATTTCAAGTAAGCTCATTGAGCATCGTACTCAAAGTCCTGTTCTTTCAGTGCTAAAAATTGGCGGTAATCAAACACATTAGTCTGAGAGAATGAGGATATATACTGCCGTGTTTCAAGAAGTTAAAACAGTAGGAGTCATAACTTCGATTTGGTTCAACAAAATGTTACCTGATCCAATTTGCATTTTTTGGTGGCCTGACGCACGAATGCATGTCACCTTACATTACTGTATTATGTGAAAGCAGATGTTTTCGATAACCATACAGTTTCTTGAGTAAAGCAAATCAATAAGAACGCTCACTAGTTGATTACCTTACGCGTGTTCTTTCGCATGAAGCTTGTGAAAAAAGAAAATAATTCAGACTTTAAACGTCAGTTGAGTTTGACCTTTCCAAAAATACCCGTAGTAGAAGGATAACATACAAATAAAATACAACTTAAGATATATTTTAGCTCTGTCTTATTTCACAATAAACGGCAGTAGAACTATAGCGAGTATTCTGTTAATAGAATTAAGCGGCAAACTAACGAGAAATCATTTTGTGCTGTGATGCAGTTTGTGTTGGTTATTAATGTTACAAAATGTTAAAAGCTACCAGAACTGATGTACGTGTAACCAATGACTTACCAAAGATAACATCAGGCTTTTCCTTTCTCCTTGTTGTGGATGCAGTTTCATAAATTTGTAAACTCTTCTTAACTATTCTCTCTATATTTGTTTTCAGGTCATCGTCAATCCGCTGAATTCGGTTTTCAAGCCTTATTTCCAGCGCTTTCGAATTGTTATACACAAACTCGATCCTCATAAACAGCAATGTCACAAGAGTTAAAGAAGTCACTGAAATAGTCACGGAAATTATCCTGATCTTTTCACTAGATTTCGTGCAGATATTCCTCTTTGCATCCATTTCTGTATTGACGATCTTTAAAACAGGAGGAACATGGTGCGTTCGTAAGGACTAATATGGCTCAAAAACGCAATTTAAGATGAAACTTCCCTCTCAGCGCTGAGCTGTTTAAGTGTACTCCCAATAGCTTAAAATATCACTTACGCCGTTGTCAGACAATACAGATTAAATTTCTTGAGAGGAGGTCTTTGACCGAAGTTTTTTTTTTAGTGCAGGGGTGAGTATGAAATAGAAGTGAAAAGAAAATGAATAATCAGTTGGAGGAGAAAACGTCTGAATACTCATTGACAATACTCCCATCGTAGATGTCAGCTTTTCAAATTTCTCTGACACAGATAACCCCTTGAAGCTACGCTGATTTATTATTAAGGCTGCTTAAGAATACTTAAATGAGGTTAAAAGCTCAACACTTGTATCGGAATGAAAATAATTTCTTCGACAAAATGTTTTGGGGATGACCGTAAGCTTGAAACTTCCCTCTGAAGTTTTTCGCACGTTGTCTTTGTTCCGGAGAAAAACGATGCACGAAATTCAAAAAAGGAATCGCAAATGAAGCTAAGTTGAAAACATTAACTAATCCACAATCCCTGTTAGAATGGTTCAAACAATCTGATTGGCTGTACAAGACTAAAGCTGTCAAAAGTGTCAAACCATCAAAGTTCAAAAACCATCAAAGTTCACCTTCTGCGATTGTTTACAAACTAAAATAGTTCGGTAGGTCGAATTTAACACTTTTGCCTGATTTTTTTTAAGTCTCTAATACAGAATCTTGAAGTGAAATGTTCGGTGAACCTCAGCCGAATTATGGCTCATAAAAACACGCGAGTTTTTTCACATGACAAGGTAGAAAATAAACTGTCCAAGGCGAGTGTTTTTTGAATGAACGACAGCCGAATTCACCGGAACATGAAGATCGCTCGAGATGACAGCGCCGCAAAACTCGGCTCGCTCTGACACCGTCATGATTGGTATGAATTTTAACAGTTATGCCAGTTTGGTTATATTTTGGTCATCATTTCTGTTTTGTTCTGTTTTGTTTTGAACACTGAACTTTGTATACTATACGAGTGTTGGCTGTGTTTGATTTTTATTACCGTACGTAAGCTGGCAATCTAACTGAGCGTGAAAATCTTTAAAACTCGGAATGTCTATTTGTTTTTTCCTTTGAGGATTTTCGTATCTGCTTACGTTTTAATAACGTAAATTACGGCGCCTGGTATGTTTACAAACCTTTGTTTGGTTCTTCTGTTGTTACTTGCCGGCTCGCTTGTTTCGAAATTTCACTTTCAATTATCGAAAAAAAGCTAAAAAAGATTTCCCGGAAAAAGGTCGAACATGGTACAATTTGGCAGATGGCGTGATAGCTTTAGCTCGGCTCTATGCTCTATACTCTCATAGAGCACGCTCTTTCAACCAATGACAGCGTGCGTTATATCCGAACTTTATTATAATAGAACTTAGAGGGGCGTTTGAATTGGTTCAATTTGACATCCAACTCAAGCAAAGTATTTCACAAATTAAAACCTTGACGTGAACATAGTTTGCTATGTGATATGTTGAAGCAGTACTTGCCCAGACCTGTTATTGACAAAAACTCAAATTGACGCCTTTGCCATTTACCTAGCTGCATGATGCACATTAATGGCAAGATTCGTAGAATCGAATAATGTGAGGAGCACTCAGCTAATTTCTTGTACTGAGATTGTACTGGGAAATAAATGTTTTTTTTTTTTTCAGAGGGCACGGTGACGAATCCTTCAATCTGAGTGACTCTTGCACGATAACGCTTTCGTATGATACAAAATGTAATAATAATTTTCTCATTCGATGGTTGCACAAATAATACGAATTGACATTTTGCCTATTGCTCATGTTTTCCCTCGTCCCTGTGAGGCTCAGAAAAATACTGCGCTACTGGGAAATATATAATCTTGCAAGAAACATTCAATTGGAGTTAACTATCCATTTTACCCCTTATAACAAAGTACACACAAACCTAGCCCTTTTTTTTACTTGTGGATATGAGAATCTCGGTATATTCGATATGCAAATTTCTGGCGTTACCACGGCCGAAAGAGTCTGAGGAGAGCATATGTCTTATTTTCGTACTCTCACTTACGACTAAAAATGATGTTCAAGCTTTATCTTTGTGACCATAAGGCACAGGCAACCCTGTCTCTATTGTCAGTAAATAGGAATTCGTTTGCTTCAAGTAGTTTCATAAAACACTTCAACTTCATCAGGTCGAAATAGGTTGCATACACTTTATCAAAGATGGCGGACCAATTGTCAGATGAAGCGGATCAATTTGGAGATAATGGCTTAGGGGTTAGTAGTTAATCTGTATCTTGAAACTACATAATAACTGAAAGCTTAGTACAATCGCTACATATTCTTATAATATTTTGCAGAGTTTATCCCCGAGTTCACCATAGCGTCACTTTGATCAATTTGCGCACTCTCATCAATGACTCAAAAGGATAATACTTGTTTACCACAGGCAACCCTGTCTCCATTGTCAGTAAATAGGAATTCGTTTGCTTCAAGTAGTTTCGTAAAACACCTCAACTTCATCAGGTCGAAATAGGTTACATACTTTCTACCAGAATTAACCATGACCTTGCTGTAGTTGTTAATGGAAAACAACTTGAGAATGTTCGTTGTGCAAAGCTTTTGGGACTAGAAATCGACCACGAACTAACATTTATCCCTCATGTGGAGAAATTGAGTAAAAAGCTCTAGCAGCGGATAGGCATTTGAAAGAGAATTAAATATTGTCTACCTCTAAAACATCGACTTATTTTTTATAACACCATGATAAGACCGGTAATAAACTAAAACTGGATACCATTTTTTTCGAACAGGCTAAACTAACTAAATGCTGTATTATATACAAGCGTTTACAGGGGTATGTACCAACCTATCTTAAAAGTTTACTAAAGCTTACTAGCGACACTCATTCACGGCAGACTAGGTATGCCAACTTCAATATTGCTCGCCCTGTTATCAAACGTAAACCTGAAGGAGGAAGAACATTGACTGTGACTGCCTGTCAAACCTGGAACAGCTTACCGCTATCTATGCGGAAAATAGCGTCGCTTAATTCTTTTAGGAACTCTCTTTGGAAAATTTTTTTTGAAGAACAGCAGCTTTTAAATCATTTTATTCTGTGATTTAGTTATACTTTTGTACTTTTAATTGATTTTATCTCTTATCTCTTGTATTTTTATTCGTTATATTATCTCATAGTTATGCCATAGTTTTTAACATCCGTATCGTACATAATTTTAGAGGGCCACTGGTTTGTTAGTATTTCTATATTATTTTAGTGCTACCCTCTCTAAGTAAAGTCTTTACTTACTTACTTACATACATCTTATTAAAGATGGCGGACCGATTGTTGGATAAGGCGGATCAATTTGGAGATAATGGCTTGATTCTGTATCTTGGAATCACCGACTAATTGACAGTTTAGTACAGTCACTGCATATTCTTATAATATTCTGCACAGTTTATCCACGAGTTCACCATAGCGTCACTTTGATCAATTTGCGCACTCTCTCCAACGACTCAAATGATGATTCTTGTTTACATAGTAGAACAGTTTTGTGCTACTACCTAAAGTGATCTGTCCAAGCTTTATCTCAGTTTGGGGCCTTAACCCACAGGCAACCCAGACAGAAAAGTCTGTCTCTATTGATAGTAAATAGGTCGAAATAGGATGAATATCATCGTTACTTCAGTTCATTTCTTTCTAGTAGCTTACATAGAATACTTCAACTTCATCGGGTTGAAAGTTTTTACTTCCTGCCAGGAATGATTTGGTGAAGGAGCTGCCATAACTGTGGCCAGATGGTGCACTGTAGGTGTGTCCAAGGTTTGAAGAAGAAATTGTGTTGGATGACGCGTAGCCGACAATGTGGATATCGGTTCCTCCGCCAAATGAAGGTCCACTGCTTGAACAATCGTATATGGAATAGCCTTCAGAGCTATACCGTCCTGTTTGAGACAGTTTAACTGGTCTCCAGCCTGGCTTGTTTGCCAATGAGAACAAAAAGGCGCTCGAGGAGTGCCTATATCTACAACCTGAAACTAATTTATAATGGTAATAAGACAGAGTGGAGTCCAATTCTATCTGTAATCATACGAGTGATTAACAAAATTGACTTGTTAATAACGAGTGTGATTACAGACAGAATTGGACGACAAGAGGTTCTGGTACCAATTAATCATAACCATTTTAATTTCCAAAAAGAAATATACCTATCATATCTTCCGGTGTTTATAACAGAAATCAGCTCACTTATGTAGGCCACTTATGTTAAGACGTTTCTAACGGCCCGCATACACATTACTTTGACACACGACCTTTGAAAACCAGCTTTGTAACCCTGCCTCTCTTTTAAACGAAGCCTCGCTGGGGTCCACGCCGTCCCTTGGCACCCGTGGTTCTAACACAGTTTGTTCATGCCAAGTGACGGTGTGGTCCTCAGCGAGGCTCAGTTTAAAAGGAGGCAGGGTTACAAAGCTGGTTTTCAACGGTCGTGTGTCAAGGTGAATGTGTACGCGGGCCGTTGGAAACGTCCAAACTGGAAACTTTTGAAGCAAACTGCGGCTTAGCGTCGGCTTCACGGGAAAGATTGATCTTGTAGCGAATTGAAATGAAACTAAAGTATATGTACTTGAATTCTGCGTTGGATTTGTGGCCGCCCGGCCATTTTGATTTTTCGCTTCTCGGATCGGGTGTTCGGAAATGGATTGTGCAGCCTTGGGCTTTTCCCATGTGCGTAAAAAACCTTGAAATTGATAACTCGCTAAAATGAGTTCCTTTCAACGCAGTAAGCGGTCAGATAACAAGCGACGCACTACGGAAGTATTTTTGAAGGTGAAGTATTTTTTGTGAGAATTTGACTAATTTTTTTTATTCCCTATAGCGGTCGTAAATATTCCCATACAAACTATTAAAATTTCGCCATGACTGTTATTTCGTATGATCATCTTACAGCTGGAGCTTGGGTCGCCAGTGCTCAGAGACGCTATCCTAGGCGTCTAACACACAAGGTTATTTCTTACGTCTAAAGTGTCACATTCTAAATTTGAATACGATGTAAGTTTTCGGTTTCATTGTCAATCATTCACTTACTCCATGATGTGCTGGTGTATCCACCAAAGATGTATTTTCCCACACGGATTATAGTTACTGTCGGCCCTTTGTTATTGCACAATGAGTGGAAGGTAGTACTGGTCCAACCATCTACTGATGCTCGCCAACATCTTTTCCAGTCAATAGATTTGGTTACGATAACAGGCGTTAGCCACTTGCTTAATGTGTTCAGGTAATTGGTATCATTAGCAAGTATTACTGAGCGTTCCAAACCTTCCCAAAACACAAATGTAGCAAGATCTGAATTAGGTCGATCAAAGGGACTTACTGAACAATCATCCATTAAGATATTGGTGGTGTATCGCTGAATTGTTCAAGAGCTCTTTTTTACAGTATCTGACGTTCTTGCAAGAACTTGATAGGTTTGTCTCTCGGCCTATCCTGTTACTGAATATTTCTAAGGAACTTACTGATATGACGCACAGCTGTAGGAGACCTAAGGGGATCATGCTATTGTATTTCAAGGTTTTCTTTATATTTAAACATGGGTTCATCTAGTTGCTGTATCATTTTTGATTAATGTGTACAGCCTAAAATGATAAGATCAACATAGCAGGCATACATCTGTGCACATGTGCTCTCGAGAACGAGCGGTTAATGAAAGGTCCAGATTACTAACATATTGAATTTGCCAACAGGACTGTAAGCGCGTTGCTGGACGATTTTGCAGAGAAATTCTGAAAAGTTTCTAATGAGCCTCGGCCCAGACCAGGCCAGACCAGACAAGACCAGACTGGCATCATACCAGCCACGAACTGTTTTGTCCAGTTAAACCATTTGTCTACAGCTAAATTAATATACAAAAATACCTGAAGATCTGGTCAAAATCACTGTGGTTTTCGTAACCGCTGATCCGATGCTGTTTGTAGCCCGACAGATATAATCTCCCTCAACATTCTCTTCAGCCGTATTTACCACCAGACATCCTGCTTCCTGGGAAACCGGAAATGAGACAGAAGACTTTTGAGCCCGCGACCAGTCAACTTTGGGACGAGGAGAACCTGAGGCTTCGCAGCAGAGGGTAGTAATGGTTCCTTGCACTGGAGTTACCAATGTAAGGGGCCTGTTGGTAAACCTAGGTTGCTCTAAAAGAATCCAAACCATCGAATGAGCAGACAAAAAATTTAAAAGAGCAAAGAAATAAAGATCCTACCTTTTAAACGCAACCTGCTTATTATTCGGAAAATTCCCAAACCAGTGTGAGCTGTACACACATACGACCCAGCATGTGACCTTTGCACGTTGCTTATTCGAAGCGCACCATCTTCCACAATAGCATCAGATAGAGTATCTCCAAGTTTACGCCACGTTATCTTGGACGAAAGATGGCCTTGAACCCAACAATAAAATATTACGGGCTCGTCCACAAAGACTTCCTGAGATACTGGATATACACTGATCTTCGGTGGAACAACACATTGTCCCTTTGGTCCCTGAATACCAACCAATCCTCTGCTGCCTTTGCTTCCTTTTAAGCCAATAGATCCTTGTTGTCCCTTACGACCCTTTGTTCCAGTCTCTCCTCTAATCCCAGGTGCTCCAACGGACCCTTTGTCGCCCTTGTCGCCTTTTACTCCCTGAGGTCCCACGGGTCCTCTTTTGCCACTCGCGCCTGGAGCCCCGATTGGGCCAGGAGGGCCTCTTGAGCCGGTTTTCCCTGTAACTCCTTTTTCTCCTTTGTACCCTGGATACCCGTGGGCACCTGGAGGACCTGGAGGTCCTGTCTGACAAATCTTGTTGTTTACACTGCAGGATTGATTGAGTTTGTTGTTGATTTCCCGGCGGACTTGCTGCAGAGTTATTGTTCCTGCAGCAACATTTCTTCTCTCTCTTTTATGATCACGGATAACTGATGACACACCTCCTACTTTGCTTTCAAAACCTGTAGAAGTTACGATAACAAATATTTCTTAGGGAATTTTTGAAATAATGCATTTTAAAGTGCGAAATAATAAGCTGAATTGATTTAGCCGTTTATCAATCGATGTTTACGGTGAAGAGCACGAAAAGAGAAAATAAAGAGAAAAGAGAAATATGCAAATGTTAAAACATTAATATGCTCATGAAATCGGTGCAAAAATGGACAACTCAACATTAAATGGAGTCAGAGTTAAAGAACAACCAAAAAAAAAAACATAAAAGGAACCTTTTACATCAATGAATTTTGATAAAAAATAGCCCGAAGACTGTCTGAAGCTGCCGTTAGTCTTTAAACTTGTCAGCTGCGAGATTTCAAGTAAATTCATTGAGCATTGGGCTATTCGCCAAAGAGTCCTGTTCGCCGAAATATAGTTCACAATTTTACTGTCTTCTAAATTTTGGTGCTAAAAATTGGCGGCGATCAAACACATTAGTCCGAGAGAACGAGAATGTATACTGCTGTGATTCAGGAGGTTAAATCAGTAGGAGTCATAACTTCGATTTGGTTCAACATGTTACCTGATCCAATTTGCGTTCTTCGGTGGCCTGACGCACGAATGTATGTCACCCCACATTACCGTAATGTGAAAGCAGATGTTTTCGATAACCATTCAGTTTCTTGAGTAACGCGAAACGATAACAAAAACGTTCACTTGTTGATTACCTTAAGTGTGTTCTTTCGCATACAGCTTGTGAAAAAAGAAAATAGATCAAATTTTAAGCGTCAGTTGAGTTTGGCCTTTTCCAAAAATATCCTTGGCAGAAGGATAACATACAAATTAAATACAACTTAAGATATATTTTCGCTATGTCTTATTTCACAATCAACGGCAGTATAATTCTAACGATTATTCTGTTCGTAGAATTGAAGGCAAGCTAACGGTAAATCATTTTGTGCTGTGATGCAGTATAGTGTTGGTTATTAAGAGCTAACACAACTGAAGTACGCGTAAATAATGACTTACCAAAGATAACATCAGGCCTTTCCTTTCTCCTTGTCGTGGATGCAGTTTCATAAATTTGTAACCTCTTCTTCACTATCTTCTCTATGTTTGTTTTCAGGTCATCGTCAATCCGCTGAATTCGGTTTTCAAGCCTTGTTTCCAGCGCTTTCGAATTATTGTACACAAACTCGATCCTCATAAACAAAAATGTCACAAGAGTCAAAGAAGTTAGTGAAATAGCCACAGAAATTCTGCTGATCTTTTCAGTAGATTTCGTGCGGACGTTCCTCTTTGCATTCATTTCTGTATTGGCGATCTTTAAAACAGCCGAAAAGGATATAATTCGTTGGTGGGGACTGATGTAGCTCAAGAACGCAAGTTAAGATGAAACTACCCTCTCAGCGCTGAGCTGTTTAAGTGTATACTCTATAGCTTAAAATATCACTTACACAGTTGTCAGACAATACAGATTAAATTTCTTAAGAGGAGGTCTTTGACCGAATGTTTTTTAGTGCAGGGGTGAGTCTGAAATAGAAGTGAAAGGAAAATGAATAATCAGATGGAGGAAGAAAACCTTCTGCATAATTATTGACAATACTCCTATCGTAGACGTCAGCTTGTTAGATTTCGCTGAGACAGATTACCTCTTGAGGCTAAGCTGATTTATTTTTAAGGCTGCGTAGCAAGATTTAAATGAGGGTGAAAGCTTGACACTTGTCTTGGAATGAATATAGTATCTTTGACAAAATGTTTTGGGGATGACCGTAAGCTTGAAACTTCCCTCTGAAGTTTTTCGCACGTTGTCTTTGTTCCGGAGAAAAACGATGCACGAAGTTCAAAAAAGGAATTTCAAATGAAGGCTGAGTTGAAAACATTAACTAAGCCACCAAAATTGACTCTAGTTTTTAAAAATCACCTTACTGACTACTCTGCATGAAGCACTATCGCAAATGTTCTTTGAATGTTTTTCAAACATATTTTGATATTATTGGGTGGGCAGCAAAGCGAATGCAGTGTCACCTTATACATCAAAACTGATATTACCATGAAGGACTAAAAGTGTGATGAAGGCAGGTAAGCGAGTCATTCTTCCAGTCTACGTTTCACAGAATGGCTTTGGAGGTCCTCATATTAGAAATTACAACAGTGTTTGGATTGGTTCAAATTCGATATCCAGCTCAGTCAAAGAATTTCACAACTTAAAACTTTAACGTGAACGTAGCTTGCAATGTGACATGTTGAGGTAGTACTTGTCCAGACCTGTTATTGACAAAAACTCAAATTGACGCCTTTGCCATTTAACGTATAATGTATAATGGATCTCAGCATCTTATTCACTATGACGTCATTTACCATATAAGGGCAACTTACCTGGCCTACTTTTTTCATCTGTTTGTGTTTGATTTTGATCTGAAGGGAAATGAACATCACGTAACCGCATGACGCATTTTAATGCAAGACTTGTAGAATCGAATAATGTGAGGAGTACTCAGCTAATTTCTTGTAATGAAATAGGTATTAAGAGGCTGTCTCTCTTATTTCCACCCGGTCAATTTTGCGTCAAAAATAATTTTGCCTGAAACTCTGTTAACAGAAAGACTTTACCTAGGAAAGACCTAAATTAGATTTGGTTTGATTCGAAATAATTTTCTGATTGCATTACGGGCCATAATTATTTCCCAGTCCGTAGGGACCGTCGCAACGTCTCGAAAATTGAAAAATAGGCATATTTTGTAACGTTGTAAAATATTTGATTCGCATAGTTAAGCCACAGAATTTATATCAGATTGCTTAAAAACCTTTCTAGTTTACCAAGAAAGTTAGAATTTGCCCTCTCAACAAATTTGAAAAGGCGAATTTTAGCATATTCTGACCACTAGAAATCGCCATCGGCCGATGGCCGTAAATAACCTTGATTTAGACGCTAAGTTTTGGGATTTGGGACCTGGTTGACGATTCTATCCTACACAGCCGTTAAGTTTAGACCTTTATAGGCAAAAATATGCAAAAACCCCTGTACGTTTTCGATTTTTCAAAAGTTATGACCGTTTAAATCAGCACATGTACGAGCATTCGCGATTTTTTCGCCTACACCAAAATCGAACCACTGGAGCAGATTTCGTCATAAATACAGCTTACCCGCCTTGCATCCCGGCTTCATGGCTCACTTCAGAATTTTTCTAATAACCAAATTGGTGAAATCCATGATAACTTCGACAAATAGCTAGGTATTGCCTTCGAAAAGTAGGCGGCATCCATCGTGATTCGTGGTATTAAAACAAATGCCGGAATTGGCCACATTTCGCGGTGAATCACCCATTTAACATCGCTGCAGAGCTGAATTTTTTCCAAAATCAGAATATAAACTCTCTATGTCTGGAAGCTGAGAGAGAAATGAAGGTTTTAGGCTTCTGAAGTGAAGAAATAATCGCTTAAATTTAGATCCAGTTCGATGTTATACTGTTCTCACAAAGGTCCGCACAAAAGAGAAGACCGCTGATAGCTTGTGCCGTACGTTGTGCCATATGGTTTTGTTTTGTATCCCAAAGTAATATTTGGAAAAATTTTGGATGAAAAGAATAAATGCTTTTACCTGGAGTTTGATATCATATAATTAATAAATCAATTTCAAATATCCTGTGCTTGCTTCTCTCGGTTCCGCGTCGATTGTGTCCACAGAACAGCAACCTGTCAATAGCCGGAGAAATCATGGGTTTATGTGAAATTTCAGATATTCCTCGCTTCCCAAACTGGTGAACTGGACTTTATGATAACTCCAGCAAATACCTCCAAAATTAAGCGGTCGGCATCTGTCGATACTCTTCTTTGACTCGTTGTTGCGAACTAAACTCGAAAACTAAAGCCATGTTTCGCGCTTAATGTCCCGTTGAAACTTTGGATTGCAGCTGCATTCTCTTCAAGAATCAGTCACAGAACTCCACTTGTAAGTCTATGTGTCGAAGTTTGGCGTTTTGGAATTTAAAGCTGAACGATTGCACTATCGCGCATAACAGAGGTCCGCATTAATCATTGCGGGTGAACCCGCTAACCCTTTATTTTTTTTGGAAGGCCTGCAAGTGTAGTATGGCATGCAAGTGCTTTTTCGAAACCAGAGAGGCTTCAGTCTGTAGCGAGTCTTCAGCGAGGTTGTTAAAGCTTTCATTGGACAGAGGATACGCATTGACGAAACACCCAGTGAAGGGAACAACAGCTGCAGTAAGAATAGTAGACGAATCAAAGAACACTCTGTATAAATAAGATTGAGCATTTTAGTAGCTTCCACAACTTCGATTCGAATATGGAGATATCGGTCTGAGAGTTTGGAAATGTTATGGCATCGGTAAAGGGAAGTACATTCCATATGACCTAATTTATATCAAGCACCAAGGTCAAACGTCCCTTCAAACCATAGAATCTCAAGGGTTTTATGATCCTCCTGAAAAGCGTGTGGTCAAGCGTCGTTCAAAGGGCAGCAAGGAAACAGAGATTACAACGCCATTGTTTGAATGCTCTGTGTTTGGATGTGTTGAAGTGTTCGAAACCTTTTCGCAGCTGGAGCTGCACCTGGACGTTGGAAAGCATACAGTCAGCAGGTTAAAGCCAGTATGATGCAATCAAAAGGGACTGGGCCCTTAAGTTCTCGTCGATAGATACCGCTGGTATCGATTGTTCGAGCTGTTCGTTAGATTCTAGTACACCACTCACTTCTCCCGTGGATACTTCGCCCCACTCGTCTTTACGAACAGGATGGGCCGTAAGCAAACCAAGGGGCAGCGTTAGATTTTCAGAGAAGGTAAAAGAATACCTAACGGCACGGTTTACACTTGGAGAAAGAACTGGGCGAAAGGCCGACTCCGCCCAAGTTGCAGTGGACATGCGAAATGCGAAAAATGAATCAAATGCACGTTTGTTCACTAGAGAACAGTAGCTGACAAAGAACCAAGTTCAGAGCTTTTTCTCCCGGCTAGCAGCAATGCGGCGAAAAGATCAGGGTGTGATCGGGATATCACTGGATGAGGAGGAAGATATCCAATGCGTCCAGGAAAATTACGAGAGATAAGATCTGGTAGACAAAGTTAACAAAGAGATCAAAGTCTCACATCCAATCTGCTACGATACGTAGGACCTCTGTGAACGTTACCACAATAACACACTTCAGAAATTCAATGTGGTTTTGTTGAGAGCCATCTGTAGTCATTTTGAGATCCCTGTAAAATTGAGAGACAAAAAACAGATCCTCATAGACAAACTGTCGGACGTGATTAGTGATTGTCAGTGTGTTTCTCAGTAGACTTATGTAAACAATGTCTTATACGGTGGCTGAAAGTGTAGAATATGCTCTACAGATACAAACTACCTTTACTTCCGATATCAAGTTCTGACGGCGTTGTTATAGTGTAATATATTATAATATCTAGTAGTCAGTGAAATGTTTTGATGAAATCGATCGAAAATTTACCAAAAGCAACACTTATAACATCTGTTCATACGAAGCATGTGTCAAGTTTTTAACACGTTGGTAGCTGATTTCTCCGGCTATTGACAGGTTGCTGTTCTGTGGACACAATCGACGCGGAACCGAGAGAAGCAAGCTCAGGATATTTGAGATTGATTAATTAATAATATGATATCAAACTCCAGGTAAAAGCATTTATTCTTTTCATCCAAAATTTTTCTGCCCAAATATTACATTGGGATACAAAACAAAACCATATGGCACAACCTACGGCACAAGATATCAGCGGTCTTCTCTTTTGTGCTGACCTTTGTGAGAACAGTATAACGTCGAACTGGATTTAAATTTAAGCGATTATTTCTTCACTTCAGAAGCCTAAAACCTTCATTTCGCCCTCAGCTTACAGACATAGAGAGTTTATATTCTGATTTTGGAAAAAATTCAGCTCTGCAGCGATGTTAAATGGGTGATTCACCGCGAAATGTGGCCAATTCCGACATTTGTTTTGATACCACGAATCACGATGGATGCCGCCTACTTTTCGAAGGCAATACCTAGCTATTTGTTGAAGTTATCATGGATTTCACCAATTTGGTTATTAGAAAAATTCTGAAGTGAGCCATGAAGCCGGGCTGCAAAGCGGGTAAGCTGTATTTATGACGAAATCTGCTCCAGTGGTTCGATTTTGGTGTAGGCGAAAAAATCGCGAATGCTCGTACATGTGCTGATTCAAACGGTCATAACTTTTGAAAAATCGAAAACGTACAGGGGTTTTTGCATATTTTTGCCTATAAAGGTCTAAACTTAACGGCTGTGTAGGATAGAATCGTCAACCAGGTCCCAAATCCCAAAACTTAGCGTCTAAATCAAGGTTATTTACGGCCATCGGCCGATGGCGATTTCTAGTGGTCAGAATATGCTAAAATTCGCCTTTTCAAATTTGTTGAGAGGGCAAATTCTAACTTTCTTGGCAAACTAGAAAGGTTTTTAAGCAATCTGATATAAATTCTGTGGCTTAACTATGCGAATCAAATATTTTACAACGTTACAAAATATGCCTATTTTTCAATTTTCGAGACGTTGCGACGGTCCCTACGGACTGGGGAATAATTATGGCCCGTAATGCAGTCAGAAAATTATTTCGAATCAAACCAAATCTAATTTAGGTCTTTCCTAGGTAAAGTCTTTCTGTTAACAGAGTTTGAGGCAAAATTATTTTTGACGCAAAATTGACCGGGTGGAAATAAGAGAGACAGCCTCTTAAATATTAGTTTGTATCATGGATCTCAGCGTCTTATTCACTATGACGTCATTTACCATATAAGGGCAACGAAACGTACAAAATATGCCACGACATTACATTGTAGAACAAGGCAAGAGCACGGACGGAAAGCTGAGCAACACAAGGGTCACACCGAAATAATAGAAAATGGAATAATCGTGCAATTATAAATATCTCCATCGATGATTTGACAAATAATACGATCTGACATTTTGCCCATTGCTCATATTTTCCCTCGCCCCTGCGGGGCTCGGAAAAATACTGCGCAACACGCTAATATCATCGTGCAAGATGAGCCAAATCTCGCCCTTTTTAATAGTGGATATGAGAATTCGATGAGCAAATTTCATTGCGTTAGCACGGCCAAATGAGACTGGGGAGAGCTTACATATTATTTTCGTACTCTCCCCCACGAGTAAAAATGATGGTATCCGTATACATAATTGCTAAGTTTTGTGCTATTACCTAACCTGATCTGTTCAAGTTTGATTTTTGTGGCCACAAGCCACTGGAAACGCTGTCTTCATCGTCAGTAAATAGGAATTTGTTTGCTTCAAGTAGCTTCATAAAACACGTCAACTTCATCAGGTCGAAATAAATGTTAAATAAAGCGGATCAATTTGGAGATAAAGGCTTGATTCTGTATCTTGGAATCACAGAATAATTGACAGCTTAGTACAATCACTGCCTATTCTTATAATATTCTTCACAGTTTATCCACGAGTTCACTTTGATCACAAGTTAACTTTGATCAATTTGCGAATTCTCTCCAAAGACTAAAAATGATGATACCTGTATATATAATAGCACAGTTTAGTGCTACTACCTAAACTGATCTGTTCAAGCTTTATCTCAGTTTGTGGCCTTAGCCCACAGGTAACTGAGACAGAAAAGTCTGCTTCGATTGTTGGTAAATAGAGTTTTGAATATCATCGTTACTTCAGTTTGTTTGTTTCAAGTAGTTTCATAAAACACTTCAACTTCATCAGATTGAAAATGGTAAATTCCTGCTAGGAATGATTGGGTGAAGGAGCTGCCATAACTGTGGCCAGATGGTGGACTGTAGGTGTGTCCAAGGTTTGCGTAGGAATTTGTGTTGGATGAAGCGTTGTTGCTAATGCGAATATCGTGTCCGTAACCAAATATGGGTCCATAGCTTGAACAACTGAATATGGAATGGCTCCTTCTATTACTATACTTTCCTGTTTGAGACAGTTTCACCGGTGCCCAGCCTGGCTTGTTAACCAATGAAAACAAAAAGGCCATTGAACTGTACTGGTATCCACAATTGGAAACTAATAAGCAAATGGAAAAAAAGAGTCACAAACTATTTCGGTAAACTGAGATGAAGGTCAATATTTGTAACAATTGGCCAGAAGAACATTTAAAATGATAGAGAAATGGCGTTTACGAGCGTATTTTAGTTAACAACAACAATAAAACGAAAAGCTATTGAATAAATTTTCCACTCCCTTTTGAGTTAAACCTTTCTCTACAGTAGAAGAAATTATTGTGTAAATACAGAGAAGAGCTTTTCCTAATCGAGAATGATCTTGTGTCAAAATTCAATTTCAATCCGATAACCAGAAACTAAAAAACAGAAACAAAAACTTTATGCAAGAATTTCTTTTCAGGTTCTGGTTATTCTAGGGGAGGGACTTTAAGTCGCTTACATGAGTTCTGGAAAATAAATAACTGCGTGTAGTTTCAAATGTAAAAAAGAGGACGCATTCAATGATTCACTTACCCCATGATGTGCTTGTGTATCCACCAAAGATGTATTTTCCCACACGGATAATGGTCACTGTAGGCCATTTGTTGTCACACTTTGAGTGAAAGGTAGTGCTGGCCCAACCATCCACTGATGCTCGCCAGCAGCGCTTCCAGTAAGAGGACTGGCTCTGCACAACAGATCCTAACCAAAAACTTAAAGTGCACAGGTAATGAATATTGTTTGTAAGTATTACTGATTGCTCCAAACCTGAAAAAGAAAGATATTACAGCCTGTTTTAATCGCTCAATTTGGAAGGGCGCGAATTAGCACAAATAGCAGCATTAATAGCATTATCTATTTTTTTACTATATTAATTTATTTATTTGCGATACTTAGACTTGTTGGCCCAGTTCAGCTTCAAAGCTTATTAAATAGGGCCTGTATAAACAATAACAATACCAACTGAGAGTGAATTAGCACAAATAGCAGCAAATGTTTTTCTATTTTTTACTGTATTAATTTATTTATTAGCGATAGTTAGGCTTATCGGCCCATTTCAGCTTCAAAGCTTATTAAATAGGGCCTGTATAAACAATAACAATACCAACTGAGAGTGAATTAGCACAAATAGCAGCAAATGTTTTTCTATTTTTTACTGTATTAATTTATTTATTAGCGATAGTTAGACTTATCGGCCCATTTCAGCTTCAAGCTTGTTAAATAGGGCTGGTATAAATAATAACCAGGCCAGACCACAACACTGGGAGACATGTTCGCTACTCTTTGCGAGAAGTGCGTGGGTTCTTTAACGTACCCTGCTAACTAGTAAAGAGAGATGTAAGATTTATCGTCTTTATCTGAGAAGACAACGATGTTTAACTACTTGCAGATGTCAAGGTAGTGGCAGCATATTCGCCTCAGTTATTTTAAGATCCCGAGTGTGGAACCCTCGACCTTTCGCATGGCAGTCCGGCGCTCTACACCATGAGCTAACCAAGTGCAGTTTTGGGATATTTTTTAAATGTTGGACCCATTTAATAAAGATATCGCGCTATTAAGACAAGTGACACTACCTTCCAGCTACATATTTTCAAAGCCTTGCAGCAAAAGTAATAAATAATACCTCTTAATATTTCTGCAATCACCGTGGTTGATGTCTCTGCCAATCCGAAGCTGTTTTTAGCCCGGCAGATGAAATCTACGTCTTCTTTAACCATTTTAATTAGAAGACATCCATCTTCCTGAAAAACAGGAAATGAGACAGAAGACTTTTTGGCCTGGAACCATTCCACGTTTGGACGAGGAGAACCTGTGGCCTCGCAGCAGAGGGTTACATTAGATCCTAGCAATATATTGACTACTGTAGGGGGCCTGTTGGTAAATTTAGGTGGCTCTGAAGAAAGAAAAAAACCAATTTAACAGGCACAAAACAAGCTTGGTGAAGATCTTAAAAAGTTATATTCAGTTTATATTTTCTTGGTTGTAGAAAAGTCTTGATTCATAGACCTGAATAACCATGATGATTATATTAGGAGCGTTACCTATTCTGTAACTGAATGCAAAAACTGAAAATCGCTCAAAATTGAAAAACCCTACCTTTCACATGCAATCTGCTTAATATTCGGAACATTCCCAAACTAGTGTGAGCTGTACACATGTACGACCCAGCGTGTGACCTTTGTACGCTGCTTATTCGAAGCGCACCATCTTCCGCAGTAGCATTAGATAGAGTACCTCCAAGTTTACGCCACGTTATTTTGGACGACAGATGGCCTTGAACCCAACAGTAAAATATTACAGGCTCGTTCACAAAGACTTCCTGAGATACTGGATACACACTGATCTTCAGTGGAACATCACATTCTCCCTTTGATCCCTGAATACCAACCAATCCTCTGCTGCCTTTGCTTCCTTTTAAGCCAATAGATCCTTGTTGTCCTTGACGACCCTTCGTTCCAGTCTCTCCTCTCATCCCATGCGCTCCAACGGACCCTTTGTCGCCCTTGTCGCCTTTTACTCCCTGAGGTCCCACAGGTCCTCTTTTGCCACTCATGCCTGGAGCCCCGATAGCACCTGAAGGGCCCCTTGAGCCGGTTTTCCCTGTGGCTCCTTTTTCTCCTTTGTACCCTGGATAACCGAGGGCACCTGGAGGACCTGGAGGTCCTGTCTGACAAATCTTGTTGTTAACACTGCAGGATTGATTGAGTTTGTTGTTAATTTCCTGGCGGACTTGCTGCAGAGTTATTGTTTCTGCAGCAACATTTCTTCTCTCTCTTTGATAATCACGGATAACTGGTGACACACTTCCTACTTTGTTTTCAAAACCTGTAGAAGTTACGATAACAAATATTCATTATGAGATCAATGAAATGCATTTTAAAGTGCTAAAGAATAAGCAGAATTGATGTAGTCGTTTATCAATCGATGTTTGCGGTGATGAGAAAAAATGAGAAAATGAAGACAAAAGTGAAATAAAAATGTTAAAACATTCATATGCCTATAAAACTGGCGCAAAAATAAGTAACAAAAAAAATGAATAAATAAAAGGAACCTTTTACTTCTATAAATTTTGTTCAAAAATAGCCTGAGAGCTGTCTGAAGCTGCCTTTAGTTACGAGACTTTTCAGCTGAGAGTTTCAGGTAAGTTAATTGACCATCGGGCTATTTGCCAAAAACGTCCTATTCGCTAAATAAAGTTAACAGTTCTACTGTCGTCAAAATTTCGGTACCAAAAAATGGTGGTGATCAGACACGTTAGTCAAAGAGAATGAGAATGTATACTGTTGTGTTTCAGGAAGTTAAAACAATAGGAGTTATAACTTCGGTTTGGTTCAACAAAATGCTACGTGATCCAATCTGCATTCTTCAGTGGTCTGATACATATATGTTATTTGCCGGCTGGGAGGTCCGTATGGTGAAAAACTGTGACCGAGATCTTGAAAATGCTGCCCGAGGCCGTAGGCCGAAGGCAGCATTTTCAAGACCGAGGTCACAGTTTTTCACCATACGGACCGACCCTTAGCCGGTAAATAACATATTTATTGTTTTTAAACTTGACGAAATTCTTTCCAAAAGAACCCGAATGATTTATGGACGTAAATACGGCAAGATCTTCCATAAACTGAACAATTTTTGAGTGGGTAAATGGTAGTTAAAATAGAGGTGATGCAAATTTAAGAGAGATGCCTCAGCGAAACATTTTCATTTCCGTAACGATAAAGGTGATTTAAAAGGCTTCCAAACAAACTTTGAAACATTATTTTTACAAGTATCTGTCACAATCTGACACCTGTCAATTAGAGAGCGCGCAAGAAAAAAAAAAGCGTAGGAACATTTGAAAACCAACAGAACTAGTTTGGCAAGGACTGTCACGACAATGTTTTCTTCAAAATCAGTCAATGATCTAACGGAAAGTATTATTCACTCTCATCGACCATTTATTCATGTACGAAGATTTACCTCTGATCATTAAGTAAACGGCGAGGAAAGTAATTGTGAGTAAATTCAATTTTTTTATTTTGAAGTTGTGAGAGTTTGCTCGTTTGTTTGCTGTAATGGCTTGTTTAATTCTGGTCTTTCCTTCACAAAAACTAAATTCGAACGGCACACTCCAACGAGACACAAGGGAATTTAATGCGGCCTTTTCTCAAAAAATTCCTTCAATTTCTGTTGTGCAATTTACGGTACAAATGTCCAAATTGAACGGAATTGGAAAGACTCACCGGGAGCGTATTGTTGTAGAACTTAAATTAAAACTTTGCTCGCTCTTTCACTACGAACAAATTGCTCGAGAAAATTCAGATATTAAATGAATGAAAGTTCCATCGTTCAGTTTAACTGTATCCAAATACCTCACGTTTCAACTTTCTGGGTACTTTTTGTGAACGATTAAAATTAATTGCAGACGGTTTTTTGGCCGCTTGTCAACTAACGTAATGACACTATTGTTTAAACAAATTCATTCTGAAACCAATATTTTTCTGTCAACCAAAGTGATTTGATAGAGAAAAGAGAGGATTCATAAGTTATTTATCGGCTTGAGGTAATGACCGACGTGTTTGCTTAAAAATACTGCCAATCCGGAAACCGAGGTATATTTATGAAAAATGACGAAAGTTGGGATGTACTCGGCGACTCACGAAAGCGTTACCGTGGCCCGTGGGCAGAGATAGGAAAATACTGACCGGGTAAAGAACCAATCAGATTGCAAGATTCGTTACCGTGCCCTCTAAAAAAACAATAAACGAATGTATGTCACGCTACACTACCGTAATGTGAAAGCAGATGTTTTCGATAACCATACAGTTTCTTGAGTAAAGCAAAACAATGAAATGTTCGCTTGCTGATTACCTTAAGTGTGTTCTTTCGCATACAGCTTGTGAAAAAAGAAAATAGATCAGATTTTAAGCGTCAGTTGAGTTTGGCCTTTTCCAAAAATATCCTTGGCAGAAGGATAACATACAAATAAAATACAACTTAAGATATATTTTCGCTATGTCTTATTTCACAATCAACGGCAGTATAATTCTAACGATTATTCTGTTCGTAGAATTGAAGGCAAGCTAACGGTAAATCATTTTGTGCTGTGATGCAGTATAGTGTTGGTGCGTGTTCTTTCGCATAAAGCTTGTGAAAAGAGAAAATAATTCAGATTTTAAGCGTCAGTTGAGTTTGACCTTTTCCAAAAATACCCTTGGCAGAAGGATAACAAATAAAATACAACTTAAGACAGATTTTCGTTCTGTTTACTCGTATAGCGAGTATTCTGTTCATAGAATTGAGAGGCAAACTAACGATAAAATCATTTTGTGCTGTGATGCTGTATATTATAGTGTTGATTATTAAAAGCTATATAACAGATCTGAGGTACATGTAACCAATGACTCACCAAATATAACATCAGGCCTTTCCTTTCTCCTTGTTGTGGATGCAGTCTCATAAATTTGTAACCTCTTCTTCACTATTCTCTCTATGTTAGTTTTCAGGTCATCGTCAATCCGCTGAATTCGGTTTTCAAGCCTTATTTCCAGCGCTTTCGAATTGTTGTACACAAACTCGATCCTCATAAACAACAATGTTACAAGAGTCAAAGAAGTTACTGAAATTGCCAAGGGAATTCTACTGATCTTTTCAGTAGATTTCGTGCGGACGTTTCTCTTTGAATCCATTTCTGTATTGGCGATCTTTAAAACAGCCGAGGAAGAATATAGTCCGTTGGCGGGGACTGATGTAGCTCAAAAACGCAAGTGAAGATGAAACTACCCTCTTAGCGCTGAGCTGTTTAAGTGTTCTCCCTATAGCTTAAAATATCACTTTCACAGTTGTCAGCCAATACAGATTAAATTTCTTAAGAGGAGGTCTTTGACCGAATGTTCTTTTTAGTGCAGGGGTGAGTATGAAATAGAAGTGAAAGGAAAATGAATAATCAGATGGAGGAAGAAAAACGTCTGCATACTCATTGACAATACTCCCATCGTAGACGTCAGCTTATTGAATTTCGCTGAGACAGATTACCTCTTGAAGCTAAGCTGATTTATTATTAAAGCTGCGTAATAAGAGTTAAATGAGGCTGAAAGCTCAACACTTGTCTTGGAATGAATATAATATCTTCGACAAAATGTTTTGGGGATGACCGTGAGCTTGAAACTTCCCTCTGAAGTTTTTCGCACGTTGTCTTTGTTCCGGAGAATAACGTAACGATGCACGAAGTTCAAAAAAGGAATTGCAAATGAAGGCTGATTTGAAAAATATTAACTAAACCATCAAATTTGACTCAAGTTTTTAGAAATCACCTTACAGATTACTCTACACGAAGCACTATCGCAAATGTTCTTTGAATGTTTTTCAAACATATTTTGATATTTCTGGTGGGCAGCACGGGGAATACATTGTTAGGACTAAAACTATGATGAAGGCAAGTGAGTGAGTCATTCTTCCAGTCTATGTCTCACAGAATGGCTTTGGTCAGTAAGATCAGGTCCCTATATTAGAACTTACAACAGTGTTTGGATTAGGTCAAATTCGACATCCAGCTCAAGCAAAGAATTTCACAAATAAAAACCTTAACGTGAACGTAGTTTGCAATGTGATATGTTAAAGTAGTACTTGCCCAGACCTGTTATTGACAAAAACTCAAGTTGACGCCTTTTTAATGTATAAACTGTATAATGGATCTCAGCATCTTATCCACTATGACGTCATTCACCATATAAGGGCAACGGAACGTACAAAATATGCCACGACATTATATTGTAGAACAAGGCAAAAGCACGGACTGAAAGCTGAGAAACACAAAGGTCACACCGAAATAATAGAAAATGGAATAATCGTGCAATAGTAAATATCTCCATCGATGATTTGACAAATAATACGATCTGACATTTTGCCCATTGCTCATATTTTCCCTCGCCCTACAAGGCTCGAAAAATACTGCGCAACACGGTAATATCATCGTGCAAGATGACGCAAATCTCGCCCTTTTTAATAGTGGATATCAGAATTCGATGAGCAAATTTCATTGCGTTAGCACGGCCAAATGAGACTGGGGAGAGCTTACATATTATTTTCGTACTCTCCCCCACGAGTAAAAATGATGGTATCCGTATACATAATTGCTAAGTTTTGTGCTATATCGTCAGTAAATAGGAATTTGTTTGCTTCAAGTAGCTTCATAAAACACGTCAACTTCATCAGGTCGAAATAAATGTTAAATAAAGCGGATCAATTTGGAGATAAAGGCTTGATTCTGTATCTTGGAATCACAGAATAATTGACAGCTTAGTACAATCACTGCCTATTCTTATAATATTCTTCACAGTTTATCCACGAGTTCACTTTGATCACGAGTTTACTTTGATCAATTTGCGAACTCTCTCCAAAGACTAAAAATGATGATACCTGTATATATAATAGCACAGTTTAGTGCTACTACCTAAACTGATCTGTCCAAGCTTTATCTCAGTTTGTGGCCTTAGCCCACAGGCAACCCAGATAGAAAAATCTGCCTCGATTGTTGGTAAATAGGTGTAAACAGGTGTTTTTAATGTCATCGCTACTTCACTTCGTACTTTCATAAAACACTTCACCTTAGCCCACAGGCAACCCAGACAGAAAAGTCTGCTTCGATTGTTGGTAAATAGGTGTAAACAGAAGTTTTGAATGTCATCGCTACTTCACTTCGTACTTTCATAAAACACTTCACCTTAGCCCACAGGCAACCCAGACAGAAAAGTCTGCTTCGATTGTTGGTAAATAGGTGTAAACAGAAGTTTTGAATGTCATCCCTACTTCACTTTGTACTTTCATAAAACACTTCAACTTCATCGGGTTGAAAATAGTAACTTCCTGCTAGGAATGATTGGGTGAAGGAGCTGCCAGGACTGTGGCCAGATGGTGGACTGTAGGTGTATCCAAGGTTTGAGCCAGAAATTGTGTTGGATGAGGCGTAGTTGGCAATCCAAATATCATATCCTCTACCAAAGATGGGTCCTTCTGATGGACAACTGTATATGGAATCTCGATAAGAACTATACTTTCCTGTTTGAGACAGTTTCACTGGTGCCCAGGCTGGCTTGTTAACCAATGAAAACAAAAAGGCCTTTGAGCTGTACAGATACCCACAAATGGAATCTAATAAGCAAAATGGTAAAAAAGAGTCACAAACTATTTCAGTAAACTGAGATGAAGGTGAATATTTGTAACACTTGGCCAGAAGAACATTTAAAACGATAGAGAAATGGCGTTTACGAGCGTATTTTAGTTAACAACAACAATGAAACGAAAAGGTATTGAATAAACTTTCCTCTCCCTTTTGACTTCAACCTTTCTCTATGGTAGAAGAAGTTATAGCGTTAATACAGAGAACAGCTTTTCCTAATCGAGCATGATCTTGTGTCAAAATTTAATTCCAATCAGATAATCAGACAACAGAAACTTTATGTCAGAGTTTCTTTTCAGGTTGAAGTAATTTTAGAGGAGAGACTTTATGTCACTTACACGAGTTCTGGAAAATAAGTTACCGCATGTAGTTTCAAATGATAAAAAGTGGAGGCACGTTTCAATGAAATAAAAAAATGAAGTGAAAGCATTCAATCATTCACTTACTCCATGATGTGCTGGTGTATCCACCAAAGATGTATTTTCCCACACGGATAATGGTCACTGTGGGCCCTTTGTTGTTACACTTTGAGTGGAAGGTAGTGCCGGCCCAACCATCCACTGATGCTCGCCAGCAGCGCTTCCAGTAAGAGGACTGGCTCTGCACAACAGATCCTAACCAAAAACTCAAAGTGCGTAAGTGATGATCATTGTTTGCCAGTATTTCTGATTGCTCCAGACCTGAAAATGAAAGATTTTGCAGCCTGTTTTTAACTGCTTAATCTAGAAGGGACCAATTTTGGTGTTGGTCCCGGAACACAATTTGATCCCAAATAAGAATGAATTAGCACAAATAGCAGCAAACTTTATAAATGTATTTACTGTATTCATTTATTTATTTGTTATAGTCAGACTTGTTGGCCCAGTTCAGCTTTAAAACTTGTTAAATAGGGCCTGTATAAATAATAGCAAGGCCAGAACACAACACCAGAGGATATGTTCGCTACTCTTTGCGAGAAGTGTGTGAGTTCTTTGACGTCCCCTGCTAACCAGTACAGAGAGACGTAGAAGTATATCGTCTTTATCCGAGAAGACTAAAATGTTTCACTACTTGAAGATGTCATGGTAGTGGCAACTCTCCTAAGCTATTTTAAGACTCTTAGTGTGGAACCCTCTACTTACTGCAATAAGTCCGGCGCTCTACACCATGAGCTACCTAAGGGCAGTTTTGGGATATTTTTTAACTGCTGGATCCATTTAACAAACATGCCGTGCTATTAAGACAAGTGATACTACCTTCCATTTACATATTTTTAAAGCTCTGCTGCAAAATTAACTGGTAAATAATACCTGCCAATAATGCTGCAATCATCGTGGTTGTTGTCTCTGCCAGTCCGAAGCTGTTTTTCGCCCGGCAGATGAAATCTACTTTTATGTTTTCTTTCACCATTTTAAATAGAAGACATCCATCTTCCTGGAAAACAGGAAATGAGACAGAAGACTTTTGGGTCTGGAACCATTCAATGTTTGGACGAGGAGAACCTGAGGCCTCGCAGCAGAGGGTTACATTGGTTCCTAGCAATGTATGGACCACTGTAGGGGGCCTGTTGGTAAATTTAGGCGGTCCTGAAGAAAGAAAAAATAATTAACAGACACAAAAAAAACTTGGAGAAGATCGTGAGTCTGAGCTAAAGATGGCGTGACAAAGCCTATCATATTTTTCGAGCTCATGGACAAGCAGCTTTACCGAAAACAAGGCACACCAGAATCGTTCAGGTTATATTTTCTTGGTATTAGAAAAGTCTTGATCCACCGAGCTGATAACCATGATGATTAGATTAGTGGCATTACTTATTTTGGAAAAAAACGACGTTCGTCTCCTAACATTTCGAACAACTGAAAGCTAAGCAGAAAGTCGCTCAAAAGTAAAAGACCCTACCTTTTACGTGCAATCTGCTTATCATTCGGAACATTCCCAAACCAGTATGACCTGTACACATGTATGACCCAGCATGTGACCTTTGTACGCTACTTATTCGAAGCGCACCATCTTCCACAGTAGCATCAGATAGAGTACCTCCAAGTTTACGCCACGTTATCTTGGACGAAAGATGGCCTTGAACCCAACAGTAAAATATTACAGGCTCGTGCACAAAGACTTCCTGAGATACTGGATATACTCTGATCTTCAGTGGAACAACACATTCTCCCTTTGGTCCCTGAATACCAACCAATCCTTTGCTGCCTTTGCTTCCTTTAAAGCCAATAGATCCTTGTCGTCCTTGACGACCCTTTGTTCCAGTCTCTCCTCTTATCCCGGGTGCCCCAACGGACCCTTTGTCGCCCTTGTCACCCTTTACTCCCTGAGGTCCCAAAGGTCCTCTTTTGCCACTCGCGCCTGGGGCCCCGATTGGTCCCTGACGGCCTCTTGTCCCGGTTTTCCCTGTGGCTCCTTTTTCTCCTTTGTACCCTGGATACCCGTGGGCACCTGGAGGACCTGGAGGTCCTGTCTGACAAATCTTGTTGTTTACATTGCAGGACTGATTGAACTTGTTGTTGATTTCCTGGCGGACTTGCCGAAGAGTTATTGTTCCTGCGGGAACATTTCTTCTCTCTCTTTTATGATCAAGGATAATTGATGACACGCTTCCTCCTTTGCTTTCAAAACCTGTAGAAGTTACGATAACAAATGTTTCTTATGGGATCAATGAAGTAATGCATTTTGAAATGCGAAAGAAAATTTCAGCTGAATTGATGTCGTCGTTTATCAATTGATGTTTAGGGTGAAGAGAAAGAAATGAGAAAATATGAAGGAGAATGAGAATGTATACAGCTGTGTTTCAGAATGTTAAAACAGTAGGAGTCATAATTTCGATTTGGTTCAACAAAATGTTACCTGATCCATTCTGCATTCTTTGGTGGTCTGACGCACGAATGCATGTCACCCTACATTACCGTAATGTGAATGCAGATGTTTTCGATAACCATACAGTTTCTTGAGTAAAGCGAAACAATACCAGAAACGTTCACTTGTTGGTTACCTTACGCGTGCTCTTTCGCAAAAAGCTTGTGAAGAAAGAAAATAATTAAGATTTTAAGCGTCAGCTGAGTTTGACCTTTTCAAAAAATACCCTTGGCAGAAGGATAACAAATAAAATACAACTTAAGATATATTTTCGCTCTGCCTTATTTCACAATCAACGGCAGGAGAATTATAGCGAGTATTCTGTTTGTAGAATTAAGAGGCAAGCCTATGAAAATATCATTTTAGACTGTGATGCAGTATAATGTTGGTTATTAAAAAAAAGCTAACATAACCGACGTATGTGTAACCAATGACTCACCTAAGATAACATCAGGCCTTTCCTTTCTCCTTGCTGTGGATGCAGTTTCAAAAATTTGTAACCTCTTCTTCACTATTCTCTCTATGTTTATTTTCAGGTCATCGTCAATCCGCTGAATTCGGTTTTCAAGCCTTGTTTCCAGCGCTTTCGAATTGTTGTACACAAACTCGATCCTCATAAACAACAATGTCACAAGAGTCAAAGAAGTCACTGAAATTGCCACGGAAATTCTGATGATCGTTTCACTAGAATCCGTGCGGATGTTCCTCTTTGCATCCATTTCTGTATTGGCGATCTTTAAAACAGGAGGAATGTGGTTCGTTCGCGGGGACTGATGTAGCTCCAACGGAAATTAAGATTAAACTTTCCTTTCAGCGCTGAGCTGTTTCGGTGTAACCCCATAGCTTAAAATATCACTTACACAGTTTTCAGGAACAGATTAAATTTTTTTTCTTAATCTTTAAATAGGAGGAATAGAGTTCGTTCGCTTGGATAGATTTGGCTCACAATTGAACGAAGTTAAGATGAAACTTTCATTTCGGCAGTTCTTTTAGTGTGACTCTTATCGACAAGAATATCACTTACATGAAAAATTTGCCAGACAAAACATATTAAATATCATAGGAAGAGTTGTTGGAGTGAACGGGGATAAAATGGCTTAGGTATTTCATTAGTTTGTGTTTGATTTTGTCCTGCAGGGAAATGAAATCCATGTGACATGGCATAGCTGTATCATGCACGCTAATGCGTAGTTTTTAGAATCGAATAATTTGAGGAGTATTTAACCAATTTCTTTAATTTAGACGAGAAAAATTACTATCTTGGATCTCAGAACCGGGAGTGTGACGGTCTCTAGTGAAAAGTTGTTGCACAAAACGCGATATCGTCATGAAAGTCACCAGAAGCGAAAATATTTATTTGCTTTCCTAAGAAACTATTTAACTACCTTCTTTATACGTGTGTTAAAAAAGCTATACAAGCTTTTTGATAAATTGCCCAAATTAACGGGGTATAAATTTCCCATCAAATCTGGTTTCACTTGACAATCTACGTGATTAACGCCCTGAAAATACCTGATCAGATACATCACTTTACGCGCGAAGTACTAGTTTGATTATTCCATGCCGGTGTCATAGTGGATTTGGACCCCCCCGTCCAAATCCGTTAGCGGATATGGACCCCCCTTCGCAGATTTGGACTCCCCTTTCCCCCTTACCAAACTTTCCTTTTAAGCATCCTTTGTATCGTATTTGGTAACCAATTCCATTTGCAAGTTTTTTTGTCGATGTTCTTTTCAATCAAAACACAAATTTTCCTCAATAAAGGTTAAAAAAAAAAACAAAAAAACAGCCATTTCGTTCCAATTCTACCGCATTCATTATAGCGATTCGTACAGTATACGCAAGAATTAGATGTGAACAAACTACTGCATTCGAACTATTGAAATTGTTACAATAAATCTTTGCTTCTTCTGATGCGAATCAACATTGGTACGAAACGTCATAACAATAGTGGAGACTATTGCGTCCAGTCACAAAAATAACTCAGTCTGATTTTCTAAAATAATGACATTAAACAGTTTTTGAACAAGCACGGAGAAACTTCTCCTACTACAAGTCGTTCGTAAAGCCTATGATGAGTAAAAATGTTTCTATTCTGAACTATTGGAACTCTCAGCTAATTTTCAGATGCAAATCAACATTGATGTTAACGTCGTAACAAAAGGGGAGACTATTACATCGAACTCAATCTTATTTTCTAATTTTAACGATTATTAACTGTTGAGGGATCCGAAATAACACCTTAACATGTGTAACCTTTCCTCGCACCACTCGCACTGTACCATGTCGTTCCAGCACTCGGGCATTGAACAATGACAAAATAAATAAGTCACAAGTTTGTCTCTTATTGAATCTAGCGGTGTTCGACTATCGCGGAAAAGGTTCAAAAAGACCTCTCTCCAGACATTAAACTAAATTCTTGCCCATTTTATCTTGGTCAAAAGAAACATCCGACGGGATGCCAGTGCGTATGTATTAACGATACGTATGTTTTGAATTAAAAACATACTTTAATACACACTGGAACGTAAAGTATCATCCATTTACCAGAACGTTACGGATGACGTTTTCACTCAGTTTTTTTGGGGGGTCCAAATCCGCGGAGGGGGGTCCATATCCGATAGCGGATTTGGACCGGGGGTCCAAATCTAGTGGGGTCCAAATCCGCTGGGGCACCCGGAACGATTCTTGTTACATTCCTCGCATCTACCCTGGCGTTAGCGAAATATCAACTCGGTTGATAAATAATCAAACATTTGAACACAAAGAAATGGATTTTGAGCATCGAAACGCTCCACGACAGTGGAAATTATTTACATGCCGAAGCCGAAGTTCGTACGCGGGTAGTGGTTGGTTGACTCAATGTCCGAACTTTCGCGGTTTGTTCACATAAAAAGTCACGTGACACTACACATGATTTCTAAAGCCTAAGAGGTGGATTGGGAGGACTTGTGGAGTGACTGCTTCAGTCTGTTTGTTGGATTGAAAGGATCATTAGCTTTTAATAGAACTCTATTTATTATAATTATAATTTGCAGAGTTTATCCACGAGTTCAACATAGTGTCATTTTGATCAATTGGTGTACGCTCTGTATTTAGCGACTAAAAATGACCATTTCCATATAATTGGACAGTATAGTGCTGTTACTCAACATCGGTTAAAGCTTTATCTTTGTGATCATAACCTAGACAGAGACATCTGTTTCGATTGTAAGCAAATAGAAAGTGAATTTCATTGCTGCTTTAGTTCGTTTGTTTCAAATACTTTCATAAAACACTTCAACTTCATCAGGTTAAAAATGGTAACTTCCTACCAGGAATGATTTGGTGAAGGAGCTTCCATAACTGTGGCCAGATGGTGGACTGTAGGTGTATCCAAGGTCTGTGTAAGAATCTGTGTTGGATGAGGCGTAGCTGAAAATTGCAACATCGAATCCTCCACCAAATATGGGTCTATTATTTGAACAACTGTACATGGAACGGCGACGAGAACTATACTGTCCTGTTTGACTCAGTTTCACTGGTACCAAGCCAGGCTTGTTTTCCAATGAGAACAAAAAAGCCTTTGAACTGTACTGGTATCCACAGTTGGAAACTAATGGAAGAAATGATAATAAAGAGTCGCAAACTATTTCAGAAAACTGAGATGAAGGTGAATATTTGTTACACTTGACCGGTGGAAAATTTAAAGCAGTCGAGAAATTACGTTTACGAGCGTATATTAGTTAACAACTACAATGAAAAAAAAAGTTATCGAATGAACTTTCTATCGCCCGTTTAATGTCAGTTTTTCTCGATGATAAAAGAAGTTTTTGCATAAATACAGGGAACAGCTTTTCCTAATCGAGCATGATCTCGTGTCAAAATTCAATTCTAATCAGACAATCAGACAACACAAACTTTATGCCAGAATTTTTTTTCAGGTTCATGTTATTATAGAAGGGAGACTTAAAACGTTTCACTGAAGAGAACTAATCAGGTGAAAGCATTCAATGATTCACTTACCCCATGATGTGCTGGTGTATCCACCAAAGATGTATAATCCCACGTGGATAATGGTCAGTGTGGGCCCTTTGTTGTCACACTTTGAGTGGAAGGTAGTGCTGGCCCAACCATCCACTGATGCTCGCCAGCAGCGCTTCCAGCAAGAGGACTGGCTCTGCACAACAGATCCTAACCAAAAACTCACGGTGCGCAGTGTATAATGATTGTTTCGTAGTATTTCTGATTGGTCCAAACCTGAAAAAGAAAGATATTGAAGCTTGTTTTAAATGCTCAATTTGAAAGAGTAAATTTCGGTTTTGGTCCCAGAACACAATTTAATCCCAAATGAGAGTGAATTAGCACAAGAATCGCATAATTGATAAAATCTCGCATTCTGATGAACGAAGCATTTAGCATGGAATTGCGAATTGAAAACGAGGCTAAGTAGTATTGTTTCGCATTTACGTAAACATAACAACTATCGTCAATTTGTAACAAAGTTTTCTACAATGTCATTTTGAAGTGTTTTCGAACCATTGTCACCATTTGAAGAGTAAAAAGCAAAGTGAGCCAGAGGTTCTTCCCTCTTTTGAAATGAACTACAAATTCTTGGAGAGGCGTAAAAAACCTATTTCGCTCGCGACAACGAGAAAGCAAGAAAATCCTATGAACACGCCTGGCCCAGAAAATGTCAAGCAAAAGTTCAACCAAACAAGACGAAGAAGTGACAACGGAAGAAGTACCAGGGTCGATAATCATATATACAGAAGAAGAAATAAATACCTTTAAGCGTGATGTTAAACTTTCGGTGCTTTCGCTTGGACACGTCATTTCTTTCAGTTTTGCCACCAAAGAGGTAAAAGGTGTAAATTATTTTCCTTCTCGAGCAAATGATTTGGAAATTTGAAAAAATATGTTAAAGATAAACGACTTATAAATTCAGTGAAATACCACTGTAATCCCTAAGATATTGTGAAGCTTGTTTAAAAAGTTTGAAAACAAGTATAAAAGCAAGCACAAAGTACAAATAAGTTTCGAAGATTCAAACGTGAACGACTGACCTTGCTTCCTATTCGTTAACGCAATGCCAGTTCTGACAGTTAACTTTGAAATGGCTTTCTAGGACGCGCGCTCACGATAAAAATAAACAATATTATTACTTTCGTACAAAAGGTTGTGGTTATTCATCGTGGTGAATAACAATAAAAGCTAAGTTTTCCGTTTGTAGGTTTACAGGATTCCCTGTTATTCGGTAAGGTATACATCGGAGTTCCAGTCTCTCCTCTAATCCCGGGTGCTCCAACGGACCCTTTGTCGCCCTTGTCGCCTTTTACTCCCTGAGGTCCCACAGGTCCTCTTTTGCCACTGGCACCTGGAGTCCCGATAGCACCCGAAGGGCCTCTTGAGCCGGTTTTACCTGTGGCCCCTTTTTCTCCTTTGTACCCTGGATACCCATGAGCACCTGGAGGACCTGGAGGTCCTATCTGACAAATCGTGTTGTTTACACTGCAGGATTTATTGAACTTGTTGTTGATTTCCTGGCGGACTTGCTGCAGAGTTATTGTTCCTGCAGCAACACTTCTTCTCTCTCTTTGATAATCACGGATAACTGATGACACACTTCCTACTTTGTTTTCAAAACCTGTAGAAGTTACGATAACAAATATTTCTTATGGGATCAATGAAAGGATACATTTTAAAGTGCAAAGAATTAGCAGAATTGATGTAGTCGTTTAATAATCGATGTTTACGGTGAAGAGAAAGAAAAGAGAAAATAAAGACAAACGAGAAATACGCAAATGTTAAAACATTCATATGCTCAAAAAATCGGTGCAAAAATGGACAACTCAATATTAAATGGAGTCAGAGTTAAAGTTTTTACTTCTATAGTTTTGTTGCAAAATAGCTCGAGGACTGTCTGAAGCTGCCTTTGGTCTTAAGAATTGGCCTTTGGTCTTGAGATTTCAAGCAAAGCTCGTTGAGCATCGCGGTCAAAATCCTGTTCGCCAAAATACAGGTAACAATTTCTACTGTCGTCAAAATTTTGGTGATGATCGAACACATTAGTCTAAGAGAATGAGAATGTATACTGCCGTAATTCAGAAAGAGAAGGAGTCATAATTTCGATTTGGTTCAACAAAATGTTACCTGATCCAATCTGCATTCTTCGGTGGCTTGACGCACGAATGCATGTCACCCTTCGTTACCGTAATGTGAAAGCAGATGTTTTCGATAACCATTCAGTTTCTTTAGTAAAGCGAAACAATAACAAAAACGTTCACTTGTTGAGTACCTTAAGCGTTTTCTTTCGCGTAAAGCTTGTGAAAAAAAGAAAATAACTGAGATTTTAAGCGTCAGTTGAGTTTGACCTTTTCCAAAATACCTTTGGTAGAAGGATAACATACAAATAAAATACAACTTAAGATAGATTTTCGCTCTGCCCTATTTCACAATCAACGGCAGTAGAACATAGCGAGTATTCTGTTTGTAGAATTGAGAGGAAAACCGACGAAAATATCATTTTGTGCTGTGATGCACTGTAGTGTTGGCTATTAAAAAAAGCTAACAGAACTGAGGTACGTATAAGCAATGACTTACTAAAGATAATATCACGCCTTTCCTTTCTCCTTGTTGTGGATGCAGTTTCATAAATTTGTAACCTCTTCTTCACTATTCTCTCTATGTTAGTTCTCAGGTCATCGTCAATCCGCTGAATTCGGTTTTCAAGCCTTGTTTCCAGCGCTTTCGAATTGTTTTACACAAACTCGATCCTCATAAACAACAATGTCACAAGAGGCAAAGAAGTCACTGAAATAGCCACGGAAATTCTGCTGATCTTTTCACTAGATTTCGAGCGGACATTCCCTTTTGCATCCATTTCCGTGTTGGCGATCTTTAAAACAAGAGGAATATGGTCTGTTCGCGGGGACTGATGGGTTAGGGTTAGCCTGACCCTAAGCAAACGCAAGTTAAGATTGAACTTCCCTTTCAGCGCTAAGCTGTTTCAGTGTACCCCGTGATATCTTATAATATCACTTACACAGTTTTTAGACAACACAGAAAAAATTGCTTAAGAAGAGGTCTTTGACCGAGTTTTTTTGAGTGCAGGGGTTGTAGTATCCAGTCCACCGCTCCGACAATTGTAGTTCGGTTTGTGCATGCGTATACCGTTTTGGAAGAGAACGCCACGTGTTTTGACAATACGCCACGTGTTTTGACAATACGTCAGCTTTTTAAACTTCTCGTAGACAGATTAACCCTTGAAGCTAGGCTGATTTATTATTAAGACTGCGTAATAAGACTTAAATGAGGTTAAAAGCTCAACACTTGTCTTGGAATGAATATAATTTCTTCTACAAAATGTTTTGGGGATGACCTTAAGCATGAGGCTTCGCCCTGAAGTTTTTCGCACGTTGGTTTTGTTCCCGAGAAAAACGATGCAAGAAATCTAAAAAAGGAATCGCAAATGAAGGCGGAGTTGAAGGCATTAACTAGGCTATCAAATTTGACTGGAACTTTCAAAAATCATCTTACTCTACACGAAGCACTACAGCAAATGTTCTTTGTTTTTCAAGTGTATCTTGATTGTATATCCTCGAGCATGGAAAACGCGACTAACCAAGTGGTGTCCAACTTTCTAATTTTACATCTAGTTGGTTTAAAAGAAGAGAAATTCTGGATTACTTTAAGCTCGCATTTGAAGTTTGCTTTAGGTCACCGGCAGTCCCAGGCTGGCGATATTCATAAACTAAGTGTCATTATTACAGTTAAAGTCGTATTTACGCTTTTACTTATCGTGTCGCCGTGTCGAAGCTATAACTTTAACTGGACTGAACGTGAACGCTTCATGCGGATACCACCTTTGAGCTGCAATTCGTCTTTTTCAGCGGAGAAGTCCAGTCACTGATGTTTGTTAAGGAACAAGATGTATCAAGCGTTTGTTAAAAGGAATAGAAAGATTTGACTTTCGTATGCAATTTACCTGAATAAGAGGTTTATTGGTAAATCATGAAGTGTCAAAATGAATCCAACGAGCGCTTTCTGTTGTAAAAACGGTAGACACACTCTCTCTCATATCTACGCTGTGCGTAACTGTGGGATCCTAATTTCACAAATATTGAGTGAGCTGTAGCATTTTTTCCCTTGAATTGGATCCACGCATGCCCACCTCAAACTGCTATCTTAGCATTTCTTCAAATTCAGGTCGCCCCACAAGTGAGCTATAGATTCTTGCTAATAATTAGGGCCTGCTCGTAACCATAGAAACGTTGCCCTCATCTGGAGATTTTCATTAAATGACGTTGCATTTTGAGCAAATTTGCGCTTTTCTCTCCCCATTCCCCTTCAAATCTCTTGATATGTCACGCAACGCTTTAGGAGATGCGTGACAACAAAAAGAAATAGCAGCGAAGAAGCTAATCCCTTACGAGTATGCGGTGTTGATTTTCGTGAAAGATCAAAAGCAGTCTTCGATCCTTCGCATATAAAATGGTAGGTGAGTTTCGAGGTCTCTCATTCCATCTCACCCTCCTTCCCAAGGGGCTAGCTGGAGATTACGTCCGTATGCGTCGATAATTTCCGTCTTGAGGAGGACAAAACAATAGATAGAAACTTTAATTTGCTTCCCATTACAGCTTGGTTCCTTATCAGCTCTGAACAGAACATGGGCATATTCGTGGCATTTTTACGGCTTCCTATTTATTTGACAACAGATGTGTTTAAACAGAAACAAATGGGGTTCAACCTGGCTAAAAGATTCAAGGAAATATAGTATTTCGATGTACCGGTCAAATATATTGTTTTTCCTTTTAAAATATGTCAAGTTTTCGCCCAGGAGTTTCGTTTTATTTTTAGTTTTAGGTAGAATTATTTATGAAAGAGAAGTATTTTTGAAATGGATTGATCAGTACGCGTTTTTCTTTGAGGGGGTCTATCCTTAGATCAAAGAATGTCGTGCGGCTTTAAAGATATTGTTTTGATTTCCCTTTAAAGTACTTTGCATGATACACAATTTGAGTGGAATTATGAACATTGAAAACAATCTGGAATCGTCTCTCGGATATTTTCTGGCGAGGGTGGGTTCTGCATACATTGTTTCTTAAAATGCGATATCTTCTTTCTGTTCAGTTTTAAGCGATTTGACAGTCCGCAATGCCTGAGGGCAAATAACCCCTTAGCGAAATTTAATAAACGACATCAATCAACAAAGCCTTTATCACAATTCCTCAACAATGCATTGGTGCTAGCGAGTGTTACAAAATGCCAGTCATGTAGTGATGAACAATGTCTCTCCAGTGACATAAGCCCGACAGACACTGAAGGTGTTATGTTACTAATTCAATTCGATAACAAAGGGCGAGGCTTCTCATTGGTTCGCTTTGTATACTGCCGTCGTGCGAGGCGGTTAATTTCAGTGTTTGATTGACAGGCCTGTTTCCGCAAAGTAAACCGACCATTCCTATGCCCTTTGGTCGTTGTATTCAAGTTTCGTTCCAAAACAACAACGTGAAGAACGCGCACCTTTCAGATTTACTGAGCAAATTTGACGGCAAACTATGAGTTACATCTATAGATTATTCATTTTGAGCCTCGCGCTTCACACTTCGCTAATAAGCGACAAAATGACGGAAGCATCGTCAGTTGCGAAAAACGGAACCACTGCGAAGGAACATGACAGTGAAATCTTCAGTCGCCATCCTTTCCCTCGCCGAAAGAGAACTCCTCAGCGTCACAACCATCACTCTTCGCAAAAAAAGAGAGAAAAAACTACGGAGACCACATCGGTCCTTAAAAACGGCAGCACTTCGGGAACGCTTCAACGCGAAATTCTGAATCTCCTTGGTTTGCCCCGTCGGCCGCAGCTAAGCCTAAATACTCGTCTACATGGCCGAAAAATGTCTGCTCCAAGGTATATGATTGACCTATACCACAGCTTAGAAAGCAACGTGAGCTTGTCGACCGACGGTTTGTTCTGCTGCAATGACTCTGTGACAGATTCCCGAGCGTTGGGTGCTGACACGATTATGAGCTATCTTAACCACGGTAAGTCGATGTCTGCCAAGACTTCGTTTACGTACACTTCACGAAGGCTTTATTGATTACAATCGATAGATAAACATTGCAAATTGCATAATTGCTCTTAGGAAGTAGTGTATTTTCATGTGGCTCGGGTGCGCATTGTTTAACACAACACGAACATGTGTATAAACACGAGAAATGTACTAAAGACATCGCTTAGGAACTTATTAGGAAAGGTTAAAGTTGTGCGCCAAGTCTGGAAACAATTAATTATGGTAACTGCTGAAATAGACATCTAACTGGAGTGAAATCTACAACAAAGCTTTTTAGGAGTAATTGTTAAGTTCCCAAATTAAGAAAATTTCCTAATTATAGAAATTGCTGAAACAATGTTCAAGGTTATTGCGCCAAATATCACTCTTAGCACGTTCACCAGAGATAAACACGCGCTTTTGAATTTTAAAAATGACTTAAATTTATTCCAGTCTGCTTAACTTGCCTAATGTTTTTTTCTTCCCCAACGGAAATTCAGCAATGTCAAGAGAACTTTAATTAGCACTTTACGGATACTTTACAAATTAACGCAAACCTCGGAAACGTTTTGCAATATTTGCACCTTTTGTAGATATTTCTGTGCCAAAACGGCCGTATGTAGATCGAAGTTTGTAGAATAAGCGATATTGCTGCCCTATTGAACACTCCTCAGGAAAGGCATAGTTGATTATATAACGGTGATTTATAATCGAATCGGAAAGCGTAGGGAGAAAAAATGTTATCCATTGTTCTTTCTTTGAAACAAGAACGTCTTCCAAGCCAATACAAGACTGAAATAACTGAGTTAGGTTTTCGATAAGAAATCTAATGTTGGCATTTGGAGAGTGACTTCCACGTCAGATAAAATCAGTTTTTAATGGGGTTCCTCTTTATTTTAGACAACAAAATATCATCTCGTGTTATAAAGTCGATTTTTTATGTCATTGTTGCCGAGGTCACATTACTTAGCTGCGCTCTTCTCTAAAACTCCCGCTACGATTTTTTTGTCGGCTCAATAATATCCCACATACTGAGATGACTGGAGTTTCTCCAAAATCTCCTTACCTGCTTCCTCACTGTTGTGCTCACAACGAAAGGAGAAATACGATTTGCATAGCGAACAAACAAGCTTAACAGACATGATTAGAGGTCTTTGTCAAGTTTAGATCTTGTTGAAAATTGCGGTTGGCTTTAAATAATGTGGAAACACAAAAGCCGTCCTTGTTAAATGATTATCTGTAATACTAAAAAGTGAACAGTGGATCATTTAATTGCTGGTATCCATTGAGTGTCAGCGCCAAAACATCGCTTAACTTTTCAACGTACGAATATAAATATAATTTCGTTGACATTCCCACCATGAGTTTCTTTACGTCTGTGAGTTAAACTGTAAGCAAAACAAATTTATTTTATAAATATTTAAATTCGAAATTTTCAGTAGTTGGGGTATAACTTTTTCAGTCAAAGAGAAATTACGCTTTTTTATTACGCGCGTTGTTCGTCGTTCTGATCAGATATTGTTCTTTACAATAAGCTTTATTCTTTAGTGTGAATCAAATTTGGAAGTTTTTTCTGGCAGAAGGACTTCGTAGACTTCCTTTCTGTTTTCATTTACGCTTTATATTTCCAATAATCTGTATTTCCTGACCAGACAAACGGGAGCTGTGTAGAATCCGTCGTTAGTTTGCCGTGACGTGCTTTTATCGGCCAAAATATGACAAACATGCTTCATAAGAACTTATCTTTAAGAATGTACATCCATCAATTTGAGAGCGTATTGTCTTGGAGAGAGAAAATATCTGACAAATAATCTCAAAATACGCATGATACTTAAGAAGTACTTTCTAAAATTCGATACTAGAAAGAAAAAATGTCATTCCGAACATTACGGAAACGAAAATTCCCATACAAAGTCCTGTTTAGTGACTCTCATTTGACTGTTCACTCTAAAGTTTATTCAGACTAAAAGGCGAGCTCTACCTGAGAAAGTGTAACTAGCAGTACTATATGAAAGTATTGTTCTGTGGGTAACTTTCGTAAAAAAGATCGTACGTCAAGGTGTTTTCCGCAAACTTCTGTTCCTGCCAAATCGTGTTAACCTAAGTGCAAACGCTCTTTCGGAAAAAGTGAAAGGAAGGGTTCGTGAAAGATGGCTGCCTATAGCTTGATCGAAGGAAAAATTGACGAATTAAATGACAAACTGAAGGAAAGAAATGTACTTGATAATTCCGAAAGTAAGTGAAATTCTGGAGATTGCTGTGGGCTTGCGATTCCAGAGAAAAAGAGAACAAGAGAGAACTTTGTAAGATTGTAAGATTTGCTTGACCGGCGAGGACTTAAAACAGCCTTAACTGATCAGCGTCAAAGTGTCCACACCTGTAAGATAATCTGTTTGTTTTGGTTTATTATGAGTCTTAAACCTTAAATTAACAGGATGGACGAAAGCCTGAATTTGACAAAAAGGAATTTTTTTTGACAAGCTAGAGTGATTTACGATTTCAAACGCCGTTTTATGCCAACAGAGTAAAGTTGAGTCGTTATTTTCAAGTACCATCAAAATTCAATCCCCAATTTAATTTTTAGCGGCTTTGCATTTTCTCGCTGGCATTTTTTGGCTTATCTGTGTTCTTGTTTCAAGTTCTTCTTAATTTTTAAGCCTTTTTTGTATTGGGATCATTTGATCAAGCCTGAAATTGCCTAAAAATTTTTCTTCTATCCCTCTTGAAATCGCGACGCGAAAGTTGGCATGAAACCTAATTGCAAGAAGCTTTGTTAAATCGCACGTCGTTCTGGGGAGGAATGTTCGGACCAGAAATGGTGGCGGATGACCCTACCAACTGAACGGGTCACAAATTGTTTTCCGTTTTCCTTGAGCTGCTTTGGAGTGATGACAGAACGAAGATGAGTCAGGAAATTTCAACAAAACGCGACATTTGGCAAGTCACGCGATGTGAAAGCTCGATCTTTTTATCTCTGGGAAGAAAAGACCTACGAAATCCCCTGATTACCAACGGTTTTTCTTTTGTCGGTTTGTTGGAGGATCCTTTTAAACTCGATTTATATTCATGTTCTTTTAGTGCTCTTTGGTAATTAAGTTCGCACTCGAATACTGATCAAGAAATTTGATCAAAAGAAGTGTAAGGAAATTCTTGATGAAGGATGGCGGTGATTTTATCATTTATATCTGATTGTAAATGCTGCAAATCGTTTGTTATTTGATAAATCTACTACTGATGCAGCAGAATGAATGAGTGAATTTTTTAAACAAAGGGTGAAAAAAAAAGGTACATTTCAAATTACGCTATGGGTTCCTCTCAGTTTATGGAGCGAAGTGAACAAAGCAGGGTGGCAAACACGCGAATGCGCGTGAAACTCACCTCGTGCGCGCACGGCCGCGACTTCTTTCTCGCGAGTTATCCTTAAAGAATTGATCACTGTGGAAAACTAAAGACCCCGTCAGGATCAGGGTTGGGGTCATACTTGAATTGAATTCAAAGTGGATGCCTTAATCTAACCGGCCAGGGTTATAGAGATTAGAAGATTAGGTTTAAGGTAATTATGTCCTTGCTTCTGATTGAGTTTACTTGCAGCCACGTCTGTCAACAGACACAAACCGGACGGTCTGCGCGTTCTTGTCCAGTTATGTTTGTTTGTTTGTTTTTTTTCTTTGCACTGTCTCAAGAGATGTACTTTTTACCAATTACCGGCTTCTTCTATGGCAATTTCCTGTTCGATAATCGTTTAATCGTTACATGAATGAGTGCGAATGATAGTCGGCCTCTTATCTTTCGGGGTGACGATTTGCCATATCCCCTTGGTTTGAAAAACAGGCTTGACTTGGACAATGTTGGCGCTCAGATATTGCATTTGCCTTTTACAGAGCGGAATCAGAAAAAATGTTAATCTTTAAATGACAGTGAGACCAAAATAATTGAGCTTTCGGCCTTTTCTTGTATGGTGTATCGATTTTGAAAGGCAACAGAAAGAAGAAGTCGCCTAACATGAATGATTAATGCACCGTATAGAAATTAAAATGTAAACGGTGTGACGCAGATTATATCCGTCACACAACACGGTAATTTTACCTTGGGTATAAAAGAAGAAAACTTTCACAGCACTCGGGCAACATCTAGAGCAACACCGACTTTCAAAGTCGGATTTGAAAGACAAACATTTTCTGTGTTGGACAAATGCAAGTCAAAATTGTATTTTTTTATGTTTTCATCCTTCAGTCAGAAACCCGCAAAGACTCTATTCGTGTTAAACTCCTTCTGTGACTCAGCGGACGTGAATTTTACCGCGGAATAAACATTTTACAAATCCATTATTTTTGTTTTCTCTTTGAAATTGGTTTACATTTATATTCAAACCCAATTTCGTTCACTTTTGACTTGGTAAAGCAAACGTCTAAACCGTTTACATTTTTACAACTTCTTAAACTAAGTCGCTCTTCGCTTTTATCGTAATGTTTTACAATCAAGTTGTTAAGCAAATCTATTTTACATATAATTATCACAATTATTATTAATAGTTTCAGTTGTTCTTTAATCGACAGTCAGGGGAGCGCGGCCAAAAATTTCCAAGAGGCATTCTACATTTCGTTTCAAAATGGAAACTCCACAGGGAGAAAAGATCACAGCAGCAGAGTTTCGGATTTATAAAGAACCGATTTCCAATGGACACAGAGTTGTCTCCTGGGAGAATTCGACATACGAAGTGAAAATTTATCAGGTGAGAAACATCACAATTCTTTTCAACCGGGCATATACTCCTAAAATAGATTTCAATTTGTCGAAGAAGACAAAAGTGACACAATCATCTTTAATTGGCTGCCATAACTCCTGATTGCTGCGGAGGGATTCGCACACATTCACGGAATTTGTGTGAATTTACATGTAGTTGGAGATGAAACGCTGTAGCGTTCTTTTCTTGTTAGCTCCTGTACCTCAGTCACACTTGCCAGATTTTTTCACAGACCGTACCAGCTGACATACATAACTACAGCAGCAGACACACTTACACGTTGTTCAGCAGCCTTTTTCAAACGTTACTCACCCTTGAACCTGAGGGGAAAATGCGCTAACAACAATTTTGTCGTTGATTCCCTGGCTTATACTAGTTTGATGTTTCTTTTCTGCGTTGTATACGTATTGCTTCGTAAAAAGAGCACAAATGATGCATTCTGATAGCCAGTTGTTGCAGCATAAACAATAGCAGCTACTGACTACATTGCATATGCTGTAGAAGTTGAAGTCGGCTGCATTGGATTTTGACCATCATGCTCGTGGGACTTAACTATTGCTATTCTCTCAACTACAGGTTATTGAGCCTGCAAGAATTCTCAAGGAACTGGGCAAGCGGGTTCTTCGAAGCTGGGAATCTGGATGGCAGGCTTTTGACATCACACGAGCAGGACAGGAGTGGGCTCAAGAAATCAACAAGAACTATGGAATTGAACTCTCTGTACACACGTACGCAGGGGTGGAACTAAACGCCTCAAGCGTTGGCTTTGTGGGCTTCCATGGCCCACAGGAGAAGCGTCCGTTTTTGGTATCATTCTACCGTCAAGATGGCGAACAGAAACTGACCTATCATCGTATTTTCAATCCGCATCCACGCCGGCGCCGCTCAGCCCGCTCCCTTGGACCGCAGTTCACAAACGTAGGAGGGAACTTCAAGACCTCGAGTCAAACAAGCTGCAGCCGGAGGATGCTGTACGTCAGTTTCCAGCGGCTTGGTTGGCAAGACTGGATTATTGCGCCCGAGGGTTACTCGGCGTTTTTCTGTTACGGTGAATGCTCGTTTCCTTTAAGCGCTCATATGAACGCCACCAATCATGCCATTGTTCAAACGCTGGTACATCTCATGAATCCTACAGTTGTACCTCAGCCCTGTTGTTCTCCCACCAAACTCTCCGCCATCTCGGTCCTGTACTTTGATGACAGTAATAACGTAGTACTTAAAAAGTACACGAACATGGTCGTGAAAGCTTGTGGTTGCCACTAGCAACGCCAACACGAATTCTTTAATCTCACGTTAGCTTGTGCTCTATGTAACCGTCTCTCAACGTTTTTGCATGTTTTGACACAGGAAGCGGAGAGCGGGCAATTGAAGAAAGCTAAATTTCCAATTGACACGCGTTTGAGCAAACACATTGGGATACCAAAGTCCTTTACATGACTCTTCTCGCAAATACATATCACTAATATATTGTGGATGGCCGACGTGTGAGATATGAACCTCGTTGCTTAAACTATAACATAACTGCCATATTAACCCTTTCATTACGCTCGATTTCCGCCGTTATCTTGAGTGCGGACTGCGATCAGGTGTATAAGCGCATTCCTCGGACAAGGGCCGTTTATCGATCCTATCCCTATTACTCTCTGAAGCTGAGCACAAATTTTTTTCCCAGGGTTCTTTCTCTTATTCCCTCGACAGAGAGGACCCTGAGAAAGAGATTAGAGTGAGAATTTGATGATCAAATTATACACTATACTTTTTATCAGTTTACATCACCTATAAACCACGCAGGATATTCATGGAACATGACAAAAGTTTTCACAAGCATTTGAAATGTTCTTCCAACATCCAAGATACTTAATTCTGCCGGCAAGCCGATTGACGGTACAGTCTATTACCTTTGTAAAGTAACTACAAAATATTTCAGTTTTCAATGGGTTCTCCAATAAATGATAGGTTTTTGACCAATCACGGCCGGCGTTATAACATGGTCATTGGATAAATTCTACTTACGATTTTAAGATTTGGCAAGCAGACAAGTTTTTAGAATTCAGAAAATTATCAGCCAAGAGATATTACGTAGATGCAACACTAAATTCTCAATCCAATCCAAAAGAGAGATGTTAGTCAATGGTACAGAGAAGTCTCTTTCCGATCATAGAGTAAGACGATTGAGAATAAGTGTGAGATCAGACTTCTGTTGGGGGGGGGGGGTATTGTTCTCTTTTGCAATGGAGTGCATTGTTGTATTCCCATAACAATTTCAATTTTTAGATATCTTGTCTCAGCAAAGATATTATTTAAACGATTATTTGTGAGCAAATCTAACGCTATCATTCAAGCTGTTGTTAGATTCTCTAAGTTAACCCTTAACACCCCAACATGAGCGTGCATATTCTCCAAACTGTTCAATATATGTCCTTGGGGTTTTGACAAAAAGGAGAATTTGTTGAACACCAAGAGCTCGTTTCGTTGGTGATCATTTCCTATATTCCCATTCAGTAATACTGTAAGAAGAAATTAGCTGCTGGTCTCTACTAGGGTCTCATTGGTTAACCCTTTAACTCCCAGAAGTGATTAACATGCAATTTCTCCCTATAGTATCCATAAATTATCCGGCAAACAGGTAATGAGGTTACTCAAACTAATCGGGCACAAGATATTATCATGATTGAACACCAAATTCTCGTAACCAATTTACAAGGAAATGTGTAACAGCTAGAGGAGAGAATTAATAATCACATCTTGGGAGTTAAAGGGTCAACGAGATTCTCATTTTTCGACAAGCTTACTCGTGATGTAGACATGAAAGTTATAGTGGTTGGTTATTAGGGACGTTTGGCACAGAAATGTTTCCGACGCAAACGGAAGCCGTACGTTGAAAGATCCTTTCGCTGCAGCTTACTGCATATGTTTCAATGAAGGTGTTAAGTCTAAAATGCTGAAACAAAAGTGCAGCGACAGAGCACGCCAGAGGAACCCAGGCTTCTCCTTTCGGTTGTCACCTGTCCAACGAACGAGTCGAGTAACACAACATCGGAGATGGCTGAACTGAACCCGTACTCAGTCCTATTGGAACCTGCTAGTCACTAGTCTCTTAAGGCGTAGTTTAGGATGTGATTTCCAATGGTGGGTCTGTAAGAGAAAGAGTTACATGGGATCTCTACACTTCACTTCGATAGAACTGCAAGCTTCTTAGGTAACTTGCGCATTCCTTCAGCGTACTTTGTCATTACAGAAGTTTTTTAAGATTGTTCTCGTATGAATGAATTTTTAGAACCCGTAGTCAATCGATGTACGATCGAATGTTACATTGCGTAATCAATATACATAAGTCTCTAAAGTATTCCAAAGTTTTGTTGCTTCTTTGATGAATGATTTTTCCTTAAAGCACTGAACTCTACGGCTCTGAAAGTTTACTTGTGGTTTGGTCCGCTTTTTTTTTTCTGTCTAGACTGCTAGCATTGTGCGTTTTCCCCTCAGTGTAAGGCGAGACCTTCAGGCAGGAAGAAATTTCATAGCTCAATAGCCTGCGTTTGTTGTCCTTACACGCTAACAGGATCGTACAAGAAAAGCGAAGAAACAAAGTGATCTCTTTTGTATGCAAAGGACGAACCTTTCGCTAACACAATTTTCACTTCAAAAAAAATACACCCATATCCGATCTGGTGAAAGGAGTTTTTTCCGAGTATCTCTAGAAAAAGTAATCCCTTATCTAACAGGAAAATACTGCAGACCCTTCGATTGAGCGGACGGGAAAAAAAGGAAAAAGGGGTGCTTTGAGCGCAGGAAAACGTTATTGACCAGTCTGCGAGTGGTTTTTAGTTTTCGATGTGATTTGTCAGAAATGGGGCGAGAGTTCCCGTGACTGACACGAGAACTCTCGAACGGGCAATGTGGAGACGAGTCTCTCCCCAGTCTATCTCGGTAGAATAACAGTCTTACTCTTATAAAGTACCAACCAAGCAGAAGAGACGCTGACCATATTCTCCGCAAACCAACATGGCGTCCAAGCGAGTATTGCCAGTTGGGTTGCAATCGGCTCTTCCTGTAGGCCTTTCAGCAGCGATGAGGGAAGATAAAAAAAACACCAGACCAACAAATGTTCAACAGTTAAACGAAATTTCCATAACTGCACAAGGATTACAAACGGTTGAAGAAATTATTAGCAAAGCGACCTATTTGTTTCGATGTTTGCAAGAAAAGAACATGGTTGTGGACGACAAGTCTAAACAAGAAGCGCGGAATAACAACAAAAAAGTACAAGATACGTTGAATAGTTTGAAGGAGCTGTTCTCTCGCCTGAGGGTTTTCTACGATGAGAGTAACAGAAGGATAGAAATCCCTAATGGGGAAGATTTGGAGGCGAGTTGTTTTTGTGTTGTTGATGTTGTTGCTTTGTTCTGGTAGTTCTCTTTCGCTATTTACTAATGTTGGCTTTTTGTTTGAAAAAAAGACTGCAATTATTAATAAGTCTGATGGTTGTTTGTATTGTAGGCGTTCATACTTGCAGCGTTATTACTGATCAAGTTTAAAAAAAGAGAAAGAGCTTTCTCAATTCTGTCTTTGTATTCAATGATATGAGGTAACTGGTTGTCCTGCTACTTCCCCTATATCCTTGATAAAATGATGTCCTATTCTTTGTCAGTTGGCTTGTTATTATTTACACCACTGGGTGTGAGATTGATGGTAAACTAAGCAATATGATGTGAATATGCACAAGGGCAGTAAAAAATTCTCAACTCTCTCATTTAAAAGTGCATGGCATAATGATTTTTCCTCTAGGCTCTGATTCCCTTGAGAACTTCAGAGGAAGATTCTGACATGGACACATCCAATGATTCAACGGCACTTGGAATTGAGCATGATACCCTTCAAGAGGTAATTTCATCTTTTGAACCCTAGGAGTGACTTATCATCAGCTTCTATTTCTATTTTCAATATTGCCCCTAAATCAAACATTAACCCTTTAACTCCCATGAGTTACCAAGATAGAATTTCTCCTTACATTATCAATACAAAATCAAAAAGACAAGTGATGAGAACCAAGAAAAATATCAATTAGGGGAATATTAATAGATCCAATACCAAATTCTCAGAAGTAACATCTGAAGAATTGTATAGTAGACAGGAAGGAGAAATACTAATGTGATCTTGGGAGTTAAAGGGTTAAGGTCATTTAAATAGAGGAAATGATGACCACCTAAAGAAGCTCTTGATTGAAGATGAAAGTGATCTTTGCAGTAATGAACACTACTTAAGTGGAGATGAAAATAAAGCCAGAAAAAAACTCAGGCCTGTATAGGAGTTGAACACATGACCCCTGCAATATGAAAGCATGAAAAATAAAAAGGATGAGTCCAATAGATCGCAAGTGAGAACCAATCAGAATGTGTGCATAACTGTGCTTATTATATAATAGCTGATATACCTTAAACATTCAGCCTGTGTTTTGACAGGGGTGGGTTTTTGTGTTCTATGGTTTCAAGTAGGTAGACCTGCTAAGTACAGAGACATAAGTTTACTGGGTATACAGATTTACGTAAAACAGCAGTATCCACCTACAAAATTAATGAAAACTTCTCTCTCCCAGTTTTTTTGAGTGGTACTGATAGTTTTTTTCCAACTTGAAACAATAAGTTGGGAGAGGGAAACCAGGCTCACTGCATAACATTTATTGGCCAATCACAATATTTATCCAAAGAAACACAGTTGTGGGAAAAGTGTCATCGTCCTTAACATAGCTTTACTGGTTATTGGCATTATTTGGAATGTTGACATACAGTGTAATAATTGCACTCACAGATTTTGGTCTTGATTCTTCTTCAACAGAAACTGAGAAGCAAGAACCAGGAAATAAAAGAACTTATAGATAAGCTGAGAACTTTGATATGGGATATCAACACCATGATGGCTTTAAAACCAAGCTAAAACATCAGTTGTGCTTTATTTGTACAAAGAAATAGCAGCCAATGTCCAACCAAACCCTTTCCTTCCCCAAGATACTGATTTTTAATTCTCATCAATGTCTGCCATACATTTCTGAAAATCTTACTTTTGCGAATATGGTGTTTATTAAAGCACTATCCCTTTAGTTGATATTTTTCAATCTTCTCACCACCTGACTGCTTGCTAGTCCACCAATATTATAAGGAGAAATGTATTTTTGGTCATTCAAAGAGTGAAAGGGGTTACCTATGCACTTTCAGACTTCTAAAGGAAACTTGAACATATCATTACCTGCAAGGAGCATTTGAATTTGAAAATAAATGGAAACCTTTAGGCAGGGTTTGCAATGAGAAATGTAACAGTTAAAGAATAGTGTAAAGTAACTGGAAAAAATCCACCATATTGGACTAAAACAACAATCAAGCCATTAACTTTGCATTAAAGAATTGTTCTTTGGAGTATGATATGTAGACATGTACTTCTTTATGAAACATGTTACCTTTCTGGGTATAACTCTGCCATGATAAAAACATGAATTGTATCCAGTTGTGGTTTTCATGATGTTTTAAACTCTGGTTGTGTGTGACTTCTTTCAAGTCTATTTAAGTCACCTCCAAGTATAGGTGGATAAATGTAGCAAGAGAATCAATTCCAGTGAAATTGTCTTCAGAAACAAGTGTATTTATTTAACTCTATAACTCCCAAGATCTGATCAGTAATTCTCCCTTGTTGCTTCCATACTTTTCCTTTGAAAGTGAGTTAAGAATTTGGAGGTAGGTCAAGTTATTACCCTCTAGTTGATAAGTTTCTCTTTTTCTCATCACCATAAGGTTTTGGGGAGAATTTAAAAGTTCAACACCTCTAGAAGTTATAGTTTTAACGTCAGTTGAAGCTAACTATTTGAATATCGATGTCACATTCAGTGCAACCTGAGGAAAATTAGATTAATTTTTGTTTTCTGTCTGCAATTGTTAATGTGGTAAATTTACCACTCTTCCCCATCCTCTCCATCTGGGTTTCTCATAAATATTGCCCCTCTTGTGGTTTTCTATCTTGCAAGACAAACTTTACATCTGCGTCAGTCTTGTCCATCCTTATTACTTCTTGGATTATTTTTGTCCCTTTTTTATTTTCCTGTCTTACCAAACTAATATTTATGGTCTCCTTCAAGCTGAAATTAGTCTTTTCAAAGCACGATTGGAATTTACAATTCGCGTTAATATTAACCACCTTGGCTCATATTTGATTTATTCTTATCCAACGCTTTTTATCTAACTTCGCAATCGACTATTCCAATCGTTAATTCTAGTGAAACACTTTTCACCTTGACGCTCAAAACAGTGAAATAGCCTCCTTAAAGTTTCTCCTCTTGCACAAATGTCAGTGACCTACTAGAAACCTCAGTCACAGTGAATTTTTTGCCCTGTCTCTTCATTTTATGCGATTCAATGATGATATCATGTCGTCTGTCTTCGTAATCTAGAATTGCTAAAATGGCCCTCATCTGCTCATCTGCGTGGAAGTCGATCATATAGTAGAAGAAAGCATCTCGTAGAAATTTCAATTTAAGCTGCGTCTGCATTTCTCTCTGAGTCTGTTTGTGATTCTTAGGTGATGCACTTCCGTTCGGTAACTGTGGCATCGTGGCCAAAATTTTTTGCTCGCTGCCCAGTAATTGGTTGTTTACCTTAAAATCTGCTAACTGCTGTTCAGTTTCTTTCAATTTACGCTGCAGCTCAACTAACTCGTGCATAGAAGAACAGCAAGGTACAATCTCCTCTGGATCGCTGCTTTGCTGCGGATTTTCAAATTCTCGCAGCTTCTCTTTTAGTTCTTTGATCTCCTCTGTTAATTTTGATTTCTCTTTTTTGTCCTTACGGCATTTCTCTTCCTTCGATTCGCTCTCTCGTTCAAGCTTTTTTCTTAACTGTTGCTCTCTGTGAAGATCTTTGCGTGCTTTTTCTAATTCTTGACGTAAAGTAGCGCTCTCTTTGTCTCGTACTAATAGAAGCCTTCTCGTGTCCGTCAACGCTCGCTCCAGCTCACAGATGGTAGCTCTTAATAATGAATTCGACGTTACAGAAGCGGTGTCTGAGAGATCTTTCTTTGAAGTCAATACTCTATCATCCACTTCTTCTTTTTCTCCATCAGAATCATCATCCAAGAAATTTATCTCAAAATCATCCAAACTATTGATGGCATTGTTACCTCTCTTTTTCTCCGCTTGAACTGTAGAATTCTCCATGAAAGACTTATGCAAAAGCTATTGTGAGGAAAAATGGTAATATGGTTAACCTTAGCACGTGCCAGTCGAGTGGTTGGTATGTTGTGAGGTGGAACAAAGAGCAGTTTAAGAGACCTGTAAAACCACACGCGGTTCCTTGAACCGGAAGTACCTGTTCTAAAGTGGGATTTGTTATAAAGGACACCTGCTCACAGAACACTTCATACAACGGGTGGTTGAGTGCTACTTGAGCGCGCGCGCAGAGGAATGTCCAATGCGTGTCGGAAGTAATTCGGGACCTCTCTCATCCGTAGAGGCTTTATTGCAGATGTCCGCCGAACGCAATGACTTCTCGTGCGTTTTGCAACAGCAATAGTACAATGGGTATCTATCAGAAGAGAGAGATTCGGGATTTACTGATTTTTTTTTTTAACTGAGAAAAGTCATACTATACATCGAAACGGAGTGCGCAGGCGCCGAGTATGGCGGCCACGAGGATATTGGCTCCTCTTCTATTAGCTATTTTAATCAATTTTAAGCTTCAATGTTATTACAATATATACTTGGATGAAGACTTTGACTCTCTCAAGCCTATATGGAGAGGAAAAAGTTCGGTTGGTTGCGACGTCTTTGGAATTTCCTTCTCAGCTCGTAAGTGCTACTCAACAAGGGCGCACCGCCATGATAGACTTCGAAGGCCTATCATGAAATGGGTTAAACATGGTTATATACTGCTTGCGGCGACGGATTGCTCCCTGTTAACGATAGACATTACAGTTTTTATGGATGTGGAGACGAACCCTGGTCCTATTTCTTCAGAGAAGAGCTATGATCTACGAAAGCAAACCTGGTCTGACGAAAGTAAGATTCCATGTTATGGAAGAAACTATTTACTCGGTTTGAGAAAGAAATCTGGTAAACCTTCGAGCCCTGTCTTAGAGACGCTTAAGAAACTAAAGCTGCTCAGGTTTCGTGGTAATCGGGGAGGTTTGAGAAAAAATGTTCAGCATGTGAAGGAGAGAACTATTCAGAATATTTCTGTCGTCATTGGACGAAGGGCGGAAAGTGGGTTTGCTATTCCCCGGCTGCGGGTTGAAAAACGACGAAACCCTAGCAATCTCGTCAGTGTACCAAAACAAGTGGTGTCCCGCGAACACACCTCTGTTAGTTCTGGTCAGCTTGCTGTCCCTAAACTTTTGTTTATTAACATCTGTAGTTTGGGGAAAACAATTAGTCGGGTGCGAGCGGTTGTGGCTTTGGAGGCCGACTTAAGAAATAATGACATCGATGCTTGTGTTGTGTCGGAAACTCATTTAAAAATTGAGGTACCCGATACGGTGGTTAATATCTCGGGTTATAATATCTTCAGAAGGGATAGGAATTGGTCTGGATGCGATCTAAGGAATGGGGGAGGTGTTGCTATCTATACAAGGAGTAATCTTTCAGTTATTGATGTTTATCGTTCTAATTTATACGAGTTTATTTGCCTGACTGTGTTGCTGCCAAGTGGGAATTACATTCTTTTATCTGGTCTTTATCACCCCCCGAAAACATCATACCAGCAATGCGATTTAATGGATTATCTTCTTAATTTCTTTGACACAATGCTGGATAATCACCCAAACGCTACTATTGTTTGCGGTGGCGATCTTAATCACCTTGATCTCACGAGACTTAAACGCATTACTGGTTGGACCGCTTTAGTGGATTTTCCAACACGAGGGGATTCATTTTTGGATAATTGTCTTACAAATAGGCCAGAGCTCTTCGGAAAAGCTTTATCTATAAAGATGCTGATTAAGACGGATCACATTGGATTTATAGTTCCAGCGGGCAAGAAACTCAAGCCTATTCGTAAGAAAGTGCAATTTAGGGATTGTCGTGAGCATAGGAAGCAAGCTCTTTACCTTGCCCTCGCATCAGAATGCTGGGATGATGTTTTGGAGGCGGATAGTATCGAAACAGCTGTGAACATCTTAGAATTGAAGATCCTGTCAAATATTAACGGGTGCATGCCTTTACGAACGGTTTCCCTTTCGTCCCGTGATCCAAGTTGGATGACACCGCTAGTTAAATACATGCTACGTAGCAAGTCTCGCATCTCTGTTTTACGCACTAATAAGCATAGAGAGCTTAGTAGAAATGTGTTGAAGGTTATTGGCGAAAACAGAAGGATGCTTCTGGAGGGCAAAATGGGGAGCAGAGAATGGTGGAAAAACGTAGACTTGATATATCAACGCCGGCGGTCCACAAACGTTTCGCTGGATAGAGAGACCGCTCAAGATTTGAACGAGTATTTCGGTGACCTGTGTACGGATGGCGATTACGTTGAGCCCGCGTTACTTGAAATTGGTCCTGAGGTGAAAGTCCCGGAAATTAGTGAACGATATGTATGGAACTCACTGAGTACTCTAAAGAAGACTGCAACTGGTCCTGACCAAATTCCGTATTGGGTGTGGAAAGACCATGCGGAGATCTTCACTCCAATCATTACTAAGCTATGGAATTTGTCTCTCGCTACGCACCAATGGCCTAGATCGTGGAAAAGGGCAAGTATAAACCCACTGCCAAAAGTTGATGTTCCAGTGGCAAGAGGAGACTTCCGGGGATCAACGTAACCCCTGTAATAGCAAGAGCCCTGGAAAAGGCAGTCTATAAGATTCACGCCCAAAGGCCGGTAGAAGAACAGCTGTTGAATAGTCAATTCGCGTATAGAGAAGGAGGGAGCTGCACAGATGCTCTGCTACTTATACAGAATAAGATCTGCAAGTTTCTTGATGATCCCAAGTGCAAGGCAGTGCGGATGTTCGCGATGGATTTCAGTAAGGCCTTTGACTCTGTGAGCCATCAACTCCTTGCTGAGAAACTTAAGAGTCTACCACTTAACCCGTATATCATAAACTGGTGGTTAGGTTTTTTGCGAGATAGAAAACAAAGAGTTATTTTCGGGAATCATGTCTGTAATTGGAAAACAGTTAACAAGGGCACAACCCAGGGTAGTGTTTCAGGACCTTATTTGTTCAATATATTTCTTAACGATCTGGAAATTAAATTAGGGAACGAGACACTTGGTTTCAAATACGCTGATGACTGTACGATTATTGCTCCGGTATATTATTATAAAGATCATTCTGTAGACTTAATAAATCAGTTTTTACAGTGGGCAAGCCAAAATAGAATGAATTCAAATTCTACTAAATGTAAAGAGCTTATTATGTATAAAAAAGGTCACACTGCTGAGGCCTACAAAAGTATTTTTGGCATACCTCAGACTAGTACAATAACCATTCTTGGTCTCACGTTTCAGCCGAACTGCAAATTCAGTACTCACCTAAAAGAAAAGTTAGGTAAAGCTAATAAATGTTTATACGTTATCAGATGCCTCCGCAAAGAAGGATGTAGCCAAGCAGAAGTAGATGTTTTATTTAATTCCATTGTCCTACCTAATATTACTTATGCTCTATCTGTGCATGGGGCCTCTGAGTCAGAGCTAACTATAGCCCAGCAGTTTTTAGATCGTTGTTTTAAACGTAGTTACATATCTAAGAAATTAGTGATAGGTGACTTACTTAAAACGCAAGATCACAAAATTTGTCGCAAGGTTTCAACTATCCTGAGCCATCCTCTTAGAGCCTACTTCCCTGAGACCAAGACCACGAGGTATAATTTGAGAAATAAATCCCCTGTCATGCCCGCCATTCGCACAAACCGTTTTAAGAATACATTTTTTAATAGAATTGTTTTTAAGTACAATGTAGCTTTGTAAAAGTGTACTTCCTATATTAGACTTTTGTATTTGTTTCCACGTATATACTTATCTTATTTAGATACACCTAAGCTTATTTACATCCTTTTTTTTTTTTAATGTAACATAAGATATGTAATTTTATCTTTTGAACAATAAAGACACTTTAACCAATCAGATAATGAGATACAAGGCTAGATCCAATCCCCACCCGATTACTCTAGTTTTCCCGTCCTCCTCGAGGTCGTTTACATCATCTTCATTTTAATTCCGTATTTTTCTTTTTGATAATTTGGTGTATGTGCGTGATTAGCCATCGAGTGATCTTGATCCTCGTTGTCTGTTTTTTAGTCCTTTCCATTAATCTTCTTTTGGTTTCATTTTGTTAATTGGCAAATTTATTTTGATTTGTGGGAACCTTTTTTTTTCTTTTACGCCTGGCTCGAGACGACCGAAATGTATGGTGAGAACTATTGTTTTGCGATTTTCCGTTGCAACAGGACATTGTCAAGTGAAAGAGTGGATGAGTTAACATTTGTTCTGTATTAACAAGAAGGTTAATGCGTCAGTAGATTTTAAAAGAGAGGTGAAAAAGTTAAAGATGTTGAAATATTTAGAACATTTTAAAGTCAAAGACAAAAAACCTATCATTTAGTTCTTTTTACTTTTATTAGAGGTAATACAGGCCCGAGGTCTTTATGATAGGCCATCGTCATACATTTTAATCTGTTCTTTCCTACACATGAAGAGCAGTTTCAATTGAGTGTGGATCGTAATTCAGGATTGCACTGGTTTATACATAACCCTTTAACTCCCAGTAGTGATTAACATGAAACTTCTCCCAATAATATCCATACATTATCCAGCAAACAGGTAATGAGAATATTCAAACTCATCAGGTAAAAGCTGCTACCTTGATCTAGCACTAAGTTCTCATAACTAATTTACAAGGAAATGTGTAGCAGTTAGAGGGGAGGATTAACAATCAGATCTTGGGGGTTAAAGGGTTAACTACGCTCTAATTAGTCTAGAAAACTTGCGCCGTTCTCCCAACCAATCAGATGGAAAGTATGCATGAAGTAGTGAAGACTTCGCCACTCGCGTCTTTTCGGCGCCTCAGGCAGTTCGAGCATGACTTTTTTCCGTAGTGTGCCATTTTCTCTTCATAAATTCAATCTTTGTTCTAAATAGCCGTTGTTATTACTCGGGTCTTGGTTTTACGACACTCAATTGAAGTGCGCTCTGGAAGCAAGTCGCTAAACTCAAAGCTCTTGAGCTCTCTTGCTATTTTAAGTGTGCAGTCTACCGAACTATGTGATCTGTGATGTCTATGATCTGATACACAACATGAAGGCCAATTTTCAATAACCTAGATGTAAGGCCTTTGTCAAACTTAGATATTAACTCTTAAGATCTTGCATTCATTAAATCGTCAGGAGATCTTACTATACTAACTGTATTGTACCTCTCTACATAGCATAAATTACCTATTCCAATGTAAAAAGCTTTGCCACTTTAAGAAAGGCCTTTGTCGCGATGTTCAATGTTCTTTCAATCGACATTTTTCTTTTGGTGAATATAAATGTATCTATCCTGCCCTACCTAGCAGTCGCTTGGAGGAAACAAATATTTATACTTAAAAATATGATAACAAGCGAACGAGTACCCAAGAGTGAAAAAAAAGATTGTTGGTTTCTTAGCCTCGCGCGACTTCCTCGCAAATCTATCTCGTTAATTTTCTCGCGTGTCTTTGTTAATTAAGTATCGTTCAAACGCATGCCTAACCATGCAATTGCACTGCTTTCATCACAAGCTAAGTGGAATTTATTCCAGTCCCATTTAAGTTGGCGACGGAATATGTTACTTGATTCTACACTTAGGTAGTATAATGGACTCAGTAGAAATATAACTTTTGAGACCTTGGTGAATATATGCATCTTAGATAATTCTATATACATTAATCAGCCTTCCATTTACTATGACTGCTGTCGTGTTGGAAGGAGAGAGGAGACTCTCTTACAAAACTGAAGGCCGGACGGCCCCATCAGTCACTATTTCTTATCAGGTTGAACCTTTCCCCTGCCCCTAACCCCAACCCTCCAATGATGCTAGACCTAACAACCCTTTTTCAGTGAGGACGGAAGATTTTTGTAATAAGAGCAAAATGAATTTTTTTTTTTTTTACAGGATCCAATCATATGATGTTCGTCCGTAGGTAGAAGTTGAGAAGACTTCCGACACGCCTTGTTTTCGTCGCAGTGCTCTGTGTAGTTAAGTCTTACCTCATACGCCCCCAAAACATAACAGTTTAGGAAAAGAAATGAATTGTCGGTAACCTTGAGTTTATGAAAAGCCGAAGCTTTCGATCCACACTCTGTGTATGCAGAGGGCTATTTAATGTAACAACCTAACACGGGTATAATCTGGTATTTGGGGACTTGATCCTCAAGTCACATCTTCCAATAAGATTACTCGTGAATTCCCTAGGGAGATATCTATTCTTAGAAAGCTATTCCTGACTAGAACTGCATAAAGTTGTAATTAAGTCCCTTCGAAGGTGGACATCTCAACTTTTTATAACTACTTTTCGGTAATATACTTTTACGTAGTCACTAGCTTAGGGTTAAAATGTCAGTTTTTATCAAATTCTCATTCAACTCGAACTCGCCATGATTGTTATTATTTTAGTCTTCCGTGTTTGTCAGAAATAACTTGTGTTTGTTTTTTTTCTATTAGACTATCTGACTTGATTGTCGGCCTCGTTACATAAAAGGTCTAAATATAAACAAACTTATTTAGTTTGCTTTTGAATATAACACCAGCTGATAATATAAACTTTTCGTGTGTTTTTCCTATCTGTGAGAAGTGATTAAATACTCATTCGATTAAATTTTCTCTCTCGGTGTCAAATTCACAGGTTACCCAATTTTACCAACAAGTCTATAGGACTAGGAAGTCTATATCAACTAATAGAATTTGATAAAAACTTGTACTTCAATAATTCTCCTTTTTCGCTGCGGGTGGTGTTACTCGACCCCCCGCCAAAAGTACTTATTTGCGCCAACTTTTCCCGCCGAAAAAAAAACAATCAGGCAGGTAACATTTTTGAAAAGAAACACGCGGCATAAAATTTAGCCTAACCAGGACGCATCTTAAACGTTTAATTTTTATGGCAGCGTCATTGATCACAATCCCAATTTTTTTGCCCTCCAGAAATTGCCTTTGCGTTAGACCCGAATTCATTTTATATATCATTATATCATTTACTGGCTATATGAATCATGTCATTCTTCGTATCCCAGTTTTCGTCCCTTCTTCGGTTTCAGTTTAGCTAATATTACAAGGGCTATCCCGATGTGCGACGCCAACCCTCACCTTACTTCGTTCCAAACTCTTGAAAGCTCGTTTGAGATTGCTGTACTTTTGTTCTGTTACTTGCAGTTTCTTTTTCAATTCAACCATTTCTTTCATGGCACCACACAGCGACCCGCAATAACAAGTCTGTCCCGAGACAGTTTCATCTTCAAGTTGATCAGCATTCGTTAGCATGCTCTCTCGCTCTGCTTTGTAAATGGCGATGTCTTGTTGAAGCTGTTGTATAACCTTTTCCAGATCGAGAACTCGTTTCTGAGAATTCTTTACTTCCTCTTCAAGGGCGGCGCTGACGTTTCCATCGCTATTTCGACGGCACGAATCAAGATCGTTTCGTAAACTGTTAATTTCGTTGTCCCGTTGGGCTAACAGCTTTGTAGACTCGCGTAACGCGGTTTCTAGTTGACTAATGGTTTCCCGTAAAAGTGTATCTGCTGCGGGAGTGTGCCCGCATTTGAAATCAAACTCCTCGAAGTTTTTTTCGGAAGATTCAAGTCCCTCGCCAACTTCCCGTTCGCCAATCGCAAGCCGTCCCTCCATAGTCTTTTGCTCAGTCATTTGTGATCGTTTGTCCGCACATAAGGTTTTAAACCCACTTTGACGAGATTCTTCGCCCACAAAGAATTAAACACAAACGCTAATCTTTTCACACACCACTAAGATATTTCAGGTTAAATTACTTCAACAACACCACAACAATAGAGACGGAAAACAATTAAGTTTGTTTAAGAATAGAGGCACAAGTTCAGGACATGAATAAATCACGTACTCACTGGAGCGTGACGTGCTTGCGAAGGTATGCTCTGTCGAGCAGAAACACCCTCAGGCATTTTGAATTAATGGCCCGATTATATTTTTCCCTAGTGCAATATGATTACATCGTCAAATGTCATGACCATAGAGTTGTCTGAGAGGGTTATACACGCCAAAAAACAAAAAACAAAAAAAAGGCAATGAAAATTACTGATACCGAAATATGGCACTGACACAGATGATGAAAAAATGCCATTGGTCATTCTGCCCTGTAACTTGCATGATATAGCTCAATTTTCAGCTTCTCTTTGCGTCTCGCCATTTGATTTTCTTTTTCTACAGTTTTCTTTTCAATTCATGATAATTAATTTAGGCTTTACTCAAAAATAGCGAGGCGTGTACCAATTTGCGTCGATCTATATGGTGTTTGTTTGTTACGCTAAAGACATAACGTTTCACGCGTTTATCGTTATCATTTGTGAAACCGTTAGCAAACATTCAGCGACGATGCGTGCGTGTTTTTTTTTTCGCGCTGTATAGCGTGACTGACCTAATTCCCTTTTATCTCGTGATCATACCACACACTGTGGCTTAATGATGGAAAGTAAATATTATGTTTTAATGTGCGCAGTTAGCGTAAATTGCATGTAGCTAGGTAAACTACCTTTAATTGAAATATGCAAAAATTCCCATTGACCGAGTAATGTCGTAAAGAAAGAACTGGAAAAAGCACTCGATTGTTTAAATCTTGTTCACAGTTCTTAACTGCACCTATCAGGAAGTCGCTCTATTCATTTATAACCTTTTGAAAGTTTCACAATTTCGGCAAAAATTATGAGAAGCTGAACATTTAGAAATAACAGTGATAAGTATCATATCGATTGTTGTTAAGAACCACAAGACTTAATAATCTGGAAATCTGAGCAAATCCGTAGTTTTAAGTAAAAAGAACTGATTAACTGATAAGGTGCTCTTTTCGAAGTCGTGGCTCTTATTACTGATGAGTGTGCGTTGATTGTCATATCAACAGTTTCTAGACATTGCTATTTATTTGCCCCCTTACAAACTCAGAGAGGAAGGCTCCTTGCCTCGTCTTCAGGCAGAGTTTGTTCACGAACAGTTTTGAATCACTTTAGAGATTTTTTCAGTCATCCAAGCAAAGAAAGTTATGTCAATTGCATGTTCATGCTTGATTTGTCGTGTAATGCATTGTGAAGAAATGAGCTCAATTTAAAACATTTTTACTTTAAGTGAAAGTAATCATCCGTTGAATGCATTCGGGATAAAATTTCATCCTCCAGAAATAAATCTCTGGTAGACATCAACCAATGTAAGCTCTGCTTTTCTGCGCGCAATATCAAGAGACAATTATAGAACGTTATTTTTTCTTGTGCAATGTTGCACATAATGCAAAATTCCAGCTACATGGCCTGCTAAAAGTAATAAGTTGATCAATTAAATCAAGATCCCGCGATTTACTCATTCCCCTTCTCTACCCCTCCCCCCCAAGGGCCGACTTTCACGGGCTGCCCCGGCGGGGTATTAAAAAAAACAATTACACAATCCGTGCGATGGTTACGACGAAAAATCACTGAACCCGAGAACTATGGGTCTTACTGAAGTAGAACATAACAAAATTGAACTCGTGAACCGTCAGATTTCATCACGGATACGAAGTTTTACTAAAATGAAGCGTTCGTTTTAAGTTTCCTGCTTACGCTGTTCTAGTGAGCTCGAAGAGGAATTCTTCAGCTTTCATGAAAATTTGAAAACATTCAGTCTCTTCGTAGAGTCTTTACATGTAGCGAAAGCTTCGTTTTACCTAAATTACCCCATAGAATCCATTTGGTTGTTTAGTGATAAAAAAAGAATTAGATTAGTAACAGTTTTAAATATCTTGCGAAGTGCTTTTTAATTTGCCAAATAAATCAATTTCAAACGTGACCTCGTGTTGTTCTGGAATAATTGTGTTCGTAAACAGTAATTATCTCACAGTTATTGCTTGTAACTTCAAGGGAGGTCTTTGATAAATCAGACTACCTAACGAGATCGCGAAAACAATCAGTGGTGAAAATCGAAACAAACGGCTATTAATCGTTCCGTTTAGGTGAATCCGCTCGAGAATGAAAGAAAAACCCGAGCGCTCATGCCACAAAATCCATTTGAATAATGTGGAAACTTCACATCAAGATTTTTGTCACAGCTAAGTTATTTGCAGCTGAACGATATCAAATAGATTGGAGGCCACTTTTTAACTGCATCTGAAAACCTCGTCGGTCCACCTCTCCAAGGAAAGAAAATGACCGCATTTTCGGCTCTCAAGGAGTTTTGTGATACTCTCCATCTAAGAGACCTCGTCTTGAAGCCTTGGAAGCCAGTTATAAGCCAAACCTAACCTCTCCCTCCACCCCTCACCCACAACCACCACTACCAGGGTGTGGTATCATTTTGTAGCTCCACCACACAGAACTCGCTTCTCCAGGTAACACTGTTTTGCTGAAGTTTAGTTCATAAATGTAGCGTTGCAGTTGTGTCTTCCGTTGTAGTTATGTCCTCACACCTAATAACCAATAGAATGCGGTTTTATTTCTTCCAATCAAAGTGCGTTGTGAACGTGTCTTCTGCGTGTCACTTCCCAACTAGGGGAGGGATGCAATGCAAAATTGTGAGACTATCGTTAAGTTTTCCGCGCTCGAAGTTTGAGAATTTCATGGGCTATTCTTGTTTCATGGGCTTATCCTTGATGCCTTTTGGGACACTTCGGATTGTTGAAAGATTAATATTCTTGTTGCGTTTTTAAGCGCGAAGTATCAGTGAAATTTTCTTCGATACGTTGGAAAGGTTAGGAAGACGAGAATTTGACATTGCCTCGTAGCTTCCCTTATTGGTTTGGAGTGCGCTGGTGATCGAAGTTGTGCTTTTTTGTCGGAACTACTAAAGGAAGGTAAGGTTTCGGTTGCATTTTATGCTAGTATTTTGTTAAATTCAAATATTACAACCATTCTTCAAAGATCACGTTCAAGTTTTGGGCTTAATACTGTAGATTTCATGTGACAGCATGGCGAAGCGTGCGAGTAACTACTAACTTGGATTCATTGAATCCTTCAGTGTCGAGGGCTGATTTTTTTATTTTGCGTGGGACATGTAAAACTAGATGTTACATAATTGAAAAACAGGGCAGATCTCGGTGTTTCAATGCCCAAAAATGTGTGATTTTCTCCATCTCATTGTGCCTACAATGATGGCTATTATGGATACAGTGGAAGACATGTATTCATTGTAAATGTATGGGACTACGCAAAAATTCAACCTCTGGTATGGTTGATGTCAAATATCACATATCCTGGGAGGTTAACTCACAAACTGCTAACTCGTATGATGAAGATCTGGTCTCTTTCATAAAGGATAGGGTGCTGTCTCCCAATGCTCTCCAACAAGTAACAGTTGGGTTACAATGTGTTAAATCATTCTCTTTGCTCACCCAGAAGGGACAGAATTGCAGCAAAATTACTCTTGATCAATTTAGAGTAAAGTCCCCTGTACCAAATTATAAGGAATATGATAATAATATGTATGTTATATGTTACCACATTATCCATACTTTTTCAACTATGTGTCACAAACATTAAAATGAAATAAACACTAATTCATGCAGAAATGAATACTTAATTCAATGCAGACTATTGCCTACTATTAGCAATTATTGCTCCTACATGTGTTAGCAAGAACTTGGTCTTGTTGGCATTCATTGTGAGCATTTGGCGATCTGTATATTAGTGGAGAAACTCTCTGCAACTATCTTTGCTAAGAAAATACCAATCCTTTCACCTTTACTAAATATCATTCATACAGGCATGGATGAGAACCAGCAGCAGAGCAAAGAAAACAAAAGTGCTGATGAGGTGGTAAGCTCTATTCTAAACATTTTCTTGGCGAATTATGCACTAGTTATAAAAAGGTATATGTTGTGCTTAATTTTTTGTCCTTGGTATAAACATCATTTTCCTTTGGTTTTGTTAATGATATGAATGAAAAATGCATTTTGTGTAAAGAAAGATAAAATTTAGCTCCTAGCCTAAGTTATGATGAGATGATGTGTCACTATCAATTTGGCCTCTATTAAAAGTAAAAGAATTAAACTAAGGATAAAACTAAACCACAGCATACCTATACTAAACCACAGCATACCTATACTATACCACAGCATACCTATACTAAACCCTCAGCCTATTTGTATCAATATCACTTTTTTCTGGTGTTCACCCAATAGATTTAATCCACTCACAGACAAATATGGCACCTGTGCATTTTACTATTACTCTTAGGCTAAGGCACTTTCGTAGAAAGCAATATTTCACAAAACAACAACATTATGTATGCAAGGTTTAAATTTTTCAGACCTTTACTGCTTGTTTTTATGAGTGGTTCCAGTATTTTCTTGCACAAAGAGTTCTGGTTGAATGTACCAGTCACCATGTTTTTGGTATGGTGGTTTACAGTAATTGTTGTATGAAGTAACCTTCACCAATATTAATTTTGCGAACTTGTCACTGACAAAGAGCTAGTTCATGATTAGACATTGATCGTTTCATTAATTGCCATGCTCTACATCTATCATTGAAGTACTAATTGACTCCTTTGCCATCAGTAATTGCATTAAAGATACTGTGTTAGAAATCACAGCACTGTACCCCAAAATCTAATGTTGTCCTCAGCATAATCTCATTTTTTGAGCAATGCAAAAGTAAAAATCAAACAAGACCACACAGACATCATCACAGAGACAACATTGCTATGTATAATGT